CCACCGCCCCTGTATGCAGTGAAGTAGAACGTGTTCGAGCGTGTCTGTTTCGTTGCGGTATGTGCATTTGTCTGTTTGGTATCTATTTTATTTTATGAAGATGGGAATTTAATTTTGTATGACCTGTTGGGAATTTGGTTATCGTACTGTCAATATTTTTAGATTTATGGTATAGTTATTTAGTTTTTGAGTGGTTTTTGGTGGAGATTTTTTAGTTTAGAATTAAAATTTTGGAATTTACATTGCCACATTTGGAAGATTTTTGTTGTTGTCATAGGCTTTTGATTTCATTTTTAGAAAATATTATCTAAAAACGACATTAAAAGCCTTACATGGAACACTTATTTATGATGGACAATTTATGAATGGACAATGCTTTTAAGAAATGGGCTTCAGACATTGTGCCCAGCTTTGTAAGAAGTTACATGCAACAAGAAATAACCTTATATTCACGCCATCCTGATTATCGTTTATGTCTGCTGCGTGCCTGGTTGGTGACAACATCAAAGCGCCGCCTACCATATTGTTGGACAGTATCATGCGTTTCGCTCTGAGTCACTATTCGACCCAGCAAGTCTGAGTCAAGTAATCCGTGCGCAAATACCGATAAGCTCGGGTCGACCAAGAGCTTTTGACACGATATCAAACGATTTTGTTAGTCATGACAAATTCGTTACCGGACTGATGTATATCGGGGTTTTGTGTAAGTAGTTGTTTTGTTTGTCAACAGAAAGAGGATAACAATGGCAAAAAGTCAGCTGGTGAGAAGATTCCCCGATTGCCTCATTCCTTATAAAGTGAGTGAGTGAGTTTGGTTTTACGCCGCTTTTAGCAATATTCCAGCAAAGTCACGGCGGGGACACCAGAAATGGGCTTCACACATTGTACCCATGTGGGGAATCGAACCCGGGACTTCTGCGTGACGAGCCAACGCTTTAACCACTAGATTACCCCGTCGCCCTCTCTATAAAGACATAACATTGAATTACTAATAAAATCGACTTAACACATTAAAGACATCGGGCCAAAGTAGCATATTCCAGATCATCACTAAACTCAACAACATCAATCCCCTGTCGAACCTAATTCAAGACCAAGCCATCAAGAGATGAGTACAACAAGAGAACTGCCGTCAATATCAGCCGTCAAGAGTTTGCAGTCTTGTCCAAAGGCCTTAATTTTGCTCCTGACACAGACACAAACACACAGCGACATAGACAGAGACACGCATATGCACGTCGTTCCTTTCTCGCTTTCTTGTGGCCATAAATGATGGCGTGAAAATGATATGGCATGTTAGTGGTGTATCTCATTATTGGGTGTTTCACATGCCACATTGGGTGTTTCACATGCCACATTCAGTGGGGTTTTCATCATAAAACGTTTCACATGCCACATTCAGTGGGGGTTTTAACCATTTGGTGTTTCACATGCCACAGTTAGTGGTGGTTTTGATTATTTGGTGTTTCACACGCCACATTCAGTGGTGGTTTCACATGCCACATTCAGTGGTGGTTTTCATTATTGGATGTTTCACATGCCACATTCAGTGGTGGTTTTGATGATTGGGTGTTTCACATGCCACATTCAGTTGTGGTTTTCATCATTGGGTGTTTCACATGCCACATTCAGTTGTGGCTTTCATCATTGGGTGTTTCACATGCCACAGTTGGTGGTTTTTGTGATGATTGGGTGTTTCACATGCCACATTCAGTAGTGGTTTTGATGATTTGGTGTTTCACATGCCACATTAAGTGGTGGTTTTGATGAGTGAGTGCTTCACATGCCACATTCAGTGGTGGATTTCATCATTGGGTGTTTCACATGCCACATAAGTGGTGGTTTTGATGAGTGGGTGTTTCACATGCCACAGTTAGTGGTGGTTTTGATGAGTGGGTGCTTCACATGCAACGTTCAGTAGTGTTTTTCATCATTGGGTATTTCACATGCTGTCCTTATCATCAAAATAATACTCCGACTGCACGTGTCGCTTGGGCTGCTGAATCGACATTTTTTTCTCTCTTTTCCAAACTTTTATAAGAGAAAAATAAAATAAAAATAACGATGAAGGAAAAACAAACCAAAAACGCGCCCGTGCAGTGGTTGTGTATAACTTTCTTTGTTTATAACTTTGTTTGCATTTATAACATATGAATAATATTGTAAATACTGTTCATTGGTGATACAGGTTAAACAGCCTTGGAATCGTTTACGACAAGGGTTAGATTTTTCTTATGTTTCACACTCTCCTAAAGTTCCGGCCATAGGTAAATGGAGTATTAACACAGTAACAGAAATAAGCATTTATGTCAATGGAAGCGCTGCATTGGATTGATATAAGATTTTGACTCAACAAATATAGTTTACCATGAATGCAATAACCATTCTCGATTTTCAGATAGACATGAAAAGCAAATTGCTGTAAAGATTTTTAAACGAACCACTGAAAGCCTGTGGTGACGACAGGTGCTCATTAAAAAGATACATTTCTAAATAACCGTACGCAGCTATTAGAGGACATGTCTGCAAGCTGGGATCTTGTCAATATCCCAAGTGTAAAATGTATGGAAGTATAGGGTGCTTCAACAGAGAGTATGGATATGTGGAATGGTTCCTGTAGAGGAAGTAGCCATAATGGTACAGAGGCATGGGAACATTAAAATTTTGAAGATTGACAAATTTACACTTGTTTCCTCGCCCAAGAAAATGTCCTTATTTCAAACTCTGGTAAATTTCGAAAAGATTAGGAACATTTCAGCACCTATTAGAATTGAAGGGAATGTATTGGAAATACTCTATGATCAAGCATTGACGAAGGTATCAATTTTTTAATTAATGTTTTAAAATGTATGCAAATCCGGTCATAGCATCCCTGACTAAAAGCAATTGTACATACTGCAATATGCGATAAGCATATGATTTAAAGGGTAGCTTCAAGTGAAATAAACGCCCAACGTTAGTAAAAATCGGAAAATGTACGGGAAAATCCGATCAAAGAAAATATTTTCTGCTTTATTTCCGTATTTTTCTCAATGGTGTAAAATCTGGCTTTTGGTCCCGTGATCAAGGCTGATGATATCCAACACAGAAATGGTTATTGCGAGTATATTTCCAAGGCGTAACACGAAACCATTTTAACCACCACGCGAACCAATCCCTCGAAATAACATATTATCCACAGAGACGAATAGACGATTCATTGCGACGCAGTGCAAACCATTTCATAATTCGAAATCTCCGAACGACTATTTGTTAAAGATAGAGTTTTACACCTACATAAATAGATAATAATTATAAGAGGTCACGTGATTAAAGGTCAGAGTATATATGGAAGGGTGACCTCGATTCTTTACAATCAGGAATGGTGAGAATGGACCGCCGGATTGTCATCCTGTTGGCGGTGACGGTCGCCCTAAATGGGGCATCGTCGAGAAAACGTGAGTAAACATGTTATTTGTCGAGAACGATTCCTGCTACATGGTTGGAGCCATTTCGCCAGTCCTGTTGAAATTAGTTAAAATATCGGTAAAATACCAAAATGGCGGCCAATGTCAAGGTATGGCTTGACTGGGTCATTTAAGGTATTTGTAATTCAACACTCACGCCAGTCTGAATGTATACATAATGTATATTACAAGTTACTTATTGTGGGTACAGCAATAACATTAATATAGAGAAATGGATAACAGTGTGAAATGAACAATTCACAGTTCTGAAACTACAAATATACTTTTCAAACCAGAACGTATATTCCATACACAAATTTGACATTGTTTTACGCCGTTTTAGAAATACCCCAGCCACATGGAATGTTGGTAAATTACACCCACGTAAGGAATTCAAAATGGTCTTTATCATAAACGACTTGCCAATGCTCTAACGTCAATGTAATTCAATGTTATGTATTTATAAAGAGGGCGATCGGGTAGCCTTGTGGTTAAAGCGTTAGCTCGTCACACCGAAGACCTGGGTTCGATTCCCCACATGGACACAATGTGTGAAGCCCATTTCTGGTGTCTCCCCGCCGTGATATTGCTGGAATAATGATAAATGCTAAAGGGAGTAAAATTACACTCACTCACTCACTCCAACGTCCAGTCAAGTCACTTCCACGTACAACTGACCCGTGGATCACTATCAGATAAGAAACTGAAACTATTTTGAGTTTCTTTGCTGTCTGTGTTTCACCCCAAGATCAGGTATAATATCTAATATTATTACAGGTATTGGAACATATAACAAACTACTTATTTGCCACCAAGTAATCTGTATAATGCCCTTATCTTCTACCACAAACACACACCAGAGATAACATGGTGTGAAACCGACATATTTTTATCAAATGATGATTTGCCAGAAAAAAATGGCACAACTTCTATGTTAACCCATGTTGTGTTATTATCTAAAGACGCCGTTCAGAACATGAGAAAATCTAAAACCTTATAAATATTCATTCATGTATTAAATATACTACACACCATTTAACTGCTGTCACAAGGAGTGAACTGTGAGATTTGATAAATGCATTCCGTTTGTATCACTTGTTAGCTTTAGGTGTGAGAAAATCCTCTTATAGCTTAAATCAGGACGAATTCCCCCTCAGAGAAGGCCAAGAGGGCAGGAGTAAATACTTTGATGGCTCAATGCAGGGGAAAATGATCTGATGACTCAATAAAGAAGAAATTCCTCTAATAGCTCAGTATAAAAGCTACTTAATACAATTGAAATTCATACGATAGCTTATCATATAAGAGAAAATCATCTGAAAGTTTAGCCAAAGAGAAAATTCCCGAGGCGCTTAAAGCAGGGTAAAATCCTCTGATGGCTGAATGCAATAGAAAATCAAGATAGCTTATTATAGGAGAAAATCATCTGACGTCTTATCGCTGAAGTCGAACGACTATTTGTTAAAGATAGAGTTTTACACCTACATAAATAGATAATAATTATAAGAGGTCACGTGATTAAAGGTCAGAGTATATATGGAAGGGTGACCTCGATTCTTTACAATCAGGAATGGTGAGAATGGACCGCCGGATTGTCATCCTGTTGGCGGTGACGGTCGCCCTAAATGGGGCATCGTCGAGAAAACGTGAGTAAACATGTTATTTGTCGAGAACGATTCCTGCTACATGGTTGGAGCCATTTCGCCAGTCCTGTTGAAATTAGTTAAAATATCGGTAAAATACCAAAATGGCGGCCAATGTCAAGGTATGGCTTGACTGGGTCATTTAAGGTATTTGTAATTCAACACTCACGCCAGTCTGAATGTATACATAATGTATATTACAAGTTACTTATTGTGGGTACAGCAATAACATTAATATAGAGAAATGGATAACAGTGTGAAATGAACAATTCACAGTTCTGAAACTACAAATATACTTTTTCAAACCAGAACGTATATTCCATACACAAATTTGACATTGTTTTACGCCGTTTTAGAAATACCCCAGCCACATGGAATGTTGGTAAATTACACCCACGTAAGGAATTCAAAATGGTCTTTATCATAAACGACTATGCCAATGCTCTAACGTCAATGTAATTCAATGTTATGTATTTATAAAGAGGGCGATCGGGTAGCCTTGTGGTTAAAGCGTTAGCTCGTCACACCGAAGACCTGGGTTCGATTCCCCACATGGACACAATGTGTGAAGCCCATTTCTGGTGTCCCCCGCCGTGATATTGCTGGAATAATGATAAATGCTAAAGCGGAGTAAAATTACACTCACTCACTCACTCCAACGTCCAGTCAAGTCACCCACGTACAACTGACCCGTGGATCACTATCAGATAAGAAACTGAAACTATTTTGAGTTTCTTTGCTGTCTGTGTTTCACCCCAAGATCAGGTATAATATCTAATATTATTACAGGTATTGGAACATATAACAAACTACTTATTTGCCACCAAGTAATCTGTATAATGCCCTTATCTTCTACCACAAACACACACTCAGAGATAACATGGTGTGAAACCGACATATTTTTATCAAATGATGATTTGCCAGAAAAAATGGCACAACTTCTATGTTAACCCATATTGTGTTATTATCTAAAGACGCCGTTCAGAACATGAGAAAATCTAAACCTTATAAATATTCATTCATGTATTAAATATACTACACCATTTAACTGCTGTCACAAGGAGTGAACTGTGAGATTTGATAAATGCATTCCGTTTGTATCACTTGTTAGCTTTAGGTGTGAGAAAATCCTCTTATAGCTTAAATCAGGACGAATTCCCCTCATAGAGAAGGCCAAGAGGGCAGGAGTAAATACTTTGATGGCTCAATGCAGGGGAAAATGATCTGATGACTCAATAAAGAAGAAATTCCTCTCATAGCTCAGTATAAAAGCTACTTAATACAATTGAAATTCATACGATAGCTTATCATATAAGAGAAAATCATCTGAAAGTTTAGCCAAAGAGAAAATTCCCCGAGCGCTTAAAGCAGGGTAAAATCCTCTGATGGCTGAATGCAATAGAAAATCAAGATAGCTTATTATAGGAGAAAATCATCTGACGTCTTAATGCTGAAGTCGTAGACGCTTACTTCTTCCATGAAGTATCGTAATGGGATCAATTCAAGGATTCGAACCATCGTTCTGCGGGTGCTGTCCCGGTTATACCTCCACTTTTCTCCCCGTACTAACCGTTCCCCAAACATTTTAGAACAAATTAGCAAGGTAACAACTAACAATGAGAGTGAGAACTTATTTAGTTACAACAATGCTGATAGAAAAAAATTATTATTTGTTCAAATTTCATTTCGTTCAAATGTTATTAATTGGCGGTTTTGTTTCATTTTTAGCAAAGAGAAGAGATGCTGCCGCTGGTGAGTGCCCTGCTTCCAACAGAAACTTGCAAATATATACCATTCAAAAAGGTAGTGGGTATTAGATTTATATGATTGATAAATGCAAATGATGAAGATTAAGGAGGAAACAGGTGATGAAGAGAAATTGTGGAAAATGGGAAAGGGAAAATGTGTCTATTTATTCCATTCTTTTGGAAATGTTTCATCTGTATGGATATATATATATAACATTTTCTCATAATGGAATATCCCCTACCCTATTGAATGGTACACATGTGGCATTTTGTAACTAACCCAAAAATAGTGGGGTTTTCGGGTTAGAAAACCCCCCAGGAACATATGCTGGAAATGAGAGGCGACTCGGGGTGTCGGGCTCGGAATCTTGTTAGTCAGCGTACCCCTTGGGCGTAGAGCGATACTCATAGCATCAATCACTGGATCGCCTGGTCAAGACTCGATTCTTTACAGATCGTAGTCATATTCCTAGAGTGCGGCAAGAAACAATCCAACTGACCCCACAATGTTCTGGCAAAAGATAAGATGTGTTCAAATCACTATATATACTACAAACAAAAAATATGGGAACACCCTAAAATTTGATAGTAATATATAAACTGAAACGTGGTGAGGTCATTTATACTCTAAGTCACTTTAAACGACATGTTGGAACATGCAGTGAAGCAACTGATTCAATATTCGTTGAGTTTGAGTGAAGTGAAACATTGCGAAAAACAGCAAAAAACAAGGTTGCTAAAACACACCAACACCATGTTTGATTCAAACGCCCGAACACAACAGCCTAGTGTATGTGTTTCACTCAAACTCAACGAATATTGAATCAGTTGCTTCACTGCATGTTCCAACATGTCGTTTAAAGTGACTTAGAGTATAAATGACCTCACCACGTTTCAGTTTATATATGACTATCAAATTTTAGGGTGTTCCCATATTTTTTGTTTGTAGTATATAACTGGAACATAGATTAAGATTCATTTGATTAATGTATAAATGATATTTGTTATTAATGTATTTGGTTGCAGTTTTATATTTATCAGACACAGTTCACACATCACTTTATGTAAATTTTCACTAACTGTATTCCAGACGTTGCTACGTTTTCGTCTGGTAATTTGTACCATTAACTTATATGCTCATGCTATCGTCCCTTCGTCTTCTGTACTTTTATGCTTTCATTGTCCTTTGTAACCTTTACCTTTGGACCAAATGCTTACCATGAAGGCATCTTGTGAGTTGTTAGGAAAATATTCTCCACAGTAAACTACGTCTACAACAAACACGTTTATATCGAACTCACGGATATAACGAACTGCTCTTTTGGTCCCGTCTCCATGTATATTTGGGCGGTGGGGTAGCCTAGTGGTTAAAGCGTTGGCTCGTCACGCCGAAGACCCAAGTTCGAATCCCCACATGGGTACAATGTGTGAAGCCCATTTCTGGTGTCCCCCGCCGTGATGTTGCTGGAATATTGCTAAAAGCGGCGTAAAACCAAACTCAATCAGTCAGCCTTGTATATTTTAGATGAAAAGAGTACAGCGAACTACGGGTGTAACAGACTAAAGTTAGTATCGATACATTTATCGTCAGATAGAGTATCACGATTATCGATAATACGATATATCGTCACAGCTGTATACTATACCCTGCCTTATCGAGGATGTAAGCATTCAATTCATCCTTGGTAACACCATCACGATGTTTCCATTTCAGATTGTGGTGGAAACAACGATGTAGTTTTCGTCGTAGATTCATCCGACAATGTCGGGAAAGACAATTTTAACAAAGAAATAGACTTTGTCAAACAAACTGTAAATCATTGGAATGTTGGCCCAACGGGTATGCAGGTGGGTCTGGTCACTTTCGGTGACACGGCCAAAAACGAGTTCTACCCCAATGCCTATTCCACCCAAGCGGACGTTCTCAACGCCCTGGCCAGTGTAAAATTCATTGGTGGGAAAGCCAACACTGCCGAGGCGATTAAAATCGCCTACGAGAACTCGTTTAACCCTCTGAGAGGCGGCAGGAGTAAATCTCCGCACACAATCGTCCTGGTGACTAACAGCGCCTCCAACGCCAAAGACCTTACCCTTCTGGAAAGCAAGAACGCCAAGGACAACGGAGACGTGATCTACACTGTCGGCATCGGTGGTGCAGTGGACGCTAGTGAGCTGTCACAGGTGTCCAGCGATCCGGATTCCAGATATGTCTTCAAGGCAGACAGCTTCCAGTCTCTGAATGGCATTGCGGATTATCTTGCCCTCAAAGCATGTAATGGTAAATATACAGGAATTCCTCAGTTTCCATTGTCGCAATAATTGTTTTACGCCGCTGAACAGTATTCAGATATGGCGGTGTGTCTGCTTCACGTGGGAGGGGGGGTGGTGGGGTAGCCTAGTGGTTAAGGCGTTCGCTCGTCACGCCGAAGACCCGGGTTCGATTCCTCACATGGGTACAATGTGTGGAGCCCATTTCTGGTGTCCCCCGCCGTTATATTGCTGGAATATTGCTAAAAGCGGCGTAAAACTAAACTCACTCACTCATGTTGGAGGAAACACTGAAGTGATTCTGAAGTGACGTTCACCACGACCCTGCTGATAAATTTAGAAGCATAATCAGGACAAAACAAAATTCTAACCCTCCATGATAGGCTCCTGATACGCAAAGGGATGCAACTCAGCACAGTAAATTACAGCGCTTGTGACGAATAGGACTCACGTGTCGCAGCCGAATGCAAGACATCTGCAGCGTTAAAGAATGCTCAAATTGAAGTAAACAGCACAATATGAAATATCTTATTCACAGTCTTCAAAACTAAACAAATAATTGCGACAATTGAATAGAGACACAAGTACCATTACTTTTCCTAGCATGATGAAAGTACAGGCATCATTACAAGTATGCCGTATATTAAGAACACGGAAGGATGAAGTCCATAAGTCGACTCTGCCTTTGTCCAAGACAAGATGGCCAGTCTGACCGTCACTCTGATAGTGTCTGACGAGATAAAGAGACGCTTCTGTAATTATGTTTAACACCAGCTTTGACGAGATTAATTCATATAAAAACACGAAGAAAAGACTAATAATGCATACACCGATGTTTGGTGGTGCAGTGGTGGCTGAAAAAGAAGAAACTGTAATGGTGAGGGATTACATACATATACATGGGTATCGTCTTGGCCGCTGTTATCCGCCTCCTAACGTTTTGATCACTGGATAGTCTGGTCCAGACACGATTATTTAAAGACCGCCGCCATATAGCTGGAATATTGCTGAGTGTGGTGTTAAACAACAAACAAATAAAACCTAACGTTTTGATAACGTGTTTAATGTTTTGGCCCCATTCAGTTTTTAAGTGTATTCTATTTATTTACAGTCAGTTTAGTAACAGGCAAACTGAATTTCCATATGTTCATTAGCTCCTAATGAAACAATTGCAGAACGTCCATTTCGCTCCAATAAAGTCTTGTTTAGATGATGAGAATTTGTAGAAACGTTCAATATCTTAATAAAAAAGTATAATATTAATATCAGAAATATTTGGATGATAATCTGTAATGACATAAGACAATATATATACAGTAATACTATGAATAATCTCCTGAATGATTAATTGGTTATGTGTTCAACTATCAATATACAGCCCTTCTCTTCTGTAATTAACATAATTTATTGCGGAACAATATTTCTCGTGCGTGCAAATAACGGTACCGCTTGTTCATTACTGTATCTCATTACTGTATCTCATTACTGTATCTCATTACTCTATCTCATTACTGATCTCATTACTGTATCTCATTACTGTATCTCATTACTGATCCCATAATAACATCTACGTTTCAGAGCTTCCAACTGATCCGAATTTCCTGCCTGCACCAACCAGTAAGTGGATCAGTGATCGATCGATCGATCGATTGATTGATTGAATATATTGCCTGAAAATTGGATTGAGCTGTAAGTCATCATTAAATAACACTAAAAGACGCAAACTGCTAACAAAAACCCCAATAAATGAATCTCACAATGTGATGTCATTGGTTTGTCTGACCCAGTCCCATTTCAAGACAGCCGTAATATTGCTAGAATTGTATCTGACTGTGACTGCATCCAACCACAAATTGTAAATGATCTTTCTCCCCAAAAGCACATGAGAAAATGAATAAATCTGATTCCCTTCCCCAGGTTGTCTGAAGAAGGCCGATCTGGTCTTCATGCTTGACTCCTCCTCAAGTGTAGGCTCGGCCAACTTCCAGAAGCTCGAGGGATTCCTCAAGGACTTCGTAAAGACCGTCAACGTTGGCCCTGATGCCGTCCACGTTGGCGTTGCTCAGTTCAGCAGTTACCCATCCCTGGACATTTCTCTCAACAAGTATACACAAACAGACCAGAGTTGCTCAAGGCGATTGGTAACATCAACTACCTCGGTGGCGGAACCAACACAGCTGACGCCATCAAGTTCATGAGGGAAAATATGTTTGCTAATGGTGCCAGAGCCGGTGTTCCTCACATTGGTAAAAAAACATTTCTCAATGTCTAGATAGTCAACGCTTCTAGAGCATTCATCCTTTCAAAACCGAGGCGACATTCACTAGTTCTTCATAACATATTCTTCGTTTTTCCCAGCCCCAAACGGTTAAATAATGGCCTTACCCGGTCCCAACAAGGCTCGCAAAGTGATGTTATTCGTTTATTCTTACCTCAAAGTCAGAATGCTGAGATCTGACTGGTTAATGTGGTCTTGATAAAATACCACACACACACGCACGCACACGTACATCGGAGTGGAAAGACCATTCTTATTGTACCTCCCAGGGGCATGAATCATTTATATCCTGCCACGAAAGGAAAGCCGCGTGTTGTTTTCGAGTCAGTGAAAGTCACGTGACACAGCACCTGTTCACCTCAGCTCAATCGATTAACTGTTTGTTTTCATCGGTTTCCAAGTTAATGAGTTCGTTTACCACAGTAGCTTAAAACGTGTTGAAAAATCCAATTTTCTTGCAGCAATATCACTGGAGTATATGTTGTTTATGGGACCATCTTAAGGTTATGTATCACTCGCCTTCAGCTCGTGGATAAAAGCTAGCCAGAAATGCATTGAACCTAATATACCCTTGTAGTGCTACTATAATCTATCATGTTGATTTTTGCTTTGTTTTCCACTGTGTTTCTGAGAACCGCCTCCGTGGTGTAGTGGTTAGAGCGTCCGCCCGGAGAGCGGAAGGTCGCGGGTTCGATCCCCGACCGCGTCATACCAAAAAGACGTTAAAATATGGTACTTGTTGGTCCCTGTCTGGCGCTCGGCATTAATGGGTACAACAAGGACTGGTCGGCTCGGAATCAGAATGATGTGTCTGAGTGGGTTATTCATGCTTCACTGCGGCATGGTATTTCAGTAGGCTAGCACTATAAAACCAGCTTCATTCTGGGCTAGTACAAGCAGCCGCACATACACATACACACGCATGCACGTCGTCATATGAGCGAAATATTCTCAAGTACGACGTTAAACCCAATTTCACCTCACCTCACCTCACCTCACCTCTTATTGCAGAATGGAGTCTCAGTCACTCAATCTTCCTTTTAACAATTTGATATCATGAATATGGTTGACCTTCCTCCCTACAGGAATCCTCGTGACTGATGGTAAATCCTCCAGCACTGTACAGACTACCTCTGAGTCCAACACAGCACACCAGAGCGGAATTGGTCTCATCTCCGTGGGCGTCGGCAGCGCCGTCGATCGTTTAGAGTTGAACGCCGTCGCCAGTGACCCCGACAGTCAGAATGTCTTCACCGTCAACAACTACGACCAACTGAACACCATCGTCAACCAAATTATGGGGGCTGCATGCAAAGGTCTGTCTTGCAGCATTATCCGTGATGAAGTATAGTGACGTGCAAAATAAAAGTACACGCCAGGTGTTTTGGGATTATTTTCATAACAAAATTAATAATTTTATCTTTCCCGATTATCTTAACAACTTCCTGTCAACTTTCAGTCAAATCCCGTATGTATCTATATGTATTCTATTGCAACTTCATTCATTTATTTATTTTTCATTCGCACGACTGAAGGATTCTTGCGAGTCCGAGATGCCGTACTATATTCAAACAACCCGGTGCATCTGCACTTGCACTGCGACAATTTAAATCGTTCTGGACCTAATTTTTCAATGTACTGCCAATACAAATGGATGGTACAGGAAGAAGATCCGCTTTAGAGTTTGTCTTCAGCAACCATGCTTGTCGTAAGAAGGCGACCAGGTGTTTGGGCACTGGTGCTGTAATACAAAGCTTCAAATTACGTGCTGATAAAACGCTGATAAAAGAAACAAGCAAACCGGATTTCGTTTAATATTTCAGTATACGGGTTTTGTTGTAACATATGTTATATTTGGGATTACACTTTCTCAGTAAAGTACAGATTCTAGTACTTTTGGGGGTTGAGTCCCCTCCAGGATTCGAACCCACACCCTCAGAGTCAGTCACCTAATCGCCAGCACACAAAGTCAGACGCCTAGACCGCTCAGCCACCGCGGCCTCCAAAAAAGTGGAAGTCGGACAACTGGTAGTCTAGACTGCGGGCTTTGTGTACCCCTCTGATAAGTGTTAATTAGCACGGCTCCCACGACCGAAAGCTATTAAATACACAGTGCCATTTTAGAAAGTGGTCAAATGTAATAACGTTATATTTGGGATTACACTTTCTCAGTAAAGTACAGATTCTGGTACGCGGGAGCCGTGCTAATTAACACTTATCACTTGTGGAAGCCGCGGTGGCTGAGCGGTCTAGGCGTCTGACTTTGTGTGCTGTCGATTAGGTGCCTGACTCTGAGGGTGTGGGTTCGAATCCCGGAGGGGACTCAACCCCCACAAAAGTACTAGAATCTGTACTTTACTGAGAAAGTGTAATCCCAAATAAAACATATGTTACACATTTGACCACTTTCTAAAATGGCATTGTGTATTTCATACGGGTTCGTTGCTGATGAAAGTAGAAACAAGCAAACCGGAATTCGTTTAATATTTCAGTATGCGGGTATGGTGCTGATAAAAGTAGAAACAAGCAAACCGGAATTCGTTTAATATTTCAGTACATGTATACGGGTTTGTTGCTGATAAAAGTAGAAACAAGCAAACCGGAATTCGTTTAATATTTCAGTTCATGTATACGGGTTTGTTGCTGATAAAACTAGAAACAAGCAAACCGGAATTCGTTTAATATTTCAGTTCATGTATACGGGTTTGTTGCTGATAAACCGAAATTCGTTTAATATTTCAGTTCATGTATACGGGTTTGTTGCTGATAAAAGTAGAAACAAGCAAACCGGAATTCGTTTAATATTTCAGTTCATGTATACGGGTTTGTTGCTGATAAAAGTAGAAACAAGCAAACCGGAATTCGTTTAATATTTCAGTTCATGTATACGGGTTTGTTGCTGATAAAAGTAGAAACAAGCAAACCGGAATTCGTTTAATATTTCAGTTCATGTATACGGGTTTGTTGCTGATAAAACTAGAAACAAGCAAACCGGAATTCGAACCCACGTTGAAAGGGACGCATCTCTTCACAGAGAAGAGACAACTTCATACCCTGAATATTATTTAAATATATCATACATTTAAAAAAAAAATATTATCTCATACCGTCACATATATTTGAATATTCCAGTTCAACCGGCGTCATCGACTGGTGCGTCCCTCGGGCCGGACACGTGCACGGACGTGAAGAGCAACTGCCCCCAGTACGGTCGTGATGTGTGCACCCAGTACCCAGACTGGTCCAAAATAAACTGCATGAAATTCTGTGGACAATGTACATGTACGTAGGAAGACAAACAATTGCCATTATGATCTGATGTACTTTAAAACATTATGTCGTGCTACTGAGAACCAATCCTGCAAAATCAGTGACAGTGATAATATGTCCACAGTATGATGATCTAAGGAGCCTTTATATCCCATCTAGCTATACGTCTTGTCCCACATTTGACAAATTCTGTATACTATCGTAAACCGAAAATGACCAGCTTCTTCAGAATGTTTATACACCATGCACTGTTAAAACACAAACGTGCTTGTACAACTCCCCATTATAACCGTTTTACTTGTACTACGGGCCTCTGGCCTACAGTTCAGAAATAAAGAATCACTGAAATATCTCGCCATAATTGATTAATTATAATTTTTATCATGAATATATTCCACGGAGTGAACAGGAGATGTGATATCTGACTATATCTGATCTCATTTATAGCATGAATATATTCCACAGATCAGGACAAATTAGACTATATAAAGCACTATAAGAATATATAACTGTTAGTGCTTATCAGTTTAAGATATAAAATCGTTTTATACACAATAAGAATACTACTTCAAACTCCCTCAACACACGTTCATTCCATACGCCTAAGAATACGCTTTTGACCAGAAAAGTACTATGAACTTTAATGTGAGGCTCTTAAGACTAGTTTTAATGACAATATAACGTAACATCACTTTGTATACAAACCGCGCCTTGATATTTCGAAATGATGCTCAGACATCTATGTAAATCATGTGAAAAAAATTTGCATAATAAAAAAATATCATTTGTATTTATGACAAATTATTAAAAATGTCCTGTCGACAGCGTCCTACACGACGACCCCTGCCCCCTGCAAGGACGCCCTGGCCAACTGCCCCAGCTACGGGAACACCGTCTGTACAAACTACCGACCCTGGGCGGAAACCAACTGCCGGCTCTATTGTGGAACACCGTCTGAACATGTCTACCAAACCCTATAATTCCGGACGGTAACCGTTCCTGAAAACTCGTAATTGGTGGTACGCGTTGTGTACTGATTGGTAAAGAAGTGCGTCTCAAACTGTACCTTGTTACATGGTGACTTAGTCAAACCCTGGTAATTCCGCAATATTCCAACAATTCCCAGAAATCACTCAGGGGACACCAGAAATTGGTGAATGTACGCGTTGTGTACCAATTGGTAAAGAAGTGCTCTTAAACAGAAGATGTTTTGTTCATGACCGCTTGTTATATACATTAATAGATATATTTTGATGTTTTCAGCTGGCGGTGCCGCTACAGTAGGTTTTTGTAAGTATGTCCAAACATATAACCGGGTATATGCAAAGTTGACAATTTTAGCTCAATCAGACGCCCGTTACTGTTCTTTCAGCAGAGATGAAATTGAGTTCGAACTATAACAGTTAAACTTGGAATGAGAGAATACGTCTGGGTAAACAGTTTGTCAGCTATGAAACAGCCTATTAGCTTGATTTAGAAGCGATGTGGGTCTTAAACGTGAACCACTTTGGTGTAATTATATGGTTCTTACAAACTTAGCCAACTAACAAGAGGGCGTATCTATATAATCTATAATCTATATAATCGATCGGTTGAAAGCCAATTTATAAGGCATTCCATGTACTTGCTGACAAACTAAGAATAATCAGTGTAAAAAAAGATATTGGAACGGAGATCATCAGATTCTGGAAGGCCCATGGGAAGCAACTGCCTTAGACGTACCCACGCAAAATGCCTTAGACGTACCCACGCAACTGCCTTAGACGTACCCACGCAAAATGCCTTAGACGTACCCACGCAAAATGCCTTAGACGTACCCACGCAAAATGCCTTAGACGTACCCACGCAAAATGCTTTAGACGTACCCATGCAAAATGCCTTAGACGTACCCACGCAAAATGCCTTAGAGGTACCCACGCAAGATATCTCAGACGTACCCACGCAAAATGTCTTAGACGTACCCACGCAAAATGTATTAGACGTACCCACGCAAAATGCTTTAGACGTACCCACGCAAAATGCCTTAGACGTACCCACGCAAAATGTCTTAGACGTACCATCGCAAAATGCCTTAGACGTACCCACGCACCCAGAAGTAATGCACACACTTCAGAACAATTAAGCCAAATTAACATCTATAACTATATTTTCTTAAAGTGTATGTTGTAATTGAGCCACCTGAGAAGAAATCTATATGTAAAATGTTTGTTACTGCTAAACTGTATGTTCTGTCTACTTCTAGACGGCAAGTGCTACTACAAAGGGAATGCATACGCTCATGGAGAGAAATGGTCAGATGGATGTGCCTACGAGTGCACTTGCACTGATGGAAATTCTGGAAAATATCAGTGCTATAACAAGTGAAGTAATGAAACGAACAAGTGTTACGATCTTGTGGACCCGTGAAGGTCCGGGTTAGAATGAATCTTCAGTAACCCATGCTTCTCGTAAGAGGCGACTAACGGGATCGGGTGGTCAGGCTCGCTGGCTTGGTTGACACATGCCATCGGTTCCCAATTGTGCGCAGATCGATGCTCGTGCTGTTGATCACTGGATTTTCTGGTCCAGACTCGATTATTTACAGACCGCCGCCATATAGCTGGAATATTGCTGAGTGCGGCGTAAAACTAAACTCACTCACGCACTACGATCTTGTGACAGGCAATAAATACCGTCCGATTATACCAAATGACAATAAAAGATGGTACTTGTTGTTCACTTGTCTGGAGTCGGCCTTAACGGTGGGTGAGTGAGTTTAGTTTAGCAATATTCCATCAATATCAGAAATGGTCTTCACACATTGTACCCATGTAGGGAATCGAACCCTGGTCTTCAGCGTGACGAGCGAACGCTTTAACAACTGGGTTACCCCACCGCCCCTTAATGCAATGACCGGTTGAAGTCAATATGCTATGTACAGTAAACCTTTTGAAGTCAATATACTATGTACAGTAAACCTTTTGAAGTCAATATACTATGTACAGTAAACCTTTTATTCCCTTTTCATGTCTCCGTTTTTCTATTTCCCCAGATGTCCCGTGTACTACAACCTTCCCGCTGGCTGCACCCTGGTGAAGAAATCAGGAGAATGTTGCCTGCAGGCCGTGTGCAACTTCAACCCAACCATCAACTCATTCTCAGGATCTGGCGCAGGAGTCAAGAATGGAATAAGTAAGGAGAATAATATACGTTTAGAAAGAAACAACAATCATTGATAAAGTTCAAGAGCATGAATTGGATTTCAGGCGGCTTTGAACCGTATTCAAAGGAGTGAAAACCAACCCTGTCTCCATTGGTCCAATATCTTCAACCTGCCATTTGATGACAATGTACAGTTGCTGTACAGAGATGACAATCTAACAACTTCGAAGAACGTTAACAAAATTTACTGTTATTGTTCCTTCGATCCCCAAGAGTGTATAAGGATTTTGGTAATCCGGTATCTGAATGACGATGACTGTGTTTCCAGATGTGTGCGTGTACAAGACCAAGTCCTATTACCAGGGACAACAGTGGGAGGACGGCTGCACCTCCACCTGCACCTGCACCGATGCCAGCACCGGCGCCTACACCTGCTCGGATCTGTGAGTACCTTGATGTCCAAGACGTCCTTTCTTTGGGTAGCTTGGAGGTCAACTTTGGACGATCACAGTATATTTCTATTTTTTCTTCACTATCACAAATGTAGGGTACTAAAATTTTCAATTGAAATTATTAATTTAATGATAGTTTACCTTCATTAAATGAATTGTACTGGCGCTTAGTAATCACTAAAGGAATACTTCTGCATGTGTTTATTTATTAAGTGTAATTCTTTTCAAAAACCTTTTAAAATTTTTTTTAAAAAGACCCTGAAGTTTGCCTAATTCTTAATTGCTGGGGTTATCTTTGATATCTATGTTTGAAATATGTTTCAATAAGTTTACTTTTTCTTTGGCACAATCGTACACGATATATGGGTATCATGCTTCCAAATTCATTTTCCTCACCATGATTCTTTGAACCAGTTCATTTTACTCTAAATTACCTAGCCATTGAATACAAACTGTGGCCTGACTTCATGACCATAATTATATTTCAGATGCGGAACCTACAATACGCTGCCCAGCATGTGTCAGCTGCAAAGAATCCGGGCAAGTGTTGCCCGACCCCAGTCTGTGAGTTCAGTCAGCAACAAGGCAGCTTCTCCGGGTTCGGCTCAGTCAGCGCTCATGGCATAGGTAGGCTGATAGTCAGATTAATAAAAGGACGGCTTTTTTGATTACTGAATTCGATCAGATATATATCGAATGCTTTCAGTCTTACTTTCTGCAGCTGTGGATCTAAGTCACTCGTCTCCTGGTTATGGTAGACATTTTAGCACATCTTGGTTTGGGTATGAGATTAAGTTTTGTTATTTAAAAATAATAATTTTTTTCTTGCATCCATTATTGACCATTTCTAACCATACAAATAGAAACCAAATAATGTTGTCAAAAATATCTTGCATCAATAATTTTGGGTAGTTTAGTATTTAGTAAAGCGTGTCAACCCACTACCCCACCCTGCAAGCCCCTGTGTCGTTGCTTAAATATTTATTTATCAATGAATATTACAAATATCATATGGTACTGGTAGTGCATTTCTGACAAGTGCAATACTGATTAATGTGGAAATATTTAAGCAACGACCCAATGGGTGGTTAACGTCAAATCGTCACACATAATAGTTTATACTAAACCTGGGTCTGCCTATTGACTCTCTCATAGAAAAACAACAACATCCTGTACAATACAATCTTGAGTACGGCAAGTATACATGTCAAATGATCACGCATTGTCCTCCCGTGTCTAGGAATGAGCGCCACGGCAGCACCCCCGTGTAAGGACACCCTAGACAACTGCGCCTCGTATGGACGGTCTGTGTGCATGTCTTACCCCGGCTGGTCTCAGAGCAACTGCAGGAAGTACTGCAACCTCTGCAGTGAGTACATCCAAAACGTCCACGCCAGTAAAAATATCCGAAACCGATTCTACTTCTAAAGGCAAAATATTTTTAAAAATGATATCAATGAATTTATAACTAAAAATCAAATGAAGCTCAGTGTTCGAGAGAAGATGAAGACTATGCAGTCAAAGTCCGACTCTTGGGCCTGTTAGTCATGTCGAACTGCTGTGTATTTTGTTCTCGAACATGCAAGAGCATCGGCAACTACGGGTGATTACCTCAGTGTACATACTTCCTATGTTATTTTCAGACGACGGTCAAGTGATTGCAGGTGCCAATGGTGAGTATCGTGAATAGTGTGTGTACAGCAAAGTTGGGTGCATTTGACGCGCAGCACTGGTTTAGCACAACTCACCAAATGAATTTAAGCTATGGTAGAAACCACATCGTGTATTTCTGATTGTATTATGATGTCACACTGACTGATGTCGGGAATTACATGTCACATGGTATGAAACGGCGTGTGTCAGTATGCCTGTTGTCAGAACACCTGTGTATACAATGGCCACAAGTACTGTTATCACACTGTATATTGTCAGATCACTGTCTATACAATGGCCACAAGTACGTCAGATCACTGTCTTATCCACAAGTACATGGTCACTGGTCACAAGTACGTGTCATGTTATCACTGTATTGTCACAATGGTCACACGTATGTTATCGCACTGTATGTTGTCCACAAGTACGTGTCATGTTATCACACTGTATGTTGTCAGATCACTGTCTATACAATGGTCACAAGTACGTGTCATGTTATCACACTGTATATTGTCAGATCACTATCTATACAATGGCCACAAGTACGTGTCATGTTATCACACCGTATATTGTCAGATCACTATCTATACAATGGCCACAAGTACGTGTCATATTATCACTGTATATTGTCAGATCACTATCTATACAATGGTCACAAGTACGTGTCATGTTATCACACCGTATATTGTCAGATCACTATCTATACAATGGTCACAAGTACGTGTCATATTATCACACTGTATATTGTCAGATCACTATCTATACAATGGCCACAAGTACGTGTCATGTTATCACACTGTATATTGTCAGATCATACAATACATTGTCAGATCACTATCACCGTATACAATCACTGGCCACAAGGTACAAATGTCATATTATCACACTGTATATTGTCAGATCACTATCTATACAATGGTCACACGTATATGTCATATTATCACACCGTATATTGTCAGATCACTATCTATACAATGGTCACAAGTACGTGTCATGTTATCACATCGTATATTGTCAGATCACTATCTATACAATACACAAGTGTCATATTATCACACCGTATATTGTCAGATCACTATCTATACAATGGTCACAAGTACATCTATACACACCGTATATTGTCAGATCACTATCTATACAATGGTCACAAGTACGTGTCATGTTATCACACCGTATATTGTCAGATCACTATCTATACAATGGTCACAAGTACGTGTCATGTTATCACACCGTATATTGTCAGATCACTATCTATACAATGGTCACAAGTACGTGTCATGTTATCACACCGTATATTGTCAGATCACTATCTATACAATCACACTGGCCACACGTAAATGTCATATTATCACACCGTATATTGTCAGATCACTATCTATACAATGGTCACAAGTACGTGTCATGTTATCACACCGTATATTGTCAGATCACTATCTATACAATGGTCACAAGTACGTGTCATGTTATCACACCGTATATTGTCAGATCACTATCTATACAATGGTCACAAGTACGTGTCATATTATCACACCGTATATTGTCAGATCACTATCTATACAATGGTCACAAGTACGTGTCATGTTATCACACTGTATATTGTCAGATCACTATCTATACAATGGTCACACGTACATGTCATATTATCACACCGTATATTGTCAGATCGCTGTCTATACAATGGTCACAAGTACATGCAAGGACAGAACTGGAAGGTGTCCTGCGACAAGGAATGTGTCTGTGAGAACGCCGTCTATGGCTACTACAGGTGTCTCAGCACGTGAGTAATACCTCATACGGTGTTATGACCTCGTCTCAAGTGACAATTGCAAATATCATGTAGACACTGAATTTGTTATGCCATTGCAAACAGTATCTGGATGAAATATGTTCTTGACATCACATTGTATTGCTCGATCGGGAATCAATACTAGATCTGATGAAAGTAAAGAGCGTTCACAAGTTTTACAAGCTTTCTCATCTTGAAGAACAGGAATTATATCTACACATAACATATATGAGATAACAGATAACATATTTACAGATACATATATATCGAACAACTCTTTATTATGATTTGGAATGGTAAATATCCTGTATTAGTTATAGACTTTGTTCAAAATGTTCAAATCTAATACATGATATTTACGAACGGTTAGAACCTCTGTATCCTAGAAATAATTTATAAATTATTTTGTCGAACGGTGCCTAGATAATCTATGTTGATTTCGTCTAATAATATATCACGCCAGAACATTAACAAAATCCAATATAGTGCCATCAGAAACCTATAGTGTACACTAATTTTCGGTGTATTACTTTAGTCCAAAGGCTATCACGACGCTGATAGTGTTTGGTATCTTTATCCCCAACCGATAGCTTTGTATCAATTGGCTTTGTCCTGCTGGAACATCTACCGTCAGATGATAAATATTAATATTGACAATATTCCAACAGGTGTCCAACTTACAACAACCTTCCTTCTGGCTGCGCGGTCACTAAGAAGGATGGTCAGTGCTGTCCAAGCGTCCAGTGTAGTGCTGGAACGTTCGTCTCCTCCTCCACCAACCTCAACACCATTGGTAATGGCGGCATGATCTGGACCGGAACCGGAAGCGGAAGCGGAAGCGGCTCTGGTAGTTACGTTGCACCGACTCTTCCATCTGGAGCAAAAGCTCAACCAGGAACCGGTGGAACTGGATACCAAGCGCCAAAATTGAGTACGGAATAAATAATGGCTCTGTTTTCTAACTCGTAGATACAGGTACTGCGATCGGCCGTCCCTGGGATGGGAGAATATATGACATATATGATTGCTGAAGGATAACCCCATAACGTCCTTGCTGATACGATTGGCACCTGTTTTACCTAGAATATCAACATCTGTTACACCTGTCCTTAACAGCAATAGTATATAGTAGCCAAATACACTAATGTCTTATAATAATCTATAATGTTTCGATGATGATCAATAATCGCCTACAACTGCCTTGAACTGAAATCATCCGAATATGACAACCCTTTCCATTTGTGATATACAATTGTCCTTAACCATAATATACAATTGTGATATACAATTGTCCTTAACCATAATTATTGTTCACAATAGCGAAAAATAACTGTTTTTCACAGTAGTTAGGGGATCTAAACATTCGTTCTTTACAACTGACCTTAACAGTACCAACTAGACTAACATCTTGTCTCTGAAATGAACATATTTTACAGAGAAAAAAACTGTTCATAAAATAATTATAAATATAATGAAAAGGAGCCCAGAGACTTTCATCATTTTCACACTTGCCACATATTCTAGACTTGTATGGGCTTTATGTGATATGTTTGTTTCAGAGTCTGGATGGCAGACTAAGTACCGATGTACACTAAATTAACTGAATTTGTCCATATCTTGATCTTGACCGGCCGTACTGGGTATAACCGAAGCAGAAAGAGCAGACGTACATCTTCTAGTAGCACTGGAATAGATTCGTGTGCGTATTGTTGAAACCTACTTCATTGTATTTGTAGATGGTTGTCTGTATAACGGCGGTGTCTACGCCCTCAATCAGCGGTGGAACGACGCCTGCAGCAAGTCCTGCGTGTGCACCGACGACAAAACTGGTCTCTACAGCTGCAAGCCAAGGTACAACGTCTGCACCTTTGTCAGTGAATCTTCGTCAGTCAAAGTTTCTAACTCGACGGGCTAGGGATATTTATATGGAACTTGTATTGAAACTATTGATAATTTTGATGTCAAAAGACGCGAGTGGAGATTATATTTATAACCAAAATCATTCTTCCAAATAGTTTCAGTTTATCAACATTATGAACGTGTGGTACAGAGATTAGTGATGTTGTTCGATTGTGACGTCATGGTAACTGATGACGTCACGATCAACTGCAAAGAATTGCGGTGCAATGTCATTAAAACATCTCTGATTGGAGATGCCGCTTACGATCAGCCCTTTTAGGTTTTAGATTAGCAAGTAGTCACCCCATATGGGGTAATATAATAAAGGGGGGACGATGTCACGCTCCAACCACAAAACTAAAACATTGCTCTATTTCACTGTAGCACGAAAGACTGACCAACTGGCTATTATTTTGTAAGATGAATGAAAATGTTAATGTCAGTAATTACCAAGTATTTCCAAAAAGAACCCAGAAGAACTGACTCCCGTTGATAATCATATCATGTGTCAAGCATTTATCACAAAGTGCAACCCGTGAAGATCCGGGTAAGAATTGATCTTCAGCATCCCATGCTTTTCGTAAGAGGCGACTGACGGGATCGGGTTGTCCGGCTCGCTGACTTGGCTCACACATATCATCGTATCCCAAATTTGTAGATCGATGCTCATGTTGTTGATCACTGGATTGTCTGGTCCAGACGCGATTATTTACAGACCGCCGCCAGATAGCTGTAATATTGCTGAGTGCGGCGTTAAACAACATATCAGAAAGTGCATATTGGACCCTATATTTCTCAATAACAAAGGTTGCTCTTCGTAAAAGGCGACAATGCGATGAGCTCTTCAGACTTGGTTGATGACGTGTCATCGTACGATGCTCACAATATCAATCCCAGGTTTGTCCGGACCCGACTCAATTATCAGTCAATTTTACTGGACCAAAGATGGGTCTGGCGTTAAACAGCGAGGAAACACATATTAGCACCTACCTTGGGCGGTGGGGTAGCTTAGTGGTTAAAGCGTTCGCTCGTCACGCCGTAGACCCGGGTTCGATTCCCCAAATGGGTACAGTGTGTGAAGCCCATTTCTGTTGTCCCCCGCCGTGATATTGCTGGAATATTGCTAAAAGCGGAGTAAAACTAAACTCACTCACTCAATACCTACTAGCCGTCAACCCCAGGTGCCCGACGTACCCCACCATGCCTACCAGCTGTACCCTCGTGGCCGACCCCAACGACTCCTGCTGCCTCATCCCCCACTGTACCGGCGCTGCGGCCGGCTACGTTGCCGTCCCGTCGTTCGGTCAAGCGGTGCAAGGCCACGGCGCTGTCCAGCCTCCAAGTACAGGTGACCTGTGGAAGGGAGTAGGGGGCTACACCATTGTCCAGCTGGGGCCAACCGTACCCGCTCCCACAGGGGGAGTCGATGTCTTCGGCGGAATTGGTAAGATGAATGATTTTGCTGTTGATGTTTATATTTACGACCTGACTTCAGCGTACGTATAGACACGTACTGGCGTGCATACTTCTCATACGTCCATTAACGAAAGTCAGATTGTATTAAAGTATATCAAAATAATAACTAAACACACTAAAATAATAATTAACACACTGAAAACTGCAACAACAAATCAGCGACATCAGAATGATGCAACACGCCATTCTGTTACCAAACAAGAAAGTGTGGGTCGTTATTTAACGTGGCACGATGTATGGTGTATCCTGATATTAACGTGGTAGGATGTATGGTATATCCCTGCTATTAACGTGGTAGGATGTATGGTGTATCCCTGATACTAACGTGGCACGATGTATGGTGTATCCTGATATTAACGTGGTAGGATGTATGGTATATCCCTGAAATTAACGAGGTAGGATGTATGGTGTATCCCTGATATTAACGTGGTAGGATGTATGGTATATCCTGATATTAACGAGGTAGGATGTATGGTGTATCCCTGATATTAACGTGGTAGGATGTATGTTGTATCCCTGATATCAACGTGGCAGGATGTATGGTGTATCCCTGATATTAACGTGGTAGGATGTATGGTTGTATCCCTGATATTAATGTATGTATGTATCCCTGATATTAACGTGGCAGGATGTATGGTATCCCTGATATTAACGTGGCACGATGTATGTTGTATCCCTGATATTAACGTGGCACGATGTATGGTGTATCCCTGGTAACGTGGCACGATGTATGGTATGTCCCTGATATTAACGTGGCGATGTATGGATGTATGTGGTAGGATGTATGGTGTATCCCTGATATTAACGTGGCACGATGTATGGTGTATCCCTGATATTAACGTGGTAGGATGTATGGTGTATCCCTGATATTAACGTGGTAGGATGTATGGTGTATCCCTGATATTAACGTGGCAGGATGTATGGTATATCCCTGATATTAACGTGGCAGGATATTAACGTGGCATGTATGGTGTCCCCGATATCCCTGATATATGTCCCTGATATTAACGTGGCAGGATGTATGGTGTATCCCTGATATCCCTGATATTAACGTGGTAGGATGTATGGTGTATCCCTGATATTAACGTGGTAGGATGTATGGTGTATCCCTGATATTAACGTGGTAGGATGTATGGTGTATCCCTGATATTAACGTGGTAGGATGTATGGTGTATCCCTGATATTAACGTGGTAGGATGTATGGTGTATCCCTGATATTAACGTGGTAGGATGTATGGTGTATCCCTGATATTAACGTGGTAGGATGTATGGTGTATCCCTGATATTAACGTGGTAGGATGTATGGTGTATCCCTGATATTAACGTGGTAGGATGTATGGTATGTCCCTGATATTAACGTGGTAGGATGTATGGTGTATCCCTGATATTAACGTGGTAGGATGTATGGTGTATCCTGATATTAACGTGGTAGGATGTATGGTGTATCCCTGATATTAACGTGGTAGGATGTATGGTATATCCCTGATATTAACGTGGTAGGATGTATGGTGTATCCCTGATATTAACGTGGTAGGATGTATGGTGTATCCCTGATATTAACGTGGTAGGATGTATGGTGTATCCCTGATATTAACGTGGATGTAGGATGTATGGTGTATCCCCTGATATTAACGTGGTAGGATGTATGGTGTATCCCTGATATTTAACGTGGTAGGATGTATGGTGTATCCCTGATATTAACGTGGTAGGATGTATGGTGTATCCCTGATATTAACGTGGTAGGATGTATGGTGTATCCTGATATTAACGTGGTAGGATGTATGGTGTATCCCTGATATTAACGGTGTATCCCTGGTGGTGTATCCCTGATGTGGTATGGTGTATCCCTGATATTAACGTGGTAGGATGTATGGTGTATCCCTGATATTAACGTGGTAGGATGTATGGTGTATCCCTGATATTAACGTGGATGTATGGTGTATCCCTGATATTAACGTGGTAGGATGTATGGTGTATTATCCCTGATATTAACGTGGTAGGATGTATGGTGTATCCCTGATATTAACGTGGTAGGATGTATGGTGTATCCCTGATATTAACGTGGCAGGATGTATGGTGTATCCCTGATATTAACGTGGTAGGATGTATGGTGATATGATAACGTGGTAGGATGTATGGTGTATCCCTGATATTAACGTGGTAGGATGTATGGTGTATCCCTGATATTAACGTGGTAGGATGTATGGTGTATCCCTGATATTAACGTGGCAGGATGTATGGTGTATCCCTGATATTAACGTGGTAGGATGTATGGTGTATCCCTGATATTAACGTGGTAGGATGTATGGTGTATCCCTGATATTAACGTGGTAGGATGTATGGTGTATCCCTGATATTAACGTGGCAGGATGTATGGTGTATCCCTGATATTAACGTGGTAGGATGTATGGTGTATCTCTGATATTAACGTAGCACGATGTATGGTGTATCCCTGATATTAACGTGGCAGGATGTATGGTGTATCCCGTGATATTATCCCTGATATTAACGTGGTAGGATGTATGGTGTATCTCTGATTTTAACGTAGCTCGATGTATGGTGTATCCCTGATATTAACGTGGCAGGATGTATGGCGTATCCCTGGTATTAAGGTGGTACGATGTATGGTGTATCCCTGATATTAACGTGGTAGGATGTATGGTATATCCCTGTTATTAATGTGGCACGACGTATGGTATATCCCTGACCACTCGCAATACATTTATTATTGAGAAACAAAACAAGTATGATGCGTCTCTTCCCGCAGGCTACTGTATGTACAAGGGGAAGCAGTACCTCCCTGGACAGACGTGGGAGGACGGCTGCGACTACAACTGTGTCTGCGACGACGCCACATACGGCCACTATAAATGTGTTGAGAAGTAGGTAGTCGTTCTGAGTGAGTGAGCGAGAGAGTTTCGTTCAAGACCTTTTAACAATACTTCTGTCATGGTGTGTCTGCTTAATATGGGAGGGAACCCCGAAGTGATGGAAGACTCAGACGACTACCACTTGGCTGAAACCTACGGCTTAGTGTGACGGACGAAGTTTCATAAGCTGGACGGATGTGAAGCCCATGTTGCTAAAAGCTGCGTATACTCAGTAAGTCAGTGAGTCTTCTTCGTGAATCCAAAAACTTGAGTGATGGAACTTTTTATTTTAGATGTATCCACTACACAAACCTTCCCGAGCCGTTCTGTCGCCTCGTCCCCGACCCAGCTAATGCATGCTGTAAGATCCCCATGTGCAACTTCACCGGACCCTACCAGGGCTTCACGGGATACGCCTCGTTCTCCCCCAACACACAACCCCAGGAGACGACCACGCCCCTCCCTACGCCAGGACTACGTGAGTAGCGGTGCTATTCCGCTTTTAGTGCGACCGGTGAAGATCCGGGTTAGAATTGTTCTTCAGCAACCCATGCTTGTCGTAAGAGGCGACTAACGGGATCGGGTGGTCAGGCTCGCAGACTTGGATGACAAATGTAATCGTATCCCAATTGCGTAGATTGATGATCATGCTGTTGATCGCTCGATTGTCAGGTCCAGACTCGATTATTTACAGGCCCCCGCCATTTTGCTGGAATATTGCTGAGTGCGGCGTAAAACTAAACTCACTCACTCTCTTTTAATAGAAAGCGTCAGGCAGGGTAACAACAAGTCCCATCTGTTAACGTCCTTTGGTATGACGCGACATGGGGATCGAACCACGGAACTTCCGGTTCAGGTGACCCATCTATTTAGCCACCGAGGTGGCGAAACACTATGCAGTCAGATATTTCTGATAAATTGAAGAGGCTTTGTTTGTACACGTTGAAAACGACCTGTTGATAAGGATTCGAGATCGAAAACAAAAGGAGGCTAGGCATCTAGTTTATACCGGCATATTCTATCTCTTATATCAATAATATATTGTGGAAAATGAAGTATACTCATATGGAGTTAATAAATAAATAAAGAAATGGTGTGAAGTCGAAGACCTTTTTAGTTCACATCGAAAATGAATTGTTGATAAGGATTCGAAATCGAAAACATAAGGTGACCAGGCATCTATTTTATACCGGTTTATTTTATCTCTTATATAAGTAATATATTGTGGAAAACAAAGTATACACATCTAGAGTTACTAAATCAATAAAGAAATACTGTGACTGTGGTGAATAGAATTTCAAAATATTTTGCGCAACTAGTCAATCGGAAGTCTGTGCTGTAAATCGTACAGTGCAGACGCACGTCACAGCTATCGATAGGTGGAGTGATTGGTCGAGCCAACTGTGATGTGGCTATAAATGCCCTGCCTCACGAGGATGATCTCTTTCTAGCGTTCTGCGTCTACAAGGGCAAGCACTACAACCAGGGGCAGCAGTGGTACGACGGCTGCAGCTACAAGTGTCATTGTGACGACTCCCAGAACAACAAATACACCTGTCTGAGCAGGTGAGTAACGCTGAAATTAAAATACACCTGACTCACCAGGTGAGTACAGCAGAACCGTGTCCTCTGTATCTGTAACTTTTATTGGCGTTATTAGCTATTTCTTATGTATTTGTGTGTGTGGCTGTCAGTATGCATGACCATTGTATGTATATATGCGTGTGTGTGTGTGTGCGTTGCGCGTGCGTGTGTGTGAATTTTTGTATGCATGATCCTCGTTGTTGATTACTCAATATTGTAACAGTAAAATCCATCTCCAGTGAAAGAATAGGATCTAACTGAAAAGACACGGTATGGACAAATCCCAAGACTATGGCTTTTTACAGCTTAGCTTTCGCCTCTTTACCAAACAAGAAAATCAACGTTTGCCCATTGAATATCTTGGTTGTCCAGATTTCGTGAGACATTAATTACACGACACCCTGTGAGCCCACGTTCTCGATCCGTGAAGATCCGGGATAGAATTGGTCTTAAGAGATGACTAACGGGATCGGGTGGTCAGGTTCGCTGACTTGGTAGCACATGCCATCGTATCACAATTGCGTAGATTGATGCCCATGATGTTGATCACTGGATTGTCTGGTCCAGACTCGATTATTTGCAGACCACCTCCATATAACTGGATTATTACCGAGTATGACTTTATAGAACAAACAAACAAGAAAATCAACGTTTCCCCATAGAAAATGTTGGTGTTTTTGATTTCATGAGACATTAATTACGCAACAACCTTGTGAGCCCACGTTCTTATTGTCTCTCCGTCCCAGATGCCCAGAGTACAAGGATGTAGACCCCGCATGCAAGGAAGTCCCTGACCCCCGGGACCCTACGTGCTGTAGGATGCCACAGTGTGCCCCCTCCGTCGTCGGGACCCCTACCGCAGGCACTGGACTTGTCCCCGCCCTTCCTACCGTCCCCGCGGGGTCAGTTACAGGGAGCGGCACCCAGACATCTGGTGGTACCGCCATAGGTAGGACAGTTATGTTTTATGCTTGTGTTCAACATCAACCAGTTTATAAAAGGACTTTAAAAATCCAATTTTAATACATAAGGGATTTCATATGCCAGGTAGAATACATGCATGATAAATGAAACAACGTTATTGTTGGCGTCAATTTTAACATCAGTGGACTTAGGAAACCATTGCTGACGTTATAACCATTCACCGATGACGTAATGATGACATCATGGTTGACGGAATACAGACCTCATATCAGACAATGTACAAATATAAATGTTAACGTCATAAGAGACCATTGCTTACATACTAAATAATAACCAGTGACGTAATACAGACCTCATATCAGACAATGTACAAATATAAATGTTAACGCCATAAGAGACCATTGCTTACATACTAAATAATCACCAGTGACGTAATACTGACGTCATTGATGTCGTAACTATTTTGGTGGTGTAATGCAGATATTTTCAACATGATAAATACACGATTGTTGAATGATTACACAATGCCTAATACAAAATCGTAATGCATGTATAAATAGAGAATATTTTTCCTTTGAAGTCAAATAATATGTTTTTGATAGTTTGATAAGAGTTGGATCCGAGATAATATTCGACAATATTTTAATAGTGTTAGATCAGAGATAGATAATAGCTCGTATCACTGACAGACAGACAGACAGACAGACAGACAAGTCAGACATTATATTTACGTCTCACCTCTGTACATACAAAGGATATTTACAAACATTCAAAAGAGTAAAATGTACAGAACCATTCAAAAGAGAATTATGAGAGACAAAAATCATTTTAAAAAAATTAAAATTATCAGAACATTATTAAGCATAAAAATGTGTTTTCCTTCTGTTGAGGATTACAAAGCTGATTTTGCCTACAACAAAAGAAAGATTAGGATTGATGAATATAAAACATAATTTGTCGATATCATGTTTATCTAAACACTCTGGACATAGGTTAACACATGTAATTGTGCCTCACCCTCCCCGTCTGTGCAGGTTACTGTTTGTACAAGGGTACGCAGTACAAGAAGGGGGACCGGTGGGTGGACGGCTGCGACTACAGCTGCGTGTGCGAGAACACCGACACCGGCCACTACCGCTGTACCGAGAGGTGAGTACATGTATACTGACGCTGTACCGAGAGGTGAGTACATGTATACTGACGTTCAGCAGCCGGTGCTTCGTTTATTTCTATCCATGAGATTGTTGTCGTTTCATCATACACATCATCATCAACAGCAACATCGTCAGCTAAGCCGTCTGTAGGATAAAGCAACTTCATCATCAGTCATTATAGCCAATTTCTTGCTTTAAATTCTGAGGAATCGAGATGCCAAAATACAACATGACAAATTTTAATGTTATCTTGTCAGTAACTTACAGAGTAGATGTTGAGGTATGTTTCTTTGTTTGTCTCTAGACGCTGCACTCAGCTGTCTGTAAATAATCGAGTCTAGACCAGACAATCCAGTGATTGGATCGATACGATGACATATGTCAACTTCTCATGCAGAAGCAAAATCTCTGTTGTCATACAGAGATAATGTAATTCAAACTTATATGCCCGAAGTTAGGAAATATCTGAAAACATACGTAAATCCGGTCATGGCATGTATTTCCTACTGTATTTACGTTTATTTCAATGGTTTACTATCCGGCTTTTGGTCCTGTGTTAGGGACCATTTATAATCTATGGCCAGGGGGAGTGATGATGATGAGAGGCATGTACATGTAATTTTGATTATTTTAGTGGACAAAAGTGCACACACACACACACACACACAGTACATGTGTGCAAAATTGATGACCCCCCTACCTCTCCAGAACAAAATGGATGACACCTCCATAAAATCATAATTACCACCACCATCACTCGTCCCTACCCCCCTCCTAAAAGCGGTGTAAAACCATACTCACTCGCTCACTTTTGCGCAAACGGAATATGTTTTTACGGATAATCGAGACTGGTTATTGTCTGGCATTGACGGTCTATATCTACCTTCTACAGATGTACTCGGTACGCTAACCTCCCCTCGGCTTGTCACCTCATCACCGACTTCGCCAACCCCTGTTGTGAGGTGCCACGGTGCAACTTCGGCAGCAGTGGTAACGGTGTGACTGGGTACCAGACCCCTCCGGCAGGTGTCAGCCCGTCCCCTGGGAGTCTGGCCACACCCTCCCCAGGTTTGTACAGAGAACTTGATGGTCCAATAACACATGGATCGGCGTTGGCGTGTTGGGGGGACGTCTAAAATTCGGCATAGGCTGCCATTGATGCAGCCCAAATCGTCCACAAATCGATACTGATAATGGTTAAGATAAAATAGTTTAATCATGTATATTTCAGTTCAAAGACCATATTCATATAAACAATTCTCGCTTTCAGAAAATAAATGTGCATGTTTACTTATTGGAATTCTGAAAATATATCATATCAGATGAATTCGTCGTTAAATGTTTATCGTATCTGGAGTAATATCATGAGTTGATGTGTATTGAATATAAAATAGGTAAAACTTCATATAATAGGTGTTTAACCCTAAAAACATGGAAATTCCAACGTAAAACATTAATAAAATCCACTCATTTGGGTATGCTTAAAGATTTGACGGAAACGCAATACAGAATACCGGGATAAAGTAATAAATTTTGACAACTACTTTTTTTATAGAGAAAGGCAACTGAAAATTATTTGGCACTATATGATTATAAATGCACCGGTTCACTCAAACGTTGTATTTGTTCGGTAGTTTAAAATATTTTAAGCATAAAATTGTTCACACATTGTGGTTGCTTTTATTTCCGTATCGAAAATGAGGAATATAAATAATGATTTTTACCGACACAAAACAATAAATTTGATAATGGCGACTCGGAATCACACTGAACTTTGTATATAATTTACACATATGCCGAACACTGCATGTCCATAAGGTATAGCTTACGAACACAGCGAGTAATCTCCCTTTATTCAGGTACATGTGACTACAAAAGTGTCCAGTATGTCCAGGGTCAAGTCTGGACGGATGGCTGTGAATTCAGATGTCGTTGTGACAACGCTGCCAAGGGTATCTACACCTGTTCTGATAGGTAAGCTTTTAAAGAGAGTTTTGAATGAAAACATGCTAACAATATGCTTGTAGATACTATATTATATTTGGGAGACACTATTTCATATTTTGGATGCGAATATTTTTAGGTGAAGTATTTATTTGTATTCACACCTCGTCTTCAAGATCATTGTGCTTATAAAGAGACATGCATGCAGGTGTATGTGCGTCGCTGCTTGTACTAGACCGAAACTTTGCAGGTTTTACTGTAATACCCCACTGTTTTCTTTGTTTAATTGTTGTTTAACGCCGCACTCAGCAATACTAAAGCGGACAATCCAGTGATTGACAACATAAGTATCGATCATGCAGATAGGATACGATGACATTGATCAACCAAGTCAGCAAGCCTGACCACCCGATCCTATTAGTCACCTCTCATGACAGGCTTTGGTTGCTAAAGACCAATTCGAATCCGGATCTTCACGGGCCACTATCCCATTGAGATGTCATTCTAAAGTTTAGCCTCTCTACCACACTCAAGACACAGTATTAGGACTCGAGTAGTCTTTATGCATCAGGCAGGGTAACATCAAGTACCATTTATTATCTTCTTTTGGAAAGGACGCTTCCATATGTCCACCGACCTTCCAGACAATCCAGTGATCAACGGCATGAGATTGATCTACGCAATTGTGATACAATGTGTCAATCAAGTCAGCGAGCCTGACCACCCGATCCCGTTTGTAGCCTCTTACGACAAGCATGGGTTGCTGAAGAATTGGTCTTGTGTTGATCACTGGATTGTCAAGTACAGACTCGATTATTTATAGAACGCCACCATATAGCTGGAATATTGCTGAGTGCGGCGTTAAACAATAACCAATCAATCCATCAGCCAACCCACTCTCCGGTCAGACTCAATGCAAGCTAGTTCACGGAGCCGGCCGCAGGCATGTGATTGTTAACTTGATCTTAAACCCAAAAGAACCATAAAATTAAAATAATGTTGAAAATCTTTAACTCTCTAGGTGTCCTAAATACGACAACCTCCCTGGATCTTGCACACTGGTGACTGACCCCAAGGACGCCTGCTGTTTAACACCTGTCTGTACAGTTCAGCCGGGTACACCAGCCCCAATCGGCACTCCCACCCCGGGTCCTGGTGTGTCACCCCTACCAGGACAAACACCTCACCCCGGATCTGGCGCCACCCCGGGAGTCAATCCAACACCTTACCCAATCCCGACTGCTGTCCCAGGGAAGATCGTGGGTCATATCAACGTCCCACCACCCACCCCCGGGCCCGGAGGACTGATCCCCACCCCAGTGACCATTAGTAAGTGAAATAATAGTATCTTTGTACTTAATAAACGTTTCTCTACGTGGCATTTTAGAAGTTGGTACGATGATATATAGATTCACAACTGCCCAATTGCAAGGGATGCGTCAATCCATGGATTTACCACTGCTGCCAAGTTTCACCGTGGCACCTCAAAGCAGTTGTCAATCCATACAACTGGATCTTCTTAAATGCACGTTATAAGAGTATTACGTCAGAGAGTAATTATATACAATCATTGATAAACAAAATTATACAATTTTCAATAATTATCAAATTCACGTAAACTCTTGGGGTAAAAAACGTACTGAATCTGCCCGAAACATTAAGCTTGTGAACGGGTAACTACCAAAAATAGTGCAGTTTAGAATGATCTCCCCTGTTGCTAGGACACTGCGAGTACAAAGGTAGCCAGTACAACCAAGGACAGAGATGGAGGGACGGATGTGACTACAACTGTCAATGTGTAGATGCTCTGTCTGGAAAATACGAATGTACAGAACTGTAAGTAGTCTTAAAAACAAATAGTGAGAGATTCAGACTGTTAACAAGTGATCTTAATTTTATTTCTTTTAAATATAAATGTTACATAATCAGTGAAAATATTTGTTTTCAGTTTTTATGTTTTGTTTAGAATTATTTTCACTTGTTGGTTGAGATGAGGCTTCAGAAACATAACAAATATACGGATAGCCTACCATATCTCTAATGGTTGTGTTTGACTTCAGGTGTCCGCAGTTCGTGCACCTGCCTCCCTACTGCACCCTCGTCAAGGATCCCGCCAACCCTTGCTGTGAGGTACCCGAGTGTAGCCAGGGCCCCGCGACCCCGCAGCCCACCCCTCCCGGACAGACACCCCTCCCAGGACAGTCTCCTCTGCCAGGACATTCCCCCCTCCCAGGGTCGACCTTGGCCCCACTACCTGGTCACAGCCCATCCCCTGGAGTCACACCAAACCTTGGACCAGGCGTCACGCCCACACCTAAAGGTAGGTCAAAATTACACCCACAACAAATATATTGGTTTTCAAAATCTCCTTTTTCACTTTTTCAGACTTTACATTTTACAAGACACAGATATCAAACATTACGAATGACAATCGATCGCCACGCACGCCAGTGTTACTGAATGCTGTGTTTGGATTCAGTTGGTGCTTAATCACTGCTCATATGTATATTTCATGATATATACTACTCATAAGAAATTAAACAAGACCCGATTTTGTCACAACACTCAGCCTCCCAACTGTAGTGTTCACTAACTTGTTTTGAACAGTATACATGCAACTGACGTTTTCTATTTCCGGACTCTCCAAACAAGACGTCAACAACACGGTATGTTATTGTAAGTGATATTTCCCTGTCGACTGTTTCAGACGTGTGTGTGTACAAGGGCAAATCGTATACACAGGGACAGTCTTGGTTCGACGGCTGTGACTACAAGTGCGAGTGTGAGGACGGAGCAGCCGGCGTCTACAGATGCAACAACAGGTAGGAGAAATATAATGATCATTATAGAGAAAAACTGTACAAACGCTAGGCTGGCAGCTAGGGTTGTATTATCCCCAGGGAGCCGAGAATGCCGGGTTTTTAAAGTTGTTTGCATCATCATCTTCATTTTTATTACCCGGTCGGATGGACGATTTCATCGTCAAGTTCCTCACCGGCAGCTAGGGTTCTATGATCCCAAGAAGCATGGACTGAAAATGGACGAGCAATAATGTAGAGCTTTACTTGCTTTAGTTTGAAGATTTGGCGCGTGATAAATATGCTTATTATTGTTTTCATTATTGTTCTTGTTAAATACGGTCGTCTTCGACCCGTGAAGATCCGGGTTAGAATTGGTCTTCAGTAACCCATGCTTGTCGTGAGAGGCGACTAACGGGATTGGGTGGTCAGGCTCGCTGACTTGGTTGACACACATCATCGTATCCCAAGTACGTAGATCCATGCTCATGCAGTTGATCACTGGACTGTCTGGTCCAGACTCGCATATTTACAGACCGCCGCCATGTAGCTGAAATATTGCTGAGTGCGGCGTTAAACAACCAACTAACCAACCAACCAACGTTGACGTCGCCTTCGTCTTTGTTGTTTGCGTTATTGGTGCGATAAATATTCTGATCATTTTACCCACCCTCATCCAATGCGCTCATCCGCAGGTGTCCGTCCTACAACAACCTCCCACCCCAGTGCACCTTGACCGCTGACCCACAGGACCCCTTCTGCTGCAAACTGCCCAAGTGCCACTTCGACGCCACGCAGACCAACGCCACCGGCTACGGCCTCATTCCAACTCTGCCGCCTGGCTCCGTGTCAGGAGGAAAGGCCACCCCTATGCCGACCCCAGGGCCTAACCCGTACGGCAGCCCCACCCCAGGTCCTGTACTCACCCCCTACCCAGGCTATACTGGTAGCCCGGGGCCTTACTTAACACCAGACCCTGGCGTTACTCAAGCGCCAGACTTGAAAAGTGAGTAGAAATAGCGTTTTGTATATACAAGTAACAAAATACGGCCACAGCCCTTTTTCAGTTCGTGCACTCTACTATATTGTTTGTGATTACAGTCTTTCCCCTTGGTAGCTTATTTCAGTAATGCCATAGCCCAACACTTTTATCATATAATTCCATAGCTTGAAAAGGTTTTAAGATTACGTTATTTTTAAATTTCAATAGTGACCGCTTTCACGATGTATTACTTCCTGTAAGCTGTGACCTGTGACTGTTTATACCACTGTTTGCTGGCATGTTGGTCTGCATGAGACCCGGGCCGTTGGGCTGTATACAAGTAGTTGTGACGTTGCTATCTGCATCAGTGTCGTAAGAGGAACATGTTAGGATTGACACATGTCATCGTATCCCAAATGCGTAGATCGCTGTTCATGCTGTTGGTCACTGGATTGTCTGGTCCAGACTCGATCATTTACAGACCGCCGCCATATAGCTGGAATATTGCTGAGTGCGGCGTACAAGTAAACCCACTCACTCACTCACTCTGTGCATCGGTCTTTACAATTCACCAATTGACAGAGTTTTATGCAACATCTGTGACTTCAGTTTACTGTTTTGCATTTTTAAATGTATTATTGGGGCAGAATATAACTCCAACCAGTCAGTTGATGTCTCCATAGTTGTAGTCCTGTTGTTTCTCCCTCAGATGTCTGCGTGTACAAGGGCAAGACGTACAGTCAAGGACAGAGATGGCAAGATGGCTGCGAGTTTGATTGTGTGTGCCTCAACAGCGCGACAGGAGCTTACAAATGTACAGAAAAGTAAGATATGACTATTTGCCCAAATAATTTACCTAACCTTTGATTTCGTATCAAATGCGACCCAGTAGTCCAACGTTGATCAATTCTTTGTGCATGTTTTATCCCTTGGTCGTGGCAGGATCCGCTGATCATTGGTACGATTCCCTAACTACCACACACGTTCTCGTGGGTTTTACCAAAGTATGTTTAACGTATTGGACTTGGGCGTTTCAGTGTGCAGTAAGTGACGTAAGGTAGCCAAATGGTTTAACCACATTTGCCCATCACGCCGATGGTTCCGGATTCGGTTTTCCGAATGAGTACAAAGTGTTCGGAACCAATTTTTATTTCCCAATCCAACACAGAAGATATTGATATAAATGGGGTCAAACCATATTCACTCACTCACTCACCCACATAGTGTGTATTAAGCTGCCATGCGGACACCAACAACACTGTCAGAGAAGCAGTGTTAACACAAACCCATATACATTTGATACTCTGAAACATTTCTGTTCCTAAAACGGACGTTAGTCTTTGAAATTGGGTAGAATAGGTCTTCAGCAACCCATGCTTGCCACAAAAGGCGAGTATGCTTGTCGTAAGAGGCGACTAACGGGATCGGGTGGTCAGGCTCGCTGACTTGGTTGACACATGTCATCGGTTCCCAATTGCGCAGATCGATGCTCATGCTGTTGATCACTGGATTGTCTGGTCCAGACTCGATTATTTACAGACCGCCGCCATATAGCTGGAATATTGCTGAGTGCGGCGTAAAAGTAAACTCACTCACTCACTTTGAAATTGGCTTGGTAAAGGGATTATGAGCATGGTTATATTTAGCACCACCTTGATGATAATATAATAATAGGTGAATGCTCGTAGCGCTGACAAGCTGGTTATTATTACCCCGGATAACACAAGCTGCCTGTGAGGCGCTAGAAGGTTAATAGTCGCATGACTTATCCCACCGGGTACCCATTTTCTGCCCAGCACTATCACGGCGGAGGACACATAGTAGCAATATGAGGATTCATATTTATAAGGAACTATAACCATAAACTATGTTTATAAGGAACACGCTTATAACGAACCGACGGATATACCGAACTGTTTGGGGGTCACTTGTATATTTCAGTCAAATGCTTATTACGAACACCGTTTACATCAAACTGAAGTTACTGGTCCTTTTGAGTTCGCTATAAATGTTTCTGTATATAAGCAATACTTTGTCCTTTAGCCTCATTTTAGCTCACCTCACCTGTATTCACTGTATCCCCCAGATGTCAGCGTTACCCCAGCCTCCCCCCTCAGTGTCAGATGGTCCAGGACTACCTCAACCCCTGCTGCCGGAAGCCCTACTGTGACTTCAGACCAACCACCACACTGTTCCCTCCTACATACCTGCCGGGACACTCACCCACCCCTCACTCTGGCGGCACCCCCACCCCACAGGCTCCCACACCCAGCGGTGAGTAGTACGACCCTGAGGCCATTGATGCCATGTTCCACAAGGTGTCATGTCCCTACCAAGTACAAGGTCACTCATTTCATCCACTCTCGAAATGTATTAAAAGGTAAAACGTCAAACAAGAATAATCGGTTTCGATTATCTTCCGAAACTGATTCCATGTACAATCGGCATTAAAATAAAGATATTATTCAAATATATGAATTGATTACTTAAAATCGTTGATGATACCAGATATTCGCCAAGGGGTAAACTTATCTTGTTCAAAAAAATTCGAGTTATTTCAAAACATCCGATAATTTTCATAAGAATATATAATAATGATATAGTTTTCCGTTCAAACTTTCAATCAGACAAAGAAGCCCTCGTTATAGCCCCTCCTATCATTGTTTAAAGTACCATGTGCATATTTGAATCAATGACATAAACAGAAATCTCGAGATGTCGTCCAAACAAAACAGTGTTTCTGGTACAATGACCATACAATGCCATTCATGTTTTACTGGTTTCAATGTTACAAGTGTGAGTGTCTGTTCCAGCTGTCTGTATATACAACGGCGTGCCCTTCCAACAAGGCGACTCTTGGAATGACGGCTGTGACCTCAAGTGTAGCTGCGAGGACGCCAAGTCTGGCTACTACAGGTGTAATCACAGGTATGTGACGTCATAGGAAACATCTTTAATAACGTGTTTAGCTACTCCAGGTGTAATCACAGGTATGTGACGTCATAGGAAACACCTTTAATCACGTGTGTCTAGCTACTACAGGTGCAATCACAAGTATGTGACGTCATAGGAAACACCTTTAATCACGTGTGTCTAGCTACTACAGGTGCAATCACAGGTATGTGACGTCATAGGAAACACATTTAATCACGTGTGTCTAGCTACTCCAGGTTCAATCACAGGTATGTGACGTCATAGGAAACACCTTTAATCACGTGTGTCTAGCTACTACAGGTGCAATCACAAGTATGTGACGTCATAGGAAACACCTTTAATCACGTGTGTCTAGCTACTACAGGTGCAATCACAGGTACGTGACGTCATAGGAAACACCTTTAATCACGTGTGTCTAGCTACTCCAGGTTCAATCACAGGTATGTGACGTCATAGGAAACACCTTTAATCACGTGTGTCTAGCTACTCCAGGTGCAATCACAGGTATGTGACGTCATAGGAAACACCTTTAATCACGTGTGTCTAGCTACTACAGGTGCAATCACAAGTATGTGACGTCATAGGAAACACCTTTAATCACGTGTGTCTAGCTACTCCAGGTGTAATCACAGGTATGTGACGTCATAGGAAACACCTTTAATCACGTGTCTCTAGCTACTCCAGGTGTAGTCACAGGTATGTGACGTCATATGAAACACCTTTAATCACGTGTGTCTAGCTACTCCAGGTGTAATCACAAGTATGTGACGTCATATGAAACACCTTTAATCACGTGTGTGTAGCTACTACGAACGCCATGTCTGGCTACTCCAGGTGTAATCACAGGTAGGTAACGTTATAAAAAACACCTTTAATCACACGTGTCTAGCTACTGTAGGTGTTATCACAGGTAGGTGACGTCATAGAAAGCACTTTAGATCGCCATGTCTGGCTACCACAGGTGTAATCACAGGTTGGAAACGTTATAGAAAACACCTTTAATCACACGTGTCTAGCTACTGTAGGTGTTATCACAGGTAGGTGACGTCATAGAAAGCACTTTAGATCGCCATATCTGGCTACCACAGGTGTAATCACAGGTTGGAAACGTCATAGAAAACACCTTCAATAACACGATTCCGTCCAGTAGTGGGGTAATCACAGGTAAGCGTCGTCACACCTCTGTGTGAGTACATCTGTAGTTACCGGACACATGAGATTAAGGGTGTTTCCCTTAACACCACTTAACCTTACCTGTTTTATGCCACTCATAGGATACACTTTCAAGTCCAGCTACAACACAGCTGATGCAGCTATAGTAGGTCGATGCGTAGATCGGTGCTCATGACGTCAATCACTGGATCTTCCCGAAATGGGTTTTCCCGTTTATAGGAATCCAGGTTGTCACAGTGACTCAGTGAGTTTGGTTTCACTGCGCATTTAGCAATGTTCCAGCAAAATCACAGAGGGGGACCACAGAAATGGGCTTCACACATTGTACCCCATTCTCTTCCCACAGAGGTTACTTGTCATATCTTCCTACGAACCTCTGTTCTAATACGGCCATATTTCCCGGTTATCGTAAAATCCCCTAGCGGCAAAAGATCGCAACGCGAATTATCTCCCTTCTTTCTATCCAATCAGAACACGTGTTACATCGACTTAGATTCAACTTGACTAACACAAGCAAATGTGGGGCCACAAATATCCCTCCATCTGCCGGGGACTTGTGTTGATGTTACACACATGACGTTTAATGGCTAGCTTGTCCGTTGTCAACGAGGGCGATGGAGACGCCACTGATCCGCCATAACATGACTGAGTTCTGTCTAGAAGAAACGTTTGCGCATCGCGCAGGGGAAGAAGTTTAGTTTTCTCGAAGCATACGGAAATTACCGAGGCCTTGCGAATGATCACTTTTGAAACAACGTTGCTGATTGCACAACTAAATCTGATTGCCTCCAATCACGAGTCTTGAACGCTCACACCATGAAAGGGCCGTATTAGAACAGAGGTTACGTAGGAAGATATGACAGGAGTAACCTCTGTGGGAAGAGAATGATTGTACCCATGTGGGGAATCGAACTCGGGTCTACGGTGTGACGAGCGAACGCTTTAACCACTAGGCTACCCCGCCACTCAGATTCATATCATGTCATTGTTCTTCACCAGGTGTCTGAAGTACGACAACATCCCTGCCACGTGCATCCTACAGACTAACCCCCGGGACAGCTGCTGCAAGGTGCCCTTCTGTGCCCCCGTCATGCCGCCCACCCAGGCGCCTCAACCGAACACTCCCAGCCCTCTGCCTGGAGTCTCAACGCCGTCGCCAATACCCGGAGTGTCGCCAACATTCGGGCCTGGCATGTCCCCCAACCCCAACCCCGGAGTTAACCCCACCCCCAATCCATACCCAGTGCCCACAGCTATACCCGGGATACTCACAGGCAACGGCGTGAACCCAAATCTGAACCCCAAAGACAACGCAACAAGTACGTATTCCGTGTGTGCGTCTTTGTTTGGTAACTTAGAGTGAGTGAGTGAGTGAGTATGGTCTTACGTAGTTTTTTGCAATATTCTAGCAATATCACGGCGGGGGACACCAGATATGGGCTTCACACATTGTACCCATGTGGGGAATCGAGCCCGGGTCTTTGGCGTGACGAGCAAACGCTTTAACCACTAAGCTACCCCACCGTCCCGGTAATTTAGACTTAAAAGAAGTCTTCGAGCGATGCCCTTAGCTGGGAGACTTAACATAACACATGACATAGATACGACGCATTGTATTGTGTACACGACACAAGTCTTGATAACTACAACTAACGACAGGCATTGTACAAAAAACCTCATTGATACTAAAAATACCGCAATGTTAACCACGTTGTTGAATTAAACAGCGATTGCAATGGGCGCTCGATAGCTTAATATGAGTGAGTGAGTGAGTGAATTTAGTTTTATGCCGCTTTCAACAATATTCCAGCAATATCACGACAGGGGACACCAGAAATGGGCTTCACACATTGTACCCATGTGGGGAATCGAACCCGGGTCTTCGGTGTGACGAGCGAACGCTTTAACCACTAGGCTACCCCGCCGCCATAGCTGAATTTGAAATGGCTTTATGATCAATAACAGTAGCCTTGTCCCATAAAGCGACCTTAGCGCTCCGACATGCACTAAGAACATCATAGCGCTAAGATTGCTTTGTGAAACGGTATAATACACATAGATGTAACTAGTGATGTGTGTTAAAACAGATATAAATCCGTGAAATAATTATATTCATTAAATATATTGATAATCAATACCTTATATCACAAATACCATGATTTCCACTTGGCCAGATTCTAGTACCTGTTTACATCCTTAAAGCCACAGGGTAATCTTCTCACTGTGGTGCCTGAAATCCTAAACTCCCAAGAAACTGGCGAGCTATGGAAATATGGGAAAATAGCCGTGTATGGGTATGATGATGATGATGATGATGATGATGATGATTATGTATTTGTTGTCAGTGGGATGCTTCTACAAGGGCCAGCTTCACAAGCAGGGGGATAAGTGGATCGATGGTTGTGAGTTTAACTGCGAGTGTGTGGACGCCAAGAAAAGCCGCTACCAGTGTCTGGAGAGGTGGGCACATGCAAGGAGAAAGATAACGTTGTAGTAGTAGTTGTAGTTGTAGTAGCTGTTGTTGTTGCTGTAGTAATAGTGGTAGTAGCAGTAGCGACAGGAGCAGCACAAATAGCAACATATAATTTAGTATATGTGGTAAAAACAGCAGCAGCAACAACAATAGTAGTAGTAGTTGTAGTTGTAGATGTTGTAGTAGTAGTAGATGCAGCAGGAGCAGCAACACAACACCATCAACAACTTTAGTAGCAGCATCTTTAGTTTTTGTGGTAGAAGCAGCAACAGTAATAGCAGTAGTAGTAGTTGTTGTAGAAATGGCAGTAGCCGCAGTAGTACTTTTGGAAGTAGAAGTAACAGTAGTAGTTGTAGTAGTAGCAGTGGTAGTAGTACTAGTAGTAGCAGCAATAACTTTGGAAGTAGCAACATTAGTAGCGGCAGTAAAAGTAACAGTAATGTCAATAACAGAAATAATAACGGTTGCATATTTGTCGAGCTAAATAGGTACAACAAATCAAGGTCAACATTGCTGTGCCTTCCACTTTACATTCATAACTTAAAGAAACTGAATTAAACCACACGCTTTATCGTCTTCCCTGCCACATACTGTAAACACCTTCCGTGTGTTGAACAGGTGCCCTGCGTACAACAACGTGCCAGCCTATTGCATGTTGGTGCCCGACCCCAATGACGCGTGCTGCAAGGTGCCATCCTGTCTCCCCCCACTCAGTGTGAAGCATACAACACCTGCACCCCTCCCTGGTGTGTCACCCAACACCCCGGGTACCCCTCAACCCGTCGTCACCCTGGCTCCAGGCCAAACTTACCCCGCGGGCGTGTCTCCCCCCGTGGCTGGTACCCCGGTTCCAGGAACTCCTGTGCCTCAACCAAGAGGTAGTATTCTTGGTCTTCCTGTTTGTGTCTTTACAGATAACGATTATTGTTTTTGTTTGTTTGTTTTTAACGCCGTTCTCAGCAATATTCCAGCTATATGGCGGAGGTCTGTAAATAATCGAGTCTGGACCAAACAATCCACTGATCAACATCATGAGATCGATCTACGCAGTTGGGATACGATGATGTGTCAACCAAGTCAGCGAGTCTGACCACCCGATCCCGTTAGTCACCTGTTAGGACAAGCATGGGTTGCTGAAGATCAATTCTAACACGGATCTTCATGGGTCCGAATTATTGGATGGATGGAACAAAGGATGGCGTTGTACGGCTGTCATGGATGATGTTTTCTTAAATCATAATCATTATAAACAAAATGAGACATAGGTATTAATAACGTAAAGGAAAAATATTTATATCATATATTTTAAATGAAAACAATACATTTGACATTATTTTAATGCATTGTCGTTTCCCACCAGATGTATGCACGTACAAGGGCGTGTCATACACTCAGGGCCAACAGTTCTACGACGGCTGTGACAAGGTCTGTGTCTGTGAGAATGGGAAAACTGGCTTCTACAGATGCTCCGACAGGTGAGCTACAGAGTTGTTGGCTTCACATATTGTACCCTTGTGGGGAATCGAACCCGGGTCTTCGGCGTGACGAGCGAACGCTTCAACCACCTGGCTACCCCACAGCCACCCATACTAAGACTATCGAAACAGTTTTTCGCATTAATAATGCATTTCACGAATTAAAAACGTTTTTGATAATAACAGGTGAGCTAGTCTGATATTAGTGTACGACCACGTCGAGAGCATACAGATTTTATTATTATTTTTATTATATTTATGTATTTATTATTTATTTTTTTGCTTTATATTTTTCACCAGGAACGAAGGGAAGGACTCGGTTGAGATACATAAAGTTATCTGAAACAGTAACCCTCTCAACCTGACTGACCACTAAAATGCCATTGCACTTATCAACATAGGTACAACCGCCAAGGCGTTTCGTTAAATATGACATATATGGACACGGGGTAATTCTGATTCAGATGCACACAGTTCACGAACATCCCCTCTACTTGCACCCTGATCGCTGACCCCCGGGACCCTGGGTGCTGCCAAGTACCACAGTGTATCCCCAACCCCGGTCAACCAGGCTTCTCCACCCCCAAGCCTGGCGCACAGCCAACCATCGCTACCAACGTCCCTGGCTTCGTGACGGGCAAGGCGCCTGTCCCAGGCCCCACCCCCGGGCCTGACGGGAAGATTCCAACACCTGGCCCAGACGGGAAATACCCCACCCCAGGCCCGGGAATGACACCAGCCCCGAGAAGTAGGTTGAAAAGAATATATGTCGATCTATTGTAGTAATGGAAATCTTGTCCCAAATCCAACCAAAGACAGTTAATAGTGGTATTCTGCGAATTCCTTAGAACCCTAAAGTTATAGTGAGCGAGTGAGTGAGTGAGTGAGTGAGTGAGTTTAGTTTTACGCCGCACACAGCAATATTCCATCTATATGGAGGCGCCTAAAGTTATAAATTCAAGATATAAGGTATTATGAAACAGAGATAGATAGTCGTGTAAATTTCTATATTGTAAATATAGTATACATGTATTGTGACTATATCACGTGTTATGCAAACCTTGGCCTAGCTTGACGGATATCTTATTTATTCCTAATTCAGTATACTTCGGTTAGAATTACTGAAAGGAGCCACTGATTTTATCTTAGTTCGTTGTACGTATTTTCCACAATAAACGAAAGATGAAAAACATATTTTCACTGAATTAAGTAACGTTCGAGACGATATTGGCTGCTTGAGATTACTTCCTTGAAGGTGCCCTAATTTGCGTATTTACAGTATCGAAATACCGTACTTATCGGAATAGGGTATTGCATGGACAACAACTCGTGTGACGACGTTTAACGCTACTTGCAGGTGGGTGCGACTACAAGGGCACCGTGTACGTCGAGGGTCAGAAATGGCAGGATGGCTGCAAGTACAACTGTATCTGTGACGACGGCAAGACGGGAAAATACACCTGCAATGAAAGGTGAGATGAGAAAACTACACTTACAATTATAAAGTTAATAATAAATTGAGGCAGTAAATCCACCTGCAATGAAAGTTGAGATGAGAAAACTACACCTGCAGTTATAAAGTAAATAATAAATTGAGGCAGTAAATCTACCTGCAATGAAAGGTGAGATGAGAAAACTACACCTGCAGTTATAAAGTAAATAATAAATTGAGGCAGTAAATCCACCTGCAATGAAAGTTGAGATGAGAAAACTACACCTGCAGTTATAAAGTAAATAATAAATTGAGGCAGTAAATCCACCTGCAATGAAAGTTGAGATGAGAAAACTACACCTGCAGTTATAAAGTAAATAATAAATTGAGGCAGTAAATCCACCTGCAATGAAAGTTGAGATGAGAAAACTACACCTGCAGTTATAAAGTAAATAATAAATTGAGGCAGTAAATGACTTCAGAGATAAATACACCTGCAATGAAAGGTTGAGGCAGTAAATCCAATCTGCAATGAAAGTTGAGACATGAGAAAACTACACCTGCAGGTATGAGATGAGAAAACTACACCTGCAGTTATAAAGTAAATAATAAATTGAGGCAGTAAATCCACCTGCAATGAAAGTTGAGATGAGAAAACTACACCTGCAGTTATAAAGTAAATAATAAATTGAGGCAGTAAATCCACCTGCAATGAAAGTTGAGATGAGAAAACTACACCTGCAGTTATAAAGTAAATAATAATAAATTGAGGCAGTAAATCCACCTGCAATGAAAGTTGAGATGAGAAAACTACACCTGCAGTTATAAAGTAAATAATAAATTGAGGTAAATCCAATCAATGAAAGATGAGAAAACTACACCTGCAGTTATGAAGAAAACACCTGCAATGTGAGATGAAAGTTATAAAGTAATAAATTGAGGCAGTAAATCCACCTGCAATGAAAGTTGAGATAAAAACTACACCTGCAGTTATAAAGTAAATAATAAATTGAGGCAGTAAATCCACCTGCAATGAAAGTTGAGATGAGAAGAAGAAAACTAAAAACTACACCTGCAATGAAAGGTTGAGATGAGAAAACTACACCTGCAGTTATAAAGTAAATAATAAATTGAGGCAGTAAATCCACCTGCAATGAAAGTTGAGATGAGAAAACTACACCTGCAGTTATAAAGTAAATAATAAATTGAGGCAGTAAATCCACCTGCAATGAAAGGTGAGATGAGAAAACTACACCTGCAGTTATAAAGTAAATAATAAATTGAGGCAGTAAATCCACCTGCAATGAAAGGTGAGATGAGAAAACTACACCTGCAGTTATAAAGTAAATAATAAATTGAGGCAGTAAATCCACCTGCAATGAAAGTTGAGATGAGAAAACTACACCTGCAGTTATAAAGTAAATAATAAATTGAGGCAGTAAATCCACCTGCAATGAAAGTTGAGATGAGAAAAAACTACACCTGCAGTTATAAAGTAAATAATAAATTGAGGCAGTAAATCCACCTGCAATGAAAGTTGAGATGAGAAAACTACACCTGCAGTTATAAAGTAAATAATAAATTGAGGCAGTAAATTGAGAAAGGTTGAGATAAATACCACCTGCAATAAAGTAAATAATAAATTGAGATAAATCCACCTGCAAAAAGGTGAGATGAGAAAACCACCTGCAGTTATAAAGTAAATAATAAATTGAGGCAGTAAATCCACCTGCAATGAAAGTTGAGATGAGAAAACTACACCTGCAGTTATAAAGTAAATAATAAATTGAGGCAGTAAATCCACCTGCAATGAAAGTTGAGATGAGAAAACTACACCTGCAGTTATAAAGTAAATAATAAATTGAGGCTACACCTGCAAATGAAAGTTGAGTTATAAAGTAAATAATAAATTGAGGCAGTAAATCCACCTGCAATGAAAGTTGAGATGAGAAAACTACACCTGCAGTTATAAAGTAAATAATAAATTGAGGCAGTAAATCCACCTGCAAAATCCACCTGCAATGAAAGTTGAGATGAGAAAACTACACCTGCAGTTATAAAGTAAATAATAAATTGAGGCAGTAAATCCACCTGCAAAGAATAATTGAATGAAAGTGGTGAAAGGGAAACTCACACCTGCAATTAAAGGCTAGATGTAAAAAACACCTACAATTAAAGGTGACAAGGGGAAATAACCCAGCAATTACAGCCGAAATGGGAGACACACCTGCAATTAAAGATGAGATTGGAAAATTCTTCTGGTATATAATAATATTTATACACCTTCCATTAAATGTGAGATAGAAAGAAAGACGAATCGGTAAGCACACCAGTGAAAGGTGAGATGAGGAAATTAATTTTACACCTGAATCTAAAGGTAAAGTGTAAACGTGTAATCTTGATGAACGTTAAGTAAGCAAAATAAATCAACAATGAAATATGAAACGAAACGGGAATCGAAGGAGGAAATGACCTACATAGTCTATTTAGCAGTGAACAGAATTATCCCTATGACTTACCACCATTTACGATGAAGAGTTGTGTCCCATTATCATATCAGGATCCGCGGATCATGACTTCGATTCCAAGAGTCGTCCCGATTATGACCAGCAGTATTTTCGTGTTTGTTTGTTTTACAAAGGTGGTCAAGTTGTTTTTAGCCTATTAATTAAGACATACTTACGTCAGGCTGTCTCCATGGACGTTATTGTAATTCATTTTTTGAATTGAGAAAAATCATCTTTATCAAATTCTTTTTATCCCAGGTGTCCGTCCTACCCACTGTTGCCCCCTCAGTGTACTTTGGCAACAGATCCCAAGGACTATTGCTGTTCTATCTCAGTGTGCGACTTTAACAAACCAATCGCCACACCAGGACCCCGGCCCAACCCATTTGCCACCCCTTCACCCAATTATCTTACACCCTACCCTGGCGGCACCTACCCTCCAGGAGTTACTCCACCTACCCTTGCCCCAGGAGTCAGTCCACATAGACCTAAGACGCCGTACCCAGGAGGCACCTACCCGCCAGGATATACCCCACCAATCCTCTATCCCAATGGGGTCAGTCCATCCATTCCACAGACACCCTACCCTGGAGGAACCTACCCTCCAGGAGTTACTCCACCTACCCTTGCCCCGGGAGTCAGTCCACATAGACCTAAGACGCCGTACCCAGGAGGCACCTACCCGCCAGGATATACCCCACCAATCCTTTATCCCAATGGGGTCAGTCCACCCATACCACAGACACCCTACCCTAGAGGAACCTACCCTCCAGGATTTATTCCACCTACCCTTGCCCCGGGAGTCAGTCCACAAAGGCCTAAGACGCCCTACCCAGGAGGCACCTACCCGCCAGGATATACCCCACCAATCCTCTATCCCAATGGGGTCAGTCCAGCCATACCACAGACACCCTACCCTAGAGGAACCTACCCTCCAGGATTTATTCCACCTACCCTTGCCCCGGGAGTCAGTCCACAAAGGCCTAAGACGCCCTACCCAGGAGGCACCTACCCACCAGGATATACCCCACCAATCCTCTATCCCAATGGGGTCAGCCCACCCATTCCACAGACACCCTACCCTAGAGGAACCTACCCTCCAGGATTTATTCCACCTACCCTTGCCCCGGGAGTCAGTCCACAAAGGCCTAAGACGCCCTACCCAGGGGAACCTACCCGCCAGGATATACCCCACCAATCCTTTATCCCAATGGGGTCAGTCCACCCATTCCACAGACACCCTACCCTGGAGGAACCTACCCTCCAGGAGTTACTCCACCTACCCTTGCCCCGGGAGTCAGTCCCCAAAGACCTAAGACGCCGTACCCAGGAGGCACCTACCCGCCAGGATATACTCCACCAATCCTCTATCCCAATGGGGTCAGTCCACCCATTCCACAGACACCCTACCCTGGAGGAACCTACCCTCCAGGAGTTACTCCACCTACCCTTGCCCCGGGAGTCAGTCCACAAAGACCTAAGACGCCGTACCCAGGAGGCACCTACCCGCCAGGATATACCCCACCAATCCTCTATCCCAATGGGGTCAGTCCACCCATTCCACAGACACCCTACCCTGGAGGAACCTACCCTCCAGGATTCACTCCACCTACCTACGCTCCGGGGATCAGTCCACCCATCCCGAAGACGCCCTACCCAGGGGAACCTACCCACCAGGATATACCCCAGGAATACCAGCCCAGCCAAGCCCTGTACCAACAATCCCACCAAATCCTCTTGGTAAGTAAACTTTGGCTGCTATTGATCATAGATGTTTCGTACAAAGCCAAATATTACACACAACACACCAAAATTAGGTATTGGGTACACATATTCTCATCCAATAGTAGATGTAGTTCATTTGTTATTATTTGCATTTTAGGTACAAAGAAGCGTTGTGTAATCTTAGGTACAAACAGTTATATTGATCATCATTTTTGGCATTGGATATTGAGTCCAAGACACAATTCATCAATTTGTACTTTGGTTACGCGGTCTGATATAAACATATTTCATCAGATTCAGGTATGAGGTTATTTCTTGACGATGTGTAGTGAGCACAATTTACTCCAACAACTATATTCATGTATTTTTTAGGCCGACATTCTGTAATAAATAACAAGAAATTGAAAACCCTTTTTGATTTGTTGACTATTGTGAATGTTATCTGTAGTATCAAGCATGGTGTAATAGTGTTGAACGTAAGGCACTCTGACGTACTGTTGGACATAAGGCACTGTAATGTTGGGTTGAATATAAGGCACTGTGACGTAGTGTTGAACATAAGGCACTGTGATGTAGTGTTGAACATAAGGCACTGTGATGTAGTGTTGAACATAAGGCACTGTGATGTAGTGTTGAACATAAGGCACTGTGATGTAGTGTTGAATATAAGGCACTAGTGTGTTGAATATAAGGCACTGTGACGTAGTGTTGAACATAAGACACTGTGATGTAGTGTTGAATATAAGGCACTGTGACGTAGTGTTGAACATAAGGCACTATGATGTTATGTTCAATATAAGGCACTGCGACGTAGTGTTGAATGTAAGGCACTGTGACGTAGTGTTGAACAATAGGCACTGTGATGTAGTGTTGAATGTAAGACACTGTAATGTTGGGTTGAATATAAGGCACTGTGACGTAGTGTTGAACATAAGGCACTGTGATGTAGTGTTGAACGTAAGGCACTGTGATGTAGTGTTGAACATAAGGCACTGTGATGTAGTGAACATAAGGCACTGTGATGTAGTGTTGAACATAAGGCACTGTGACGTAGTATTGAACATAAGGCACTGTGACGTAGTGTTGAACATAAGGCACTGTGACGTAGTGTTGAACATAAGGCACTGTGATGTAGTATTGAATATAAGGCACTGTGACGTAGTGTTGAACATAAGGCACTGTGACGTAGTGTTGAACATAAGGCACTGTGATGTAGTGTTGAACATAAGGCACTGTGACGTAGTGTTGAACATAAGGCACTGTAACGTAGTATTGAACATAAGGCACTGTGATGTAGTGTTGAATGTAAGACACTGTAATGTTGTGTTGAATATAAGGCACTGTGACGTAGTGTTGAACATAAGGCACTGTGATGTAGTGTTGAACGTAAGGCACTGTGACGTAGTGTTGAACATAAGGCACTGTAATGTTGGGTTGAATATAAGGCACTGTGACGTAGTGATGAACATAAGGCACTGTGATGTAGTGTTGAACGTAAGGCACTGTGATGTAGTGTTGAACATAAGGCACTGTAATGTTGGGTTGAATATAAGGCACTGTGACGTAGTGTTGAACATAAGGCACTGTGATGTAGTGTTGAACATAAGGCACTGTGACGTAGTGTTGAACATAAGGCACTGTGACGTAGTGTTGAATATAAGGCACTGTGATGTAGTGTTGAACATTGACGTAGTGTTGAACATCAGGCACTGTAACGTAGTGTTGAACATAAGGCACTGTAATGTAGTGTTTTAATGTAAGGCACTGTGACGTATTGTTAAAAAATGTCACTGTAACGTACTGTTGAACATAAGGCACTGTGACGTATTGTTGAACAGAGGATAGCATAATGTAGTGACGAACATAAGGCACTTTGACGTGTTGAACATAAGGCACTGTAGGTGTAGGAGAAGTGTTAAGTGTTGAATTACGTCGTGTTTAAGTGTTGTGTTGAACATCGATCAGGGGAAAGTAGTGACTTGTGTTAATTACGACCTTGGTGTAGTAGTGTTTAATGTTGAGCTGCGATCGTAATTTAGTAGATCTTTGTGTTGAACATCGAACATAACATGGAAGTGTTTAGTTTTGAACATTGATTATGGTTGAGCAGTGTTTAGTCTTGAACATCCAAGTTTTCTTGTAAATTGTGTACATATTCAAGTCACGAATAAGGTTGTTATTGGTCATGTGAACATGAACAACTTTCATAACTAAGTTTATCTTGATTTCTATCGCCAACCCACTCAGACATGAGCATGTAAACATTAATGAATGATATGGGTGGCTAAAGCTCTGCGCCACCTTCAGTGGGCTATCACCACCACAATACACTGTCCTTTAACCTGAATCTTGTGGGTGGCCCAGCGGTTAAAGCGGTAGCTTGGCACTGAGTATTGTACCCCAGTCACAACCTCACAATTATTGCAAATTTTCCTATCACTTTCTTCTTGTCTCCACAGCTTTCTGTGTGTACAAGGGCGTACCTTACCGCCAGGGTCAGTCGTGGCAAGATGGCTGCAGTCAGAAATGCCGCTGTGAGGACGCAACAAACAACTACTACACCTGCTTCGACAGGTACGTTGTATACAATCTTCAAACATGGTGCATCAGCTAGATACCATCATTGCACAAGTAATGTCATTCTCAGAGACTTAAGAAAACTAGTCTTTCGTGAGTTGTCCCCGTGAGTGAGTCATGGTATTGGTATATATCATTCACACGATATGGTTACACACCGTAGGCATCAGTGACAGTGCATTACATACTTGAGTATATTCAATGCTCGCTAGTTTGCCATTGAAAAACACTGTACTTCAAAGTCTGTGAATGCCCTAGACGTTTCAATGCAAATGAATACTTTTTTCCACAAACAATATATTAGGTTACACTTGTGAACATCGTGGCATTTAGCATGATGACGTGAAATCGCATTCAGAGCATTTTATTAATCCTATAAAACATTAATAAGTAGATTTAATTCATGTTTGGTAGCATTCAGCCAATCCTCAATTGCCATGACGTCATCTATTGCATCACTAGCCTGTACTCCGGAGTGATGACTTGTATGCCTCACATCTGTATAAGTACACGTAAAAATAGTTGTGTTTGTAATCAAGTTTTAATGGTCAATGAACATAAATATTACTTGTTTCTTGTCGCCGGTTTGAAATAGGGAACCTAATACTTAATAACAATGTTTTAATGATAATGATTAATTTTGAAAACAGATCGTGATTATTAACTTACCGTAACAATCTTGGTTTGTATTTAATAATGTTATCATTTTAGTCTGAGCTGTCAGAGAATCTGATGACAGATTAATTATGAGGTTGCGTGAGGTATACCCAGAGCAAATATTCGAACGCCTAATCCTAATGAAGGATACGTTGGTTCTTGAAATACTAGGGGTCAGCAATTCGGGGTCAGCAATTCGGGGTCCTTCCTTAGCCACCTCGTTTAGGAAGTTAGCATCATAGCGAAAGAATGGACGCACAGGATGTAGATATACTATTGATGGTACAATCTGATGGGTGTAGAAACTATATATAGCGCTGGGAAACGACGTGCCCTTTTTCATTGCATTTGGAACTACCCAATAGTATGGCTTTTAGACATACAGAAATCTTATATACTTGCCTGAATGCTTCACTCACTTGTCCCTAGAACTTTCCGCTGATTGTCTGATGGGAAAGCTCACCTGACATACCGTTCTATGGAGGTATCCTTACATCTTCCAACATATGATCTTTAAGAGACCCATGAAAACATATTATGAGTGAGTGAGTGAGTTCAGTTTTACACACATTTTCGCAATAATCCCGCCACATCAGGGCAGGGAACACCAGAAATGGGCTTCCCATATTGTACCCATGTGGGGAATCGAACCCGGTCTCCGGCGTGACAAGCGAACGCTTTAATCACTAGGCTAACCCCACCCCCCACCCCCATCCCAAAACATGTTAAGAGTTCATGTGTCTGTTTCAGATGTCCGTCATACAACCTGCAGGCAGGCTGTGTCCTGGTAACCGACACCTCGGATCCATGCTGTCAGGTCCCCCAGTGCACCTACATCCCCACCCCCATGCCGGCAGTCACCCCCGCCCCAGGATCTACTGCCACTCCCATGCCTGGAGTCAGCCCGACCGCAGCCCCAGCAATGACCCCCTACCCTAACCCTTCACCCCTCCCTACCGCCATCCCTGGTCACATCAGTGGGCACAATCCGGTCGACCCAAAACTCAACCCTGTGGGAAAAGAGAGTAAGTTTGTATATTTTCTCATTGTTTTAAAAGATAAGTGAGCAGGGATAATGGGAACTGACTTTTCAAATAACTAAACTGCAGTACAGCATGCACATTACAGGGGTGGAAATAACTTTAAAATTGCTAGTGTACTCCGGTACAGTGGCACATGTAAAATCACTTGCCCTGATAATATTCCCACTATACCGGCCGTTTTCTTGTTGATTTTTAAAATATTAACAACATAATTAACATTGGAATATCAACTGGACACCGGTTCAGTGTGATATACAAATTTGCTTGCCCGACAGAAAAAAACCACTGGACTCGGGCGTCGGGCAATGGGTTATTTCCACCCCTGCATTAATTGCCAGGCTGGTTCTCGTCTGCCCATGGGAATTCAGAATCCGGGTTAGAAAGCCCCTCAACTTTTGTTTGTTTTTGTTTAACGCCGCACTCAGCAATTTTACAGCTATATGGGGCGGTATGTAAATAATCGAGTCTGGGCCAGACAATCCAGTGATCGACAGCATGAACATCGATCTACGCAATTGGGATATGATGACATGTGTCAACGAAGTCAGCGAGCCTGACCACCAACTTGGTTATTTACGTGTCACTGTACCCAGGCAACGTGAATGTCACAATACCAACCACATGATTACTTACAGGCCACCGTCACAAGGCTGGAATATTGTGAAAAAACAAGACGAAATATCGCAGAAACGGTTAATTCATATAGTCATATTGGTTGAATATTGATGAACATAATTGGAGTGAACCGAAATTCAAGACCCACTGTCTATTTATTTATTTCCCGTACTGAAAGGCCACAAGACATTAGTACAATACATTTACAAACAATATTTACACGCGCATGTAATACACATGTAGAAGAGAAAATAATCAAGGATAGCTTACTTTGTGTTCTGAGATATATTTTGTTTTAAACAACATGGCATAGTAAACAAACATGGACAGGTTTTGAAGTATTGTATGTTTTTTGTTATTTAACAATGCTGAGAATTTATAAAGGTTTGGATGGACAAAATAATATTTCTTAATATACAACATTCTCGGGGAATTAGAAACGGGCAAATTAAAAGAAAATGATATTCATTTTCTATTTAGTTGAGATCACAAAGTTCTATTTTCTTTTTTTGACAGTTTTAAATCTTCCACTTTCGATAAATGCATGATGTGAAGAACATCTCAGTCTACTTTAACACTATCCTAAACGTATTTACATTTACACATGAAAGATGAAATTCTGCGTCAAAAGTACATTTAAACATCTTATAATACAAACATGTACTTGAAAATTATATCTTTTCAAACCATTCTTTCATAGGATCCTTACGCGCCCAAGGGACGCAACTCTGCACAACTAATTGCCTAGACTTAGTCACCAGTTCCTATTCATTACTGACTTGTATTACAACTTGATTTTGACCAGTTTGACAGCGTTTAACAATATTCCAGAAATATCAAAGGCAGGCGACACCCTTCATGAGATTCACAAATTATATACGGGGCGGTGGGGTAGCCTAGTGGTTAAAGCGTTCGCTCGTCACGCCGAAGACCCGGTTCGATTCCCCACATGGGTACAATGTGTGAAGCCCATTTGTGGTGTCCCCCGCCGAGATATTGCTGGAATATTGCTAAAACAGGCGTAAAACGAAACTCACTCACTCACTCACAAATCATATCCCATGTAGAGAGAATAAAACCCCGCTTTCATGGCGACAAGACAACGTTTAATAAAGATGAAGCGAAGCAGCACGAAGTGGTCAGTGATGGACTGTGACAAAACGTTTGATTTGTGCAGTCATGCTGTTATTGTTATCCTTTGTACACATGACCCTCTCTATTCCAGACTTCTGCCTGTACAAGGGACAGATGTTCAGGCAGGGACAGCAGTGGGAAGATGGGTGTGACTTCCATTGTGTGTGTGTGGACCAGTCTACGGGGAAATACGACTGCACAGAAAAGTACGTAGTGAACGAATGAGTTAGATTTGACGCAGCGCTGAACAATCTTTCAGTTATATCGCCACGTGTCACCAGAAATGGGTTTCACACATTGTACCCATGTGGGGAATCGAACCTGGGTCTTCGGCGTGACGAGCGAACGGCTTTAACCACTAGGCTACCCTTCCGTCCCTCAAGCAAGTTTGAGGAAAGCCTGAATTGATAAAGGTCTTTGAATTTACTTCTTGGGTGAAACCAACCAACAGAGCTGAAAACACGAGCATGGCGATCCTGGATATATTTGTGAACTATGGAATACCATCAGGATCATATTTAGCTTTTGGTCCAAGGTAGAAAACGCGATATTTCTTATGATAATCCATAGAGAGCTGTCTACAAATGTCACGAAACATGTTGGAAATAACAATGACAGCATGAGGTTACAGCTTTATGCTATTGACCCGTGAAGATCCGGGTCAGAATTGTCTTCACAAACCCATGCTAGACTATAGTCTGTTTGCAGTGAAAACGCACCGATGAATTTCACTCTAAACAAAAAGGTAAATCGAATAAAGTGAAATTAAGATTGCGCATCCTCATAATTTTACCTGGCCAATTGCACATTCAAATCTCAGAATTTTATTCAACTTAGGATAAAAGTTGTTTAACAAACGATCATAGTTTCAAATCGCTATTATTGGTTTGTATTACAAGGGGGTATGCACTTTAAATGAAACATCGAGAACAAGTAGGGTTGGTGTAAGTTAACGCTCATCACGTACCGCACGTGCATTTGTTTCACTGTTCCATATACTGCGCTCACCCCCTTGTAATACAAACCAATAATAGCGATTTGGATCTATGATCGTTTTTGAAACAACTTTTATCCTAAGTTGAAAACAAATCTGAGATTTAAATGTTCATTTGGCAAGGTAAAATTATGAGGATTCGCAATCTCAATTTCACTTAACTTGATTTACTTTTTTGTTTAAAGTGAAATTCATCGGTAGGTTTTCACTGCAAACAGACTATAACGTGCCGACTAACGGGAAGGGGTGGTCTGGCTCGCTGACTTGGTTGATACATGTCATCGTATCCCAATTGCGTAGATCGATACTCGTGCTGTCCATCACTGGATTGTCTGGTTGTACAGACCGGGGCTATATAGCTAACCACCCCAAACCAATTAAGGGTTCGAACAAACTTTGCTCCGTTATTAATGTTGGTGACTGTTCTAACGCTTGTTGCAGATGCGGGAAGTACGTAAACATCCCTCCCTATTGTGTAATGGTTCAGGATCCTAGCAACTCGTGCTGCAAGGTACCCAGCTGTCCTGGAGCCCTGACTCCTGTCAGTAGTCCCACCCCACAGCCAACGCCAAGTCCAGGAGCCACCTACGCACCCGGCGTGTCACCGACTCTACCCGCTGGAGTCTCCCCTACCCCGGGGGTAACCCCATACCCAGCCCCGGCGTTACTCTCGGATATCCCATACCTAAAGGTAAATCATTACCCACAAAAAAGAAACCACGTCGTTGATCAACAACAATTAATGAGCTAGAAACAAAGTCTTCAAATTCGCTTCAAACACGGCTTGAAAAATAAACTGTTCAAATTGGCTTCAAACAAACAAACAAACAAACTTCAGTCACGTTTGAAGGAATGCCATGCTCAATTGGTTGCATTCTGACTGTTTTATCATTTCAATTTTTAGCATCTAATATCATTACAAAATATTAAAGAACAAGGTTAGATTTTCATCCAGACTGGACTAAATGTTATCATTTTACATAATAGACAAACTTTATGGATAACAACTTCTTTACTTCGTGCTTGACAACGGTTCAAGAATCTGTATCGAAACGTCCCACCCACGAAATACAGTTATCCATAACGTTTGTCTATTCTGTACTTCCTAGCTTCTAAAACGCCAATCGTTTTATATGTTGAAGAACGAAAGAGTTTACATGATATTGTTTTCATTTGTATACCCTAATAAACTTCATATTTACGTAACCGCCTCCGTGGTGTAGTGGTTAGAGCGTCCGCCCGGAGAGCGGAAGGTGGCGGGTTCGATCCCCGGCCTCGTCATACCGAAAGACGATAAAAGATGGTACTTGTTGGTCCCTGCCTGGCGCTCGGCATTAATGGGTACAACAAGGACTGGTCGGCTCGGAGTCAGTATAATGTGCCTGTGTGGGGTATTCATGCTTCACTGCGGCATGGTATCTCAGTGGGTTAGCACTATAAAACCAGCTTAAGTCCTGGCTAGTACAAGCAGCAACACATACACATACACACGCATGCACGTCGTCATATGAGCGAAATATTCTCATGCAAGACGTTAAACTCAATTTAACCTCACCTCATATTTACGTTTGTTTTCAGACGTGTGTGTCTTCCAAGGCAAGGCGTACACCCAGGGACAGCAGTGGTACGAGGGGTGCGACAGGGTGTGCGTCTGTGATGACGCCCATACAGGCCTCTACTCTTGCAACGTCAGGTATATCAGACATTTATCCTGCAAAATGTTCACATCCAATAAAAGATATTTGCTGAAAATTCGAACCTGTTTAACTGTTTCTCACTCATGAACGTTTGTCAATCATGAGAGGAAAGCATAAGGAATGTAATGAAATTGCTGTGAAAAGTTCTACAGCTTGTCGATTAATTCACAAAGGACTTTATGCACAATCTATTAAATGTTGTCAGACTTTATTTCCGGAATACTTTTCTTGAATACCTTTCGGATTTGTTCCAGGTGTCCCACGTACACCAACTTAGCCCCCACCTGTGTGATGGTACCCGACCCACAAGACCCCATCTGTTGTAAGGCACCTAAGTGTGACAACGGCAACAGCACCACCGGGGTGATCGGCACCATCACCGGTAACGGCCGGCCACCCACCCCCAGGCCGGTACCCACCTACCTCCCGGGCCAGTCCCCGTCACCCGGCACAGGGGCCACACCCAGCCCGGGCACCCAAGTCACGCCCCCTCCACAAAGTAAGTCGCATTTCCACCCATCCATCCCTACAGCACAGATACCCCTCAGCCATCGAAGCTCGATTCTCAACCTGACACCGAAGGTAATTTGCATCTCCATCCTTGCAGCAGATGAGGAAGTCCCATCCGCAACCACACAATCAGTTTTTCTCTAAAAAAATTCACGAGAAAACGATTCCACCAATATTTCATGCCTGACCAACCTTTGAATCATGCAGGGCCAGTGGGGTGGCCTAAAGGTTAGAGCGTCCGCTCGTCACACTGAAAACCACGGTTCGATTCCCAACATGGATACAACATGTGAAGCCCGTTTTTTGGTGTCCCCCGACGTGATATTTGCTGGAATAGTGCTAAAGGCGGCATAAAACTAAACTCACTCACTCACTCGAAACGTGCAGGTACATCTATCCCACACCGCTATCTCGTGCCATCCAGAAGACAACGACCACACATCCCCTCCCTTAACGTAGCTCGTGCATCAAAGCCCTACCCCCTCCAGATGGTAACATGGATCTAACCCCGCCATCCGACAAACCCAGGCTGGAAATAACTCCCCTGCTATGAAAGCATTAACAACCCTCCCTTCACCTCAACTATATTTAACGAGAGATAAAATGATTTCTGTATGATCCAATTGTTTTGCATTTCAGAGGTGTGTGTTTACAAGGGTGTCGCGTATAACGAGGGTCAGAAATGGCAGGACGGCTGCGACTTTGACTGTGTCTGTCTGGATGGCACGACAGGCAACTACAAATGCACTGACAGGTAGGGTGAGTGAGTGAGTGGGTGAGTTTAGCCGATTTTAGGAATATTCCAGTAATAGATAGGTAGAACAGGTAGATAGAAGTAGTATCTTCAGTGCGACATTTTGAAATGCATTGCAACTGAAGTATTAAGAAAGACAGAGTTTACTGTTTACTGAAACAAATCTATCCAAGAAGCCCAAGTCTAGAATGTGCGGCAAGTCTAGATAGCCTCAGTCTCTGGTCTCCTCTTCATTATGCTTTATGATTATTTTTTTATGGACAGTATATTTCTGTAAAATATGTTAATTTCAGAGGCTCGATGTTAGTTTAAGAGTTTACGTAAGGGATGATGCTTCATAACAGATTCTTGAACATCTATCAATGTTATATTACATTAAGAATACTTAAGTTTATCAAGTTCAATGCTACTGATGATGCTATCTTTAATCTATAAGTCAACTTTGTTTTCCGATCACCCTGTATGATTCTCAGAACGCGGACATGAACTGTCACCATGTAAATTAATGTTTTCGAAATTGTTTTTCGCTTTTCCTTACTGTACTAAACCTAAATAATCTTACCACAGATGCCCGAGGTACCCCAACCTTCCTTTGACCTGCGTTCTGGCCTACGACCCGGCTAACCCCTGCTGTAAGAAGGCGCTGTGCGGGGACCAGGTGCCCACCCCCGGGCCAGGAGTCTCCACCCCTAAACCTCCCACCATAGTCAACCCTACTCTCTACCCAGGACAAGTACCCACACCCCGTGAGTTTTGGTACTAATTACATACTAATTTTGTACTAAGGCCATACTACTTGGTCAGATAAACTTTTTACATGAGTTCATGAGTTAGTGACGTCATGAGGAAATCCATCAGTGACGTCATGAGTAAGTTCATGAAATAAGGATATCATGGGATGTATCTACATATGGGAGGAATATCGCTATTGTGAAGCCCGCGTACACTAACATCTTGCTCAATGGCATTACCTCTGCACAGCCAGTTCCGACGGCCAAAGGTCGCTCGAGAGGTTCAAAGGATTTCTGTGCCCAACGTTAATAAGCCCATTTATCGCGTCAGCCATTGCTGGAATAGCGCTTACAGCTATTACTGAAATAATAGAAATACTGCTTCGTCTCACGATCAGGGCATGGGACTAGATTTACTCTGAAGGGTGAAAATATTAGTTTCATTTCAGACTCTTATCTCTGTTTCACAAGTTTATATGTCGTATTTCCACAGAGTTCTGTATATACAACGGTGTGCCATTCAGACAAGGTCAGAAGTGGAACGAGGGCTGTGACAAGGTTTGTCGCTGTGAAGATGCTGCCACCAAGCAGGTCAACTGTGACGACAGGTACGACACTTCTGGGGTGGGAATGGGCACGACACTTCTTGGGTGGGGACAGGACACTTCTAGGATGGGGACAGGTACAACACTCTCGGGTAGGGGACAGTTACGAGGCTCTCGGGGCGGGGACAGGTGTGATATTTTCGGCGTGGGTATAATTCTGACACTCTCTGGATTGGGACAGGTACGACATTACTAGGGTGGGGACACGTACCACACTTCTAGGGTGGGGACAGTTTCGACACTCTCTGGGTGGAGACAAGTACAACGCTTCTAGGACAGGCACGATAATCTCTGAGTTGGGACGAGTACGTTTCCGGTGTGGGTATATTACTGACACTCTCCGGGTTGGGGCATTCCTGATTGCCAGAGCGGATACAATATTTCAGGGTGGAAAACTCTTGCGAAAACTACTCCTACTGTATGGGAAACAAGATCCTAATACCCTGGCTAGTCTCAATTTAGGTGCTACTGATTACTTATTACCCACGTATACATCATCCTCTAGGTGTCCGTCGTTCCCGTCTATCCCCTCCGGGTGTTCCCTGGCCACTGACCCCAACGACAAGTGCTGCAGCATCGTCAACTGCGCCGTGAACCCCGGCCAACCAGGCACCAGCATCACCGGCGTCCCAGGGGTCATCACCGGATACGGCCTTCCCTCCACCAGCCTCAACCCGTACGTCACCGGCAAACGGGGTCAGTATTCAATACACATATATGCTGAACCACAAAAGAAACGTCGCTTTTCAAAACCAAATGCAAGATTTTGTTCTTACAAAATGGTGTTTTTATGATGATCGTTTTGTTGACATGTTTTGCAATCCAAATTGACAGTTATCACCGACATCAGTGTGTTTTCTGATTAAAAAGCATATCGACCAAACGCACCTACAAAGGCGGACGTGGTAAAAGGTTCCGTATGACATTCGTGAAAATGCAAATGCACGTGCATATCGTGACAACCCTACCAATGAAAGTGAGTCCCAAACTTGTATGAAATCATTTTTGTTTTGACAAAATCGCCATCGCACGAATTACAAGAGATCAGAGGAACCAAGTCTTCGGACGATTGCAAGTTGGCCAGACTGCCAATCAATTTAATGTTCATGTTAGGACAATCTACCGACTGCAGGAGTGGTATCAGGTCACTAACACCATCTTAGACCGTTCACGCCTGCACTCAGTCTTGATTTGAGTCCAATAAGACACCTTTGAGACGAGATTCAAAGAAGACTGAATGACCGCCACCCAAGGCCGACAACTGCTGCTAGACTCGATCAGGCATTTCACAGAGTATGGATCAACCGGCTAATTCATTCCATGTACAGACGACGCAACGCTTTCATCGATGCCCATAGAGGCCACAAACAATACTGAGGGGTATCTTAATGGTACCATTTTTGGTGATTTTGTTTGTGTGAAATCTAAATGTGATTCCCGAAAATGTGTTAACCATAATTGTCAAGTTTGGACTCAATCCTCCGTTTTGATTGTTAATTAGAGTGAATTAAAGTGTTTGCTGTAAGAAACCGCTATCGGTGCGACATTTCTTTTGTGGTTCAGTATACTACCCATCAAAAGTTTAGACTCACTTAAAGCACTCACTACATGTAATGTATGTATATATAATTACATCGAAGATGAATTTCTCCACTAACTTGGGGGAACTAACTGCAAACCTTATGCATACTAAGCAGATAAATTGCACCAGGATCATGCATCAAATTGCTGAAAAGCCAGTGCAAATATCGTGCATGTGAACATCTGCGTTTTGGTTTAAGGTTTTGTTAAGAAATCGCTAATTTTCCTCATTTATTGAACTCACGACAATAATCTTTTCAACGTTACGAATTTGTTTTATAATGCATCAGTTCATGTCTATACAGTACCTTTAAACAGTATGGAATATTTTGCGAAAGCTAGTTTTGAACAGTTGACTTTAGTAAGTAGCTACAGTTACACTAGAGAGTCTATACTTCTGATAGGTAGTATATAATATGCCTATTAAGGTAATGCGCATGTCGAAGGTCACAATCACCTTGATTTACCGTTCGGATTCGTTTCCAAAGGGATCATATCATATCGATAATAATTTTGGGGTAGGAAATGAATACTGTTTAAATAACATTATTATAATATATTTAAAATATGTTATAGTTGGGATTACATTTTATCAGTAAAGAACAGAATCTAGTACTTTTGTGTGTGCGTGGATGGGAGGGAGAGAGGGAGCGTTTCCCATCTGAGATTTGAACCCATGCTCTCACAAAAAGACTCCTAATCACCAGCACACAAAGTCAGCGATCTAACCCACTCAGCCAGTGCTGATTCGACAAAATGGACGTCTAGATGGCATACTTTGTGTACCTCTCTGACATGTATACATTGGCATGGCTCTCGTGACCGAAGCTATGAATACACAATGTATTTTTGAAAGTGATCAAATGTTGTATTTAGGATTAAACTTTCTCACTCAAGTACAAATTCTAGCAATAATATTATTATTGGTTTATGGCTATGATCGATAGGTGGTCGTTGATTTGGTTGATAGCTGTTAATAGCTATTCTCTACCAGCGGGATCGTTGCTTATAATAGCTTCTATAAAATACAAGCCACATCTTACAGCTGGGATATTACTCCACGTGGCAACAATGAGTGAATGAGTGAGTATAGTTTTACGCCACTTTTAGCAATATTCCAGCAATATCACGGCGGTGACACCAGAAATGAGCTTCACACATTGTACCCGTGTGGGGAATCGAACCCGGGTCTTCGGCGTGATGAGCGAACGCTTTAACCACTACGCTACCCCGACCGGCCCCATGTGGCAACAAACAAACAAAACGAAACGACAGACATAATGTCCATAGAGCGTACACCCTGATGGCACCGTAGCCATGGAAACCTGAATCTGAAATTCTTATGTTCTTCGTTCACAGACGTGTGTATATACGACGGAAAGACATACAAGCAGGGTGAGACATGGAACGACGGCTGCACCTACAACTGCGTCTGCATCGACGCCGACAGCGGCAAATACCAGTGTACAGAGAAGTAAGTGCTTCACAACATACCGACATGCATATTCCTTTATCCAGGGTAGATATCCGTTTTAATTTTATAGCTACATTTGTACTCTGAACACTTCCGCTTCAACTATAACCCGATTGGAATGGCTTGTTTGCTGTTTAACGCCGCACTCAGCAACATTCCAGCTGTAAATAATCGAGTCTGGGTCAGACAATCCAGCATCGATCTACGCAATTAGGATACGATGACATGTGTCAACCAAGTCAGCGAGCCTGACCACCCGATCCCGTTAGTCTCCTCTTACGACAAGCATGGGTTGCTGAAGATCAATTCTAGCCCGGATCTTGACGGGTAGGAATTGCTGGAACCAGTCCTATAAATTACTCTCAGTTACGGGCGGTGTAGTGGATGGCGTCAGGTAAGACACAAAACTATGCGATTGTGCTCAGGGTAAAACAATTCATTTAATATTTGATGAAAAAATAATTCACACTATTATCGGAGATGAAGAGCATAGGCGTGTACTTGAAATATACTATCAATTCTTGATACGGTAATCGTTACTTATTGTATCAATATATTATTATTATGATTAACTAACATTTGTATAATTATCTAATTCTTTCCATTTTAATTAAATATTCGTAATGAATTCATGATTATCATCAGTAGTATCCACATTTATTACTGACTTCACTGTCACTTATGGTTACATGTACAATATATACTCTTTTCATCATCATCTTTATTGTTATTATTATCATGATTATTTTAGATGCCCACGTTATCCTCCACTGCCCTCATCATGCACTATGGTCCAGGACAAGACTAACGCTTGCTGCATGAAGCCGTACTGCCCTGACCGCGTCCCCACCCCGGGACCCGCGATAACACCAGCCCCCGGAGTCTCCACCCCGAAGCCAGGAGTATCTACCCCTACCCCCGGGCCGGGCGTGTCACCCTCAGCTGGAAGTTTACATACCCCCGCAATAGGAGGAGTACCCACTGTCGGTGAGTTACAGCTTACCATTGGTCCGGCCCTGTAATGAAAGATGTGAGTGAATGAAATAATTCGGTTCTGTGCCCCGACTGCCCGTTGCCATGTTGTGGAAGAAAAGCCGAGCGAGACACGGGTAACAAACGTTTACCACATTTGTAAATCATAATCAAGGCGAACCTGGGAATCGAACCCACGATCATGTGATCATGCTTGCAACTCTGTACAGCGAATTATGCTCAACTGTGCGAACCGTCCCGGGCCTACCTAGGAGGGTGCAAGACCCGGATTAGAATTAACCTTCAGCAACCCATACTTGTCATAAGAGGCGACTAACCGGAAGGGGTGGTCAGACTCGCTGACTTGGTTGACACATGTCATCGTATCCCAGTTGTGCAGAGATCGATGCTCATGCTCTTGATCACTTGAATGTCTGGTCCAGTCTTGAGCATTTACGGGCAGCCGCCATATAGCTGGAAAAATGTTAAACAACAGACAAACACAACAGACGAATGTATTTACGAGTGATGGCGGGACGGACTGTATTAAAGGCCCGTGAAGTACTGTAACACTGTGCCTGTTCTCCAGACGTGTGCGTGTACAAGGGTCAGCAGTACAAGCAAGGACAGATGTGGTATGACGGATGTGACAACAAGTGCCGCTGTGAGGATGCTAAGAATAACTTCTACAGGTGCCAACAGAGGTATGTAGACAGTAACCATGGTAACCAATAAATTCAGAATATGAAGAGATTCATTGTTATAAATATCCATCTAACATTGGTACCGTGCGGCTTCGTTGTTTTGACCAGGCCCATGAAACAAACGCATATCAGAACAAGTGAGTGAGTGAATTGGGTTTAACGCCAGTTTGTACAGTATACCAATTACATCAAGTGTCATCTTAATATGGGAAGAAAACCCGAGTGAATCAGATCTTAGATTTTGGTGTCACCTACTAGAACGGGCATGGTGCTGACAAACCCAGAAATATACCCGGGATTCGAACCCGAACTCGAACCCGAACTCATGCAGTGCGAATTGCAGCGCTCAGTCGACTGAGCCATCCATGCGCCCTCAGAATTATTAGTCTGAGAATTATCTGTGAACAGCCCGGTCAAACTGCAAGAGAACAATAGTCGACCCTGTGGCCCCAAATTACATATAATACACAAGTGCACTTACAGAACAGCCGTTTTGTTTGTCAATAACAGGATCTACGGATTGCCCATTTGGGAAGGTCCGCGCATGCCCTGCATTTCTCGATCTGCAAATATTTGACTATTTGTTGAATCCAGATCTCATCCCTTCTGTATCCAGCAAACTATTTACTTACTGAGCACCATCAAACAATGTACTCATTTCCCTATTAACGCAAACATTTTATTTTTTTCAATTTTGCCATACATTTCCGTACTTTTTATGAACAAAGAATTTATTTTTTTTAAATCTGAAACAAAGAAACAAGTATTAACTAGTCTTTCATTCTAGGTGCGCCGCTTTCGCAAGCGTTCCTGTTTCCTGCACTCTGGTGCCTGACCCCAAGGACCCCATGTGCTGCGAGGTTCCTAGCTGTCCCCTCCCCACACCAGCACCGGGTGTCTACCCCACCCCAGGCTTCCTGACAGTCACGGCGGGACCCACGGGCGTTATTACAGGTACTGGGGGCGCTGTCAAGTTGAATGAAGGAATAAAAGAATACATAAAGGAATAAACCAACGTGGTGATAATGTATTGTCTGACGGACGAATATGCTTGTTCTTCTATCGATGGCTTTGTCCTACAGAAATATTGCTTGTGTTACTATCATGACAGAGCTTGGCTCACTGGGTAAATATGACGACTATATGGGAGGAGAGGTAAATGAATGCAGATACTTTGTTGAATGTGTGAATGCGTAAATCATTTTGCTGAATTAATGAATGTTATATGCTTAATATGCTTCTTTCAGTGGCTTTTTAAAAGTTGGGACAAGAATCTGTATCGAAACGTCGCATTTCTCACGAAAAAAACGGTAGTTGTTATCCATAAAAAAAGGAAGTTTGTTAAAGTTTGTTAAGTATTATACTTAATACTCTTGGGTGCAAAATAATGGGGACAATATATACATCTAGAATTATACGAATCTTTGAAATAATGGTTTGGGAATGCAACGTGTTCACCAGATTGAATAGCGTTGTTTGTATTCCAGGAAACGGTCTGATCCCGACCCCTAAACCAGGTCAGCCACCACTGCAGCCAGGAGTGACCCCCACCCCATACCCCTTCGTGTCCCCGGGGGTGGCAGTCACACCTTCACCCGGCAGCGTGGTGACTCCACTACCTAAGACAGGTGCGTTCAGGGCATTGATGCGCTCAAATATCATTCTGCTTTGTATGGTGTTTATGCACGATGCTCACAATATGAATCCCCGGTTTGTCTAAAACATTATGGACAGACATGTAGCTGAACAAATGGCGCTTGTGGTGTTGAACAAGATATCTCGCATCATCTTAATGTAGATGACTGGATTATTTTCTGGCATCCATCCTGGTCCTAACCCATGAAGATCCGGGTTAATCCGGATTGATCTTCAGTAACCCATGCTTGTAAAAGGCGACTAACGGGATCGGGTGGTCAGGTTCGCTGGCTGGGTGGACACATGTCATCCTATCCCAGTTGCATAGATCGATGCTCATGCTGTTGATCACTGGATTGTCTGGTCCAGACTTTCTTATTTACAGACCTCCGCAATATAGCTGGGATATTGCTGAGTGCGGTAAAACTAAACTCACTCACCCACCGTGGTCCTTGAATATTGTTGAGTGGGGCGCAAAACACAGTAAGAAATGGCGAATGAACAAGTACAGTGTACATCCTCATGCCACCGTTATTACAGGAACCGATCGCAGTTACACAATTCCGGGTCAAAGAAATGTTGTGATGGAACCCCATGCAGTGTAAAGACGATTTGACGTCAAGATCATTAATCTTTCTCGAGTCCCCATCAACGGATGTGTTGCTTGAGCAGGTGTCATAATTCAGCCTGATTCACAGGGTTCCACTCGTACAGATCCCGGTTACAACTGATCTTCAGCAACCCATGCTTGTCGTAAGGGACGACTGACAGGATCGGATGACGACAAATGTCATCGTATCCCAAACGATGCTCATGATGCAAATCACTGGATTGTCTGGTCCAGATTCGATGATTTACGGACCGCCATCATAAAGCTGGAATATTGCTGAGTGTGGTGTTAAACAATAAACAACAAAACATCACAGAAATAATTTCTTCAGAAATATCTTCAGAAATTATTTCAATTTTTGTTTGTTTATGGAGTTTGTTTAGGGTGCACGTCGTTTACAATTATACATCTACACAGAAAAAGACGTAATGTGAAGTCGTATAATATAGGCCAACACAAAATTCACAGATTCCTTATTCAATTAAATGTGTAAACAAAGCTACAAAATAGATTATATCGTTTTTATTGTAAATTTATTTATTCATTTATTTATTTATTTATTATTAGGCTGCTACTACAAGAACCATGTCTACAAGAAGGGACAGTCTTGGGACGATGGCTGCGACTTCAACTGCATCTGCCTTGACGACGTCACCGGCAAATATAAGTGCAGCGAGAAGTAAGCACCAACAGTGAGTGAGTGAGTGAGTGAGTTAGGTTTAACGCCGATATGAACAGTACATAGGTTACATCACGGCGTGTCAGCTAAATGTTTGATGGAGGTCTCGGACGTTTATTACTTTGGTGAAACCACTGAGCATGGTTCTAACCAGCCTGGAAACAAAATCACAGCGAATGGAACCTATTTTGGCACTCCAAGGTGGTAATTTTGATATAACAGGATATATTTCCCGACAGTAACCAGGAGGAACCGCTTGATTTGAATTGAGGCAGCCTATAGAATGTTTATGTAAAAAGTTTGTAAAGCATGTAACATAAGCCCCAGCTTAGTGATTTTCTATGTAATTCTTAACATTTTATATCAAATATGATTTGGTTTCAAAAATGACTTTTAATTCTCTTAATTCTCATTTAGTCGTGATTTCATAGTGTCATAGTTTCAAAGGCTGTAATATAAGCGATGAAATATACAATATACAATACCAAAAAACACAACGAATATAACGAATTATCAGAAATTATCATACCATTTCTTTATGAGATTTGACGTAAACCCCTAACCATCCAGCAAATATGACTATCAGATCTACCCTCCACATCCTTATACTTATAATAGGGGCAAGTGGTAACCTGGTGGTTAAAGAGTCTATGCGTCACGGTAAAGGTCTTGGTTTGACTCCCCACATGGTACAATGACAAAGCCCCTAGTGTCTTGTGCACCCGGCCTTCATGAGGTTGGAACATACAAAAATAGCGGGATGAAACAATATTCACTCATTTATGTTTTACCTGTGAAGATCCGGGTTAGGATTGGTCTTCAGTAACCCATGCTTGTCGTAAGAGGCGACTAACGGGATCGCGGGGTCAGGTCACTGACTTAGTTGACACATGTCATCGTATCCCAATTGCTTAGAACGATGCTCAAGTTGTTGATCACTGGATTGCCTGGTCCAGAATCGATTATTTACAGACCGCCGCCTTATAGCTGGAATATTGCTGAGTGCGGCGTTAAACAACAAACCAACCAAATTATTTTGTTCCAGATGTCAGAAGTTCCCTTCAGTGCCGACACAATGTGTGCTGATCCAGGACCCCAGTGACAAATGCTGCCAGAAGCCTTACTGTGACTTCATGAACCCCACCCCCTTCCCAGGAGGAATCCCCACGCCTGCAGGTGTGGCCACACCCACACCTGTCCCAGGCATCAACCCTAATGCATCACCGTCGACAGCAAGCATGATCGGCACTGGCACTGCTATATTTGGCAAACGAGGTCAGTTTATAACGTTTGGAAACGTTCTGTTATAAATGGCCTCAACATGGCCTCCCTGCTGACTTGAGAGACGAGACACGCAGCTCTGGATATTTTATGAGCGCTTCTAGTAATGCTGAATTCGTTCTTTATATGACCACTTAAACATCTCTGTAACTGACATCAACAGTACACAATAAACTACCCTTATGAGCTAGTCAGTGCTGTGTTCACATGACAGTTCATTTACTGTTTCTACTAAAGTATATTGAGATATCGGATTCAGTAATAGCAGGTTTATGGTTTGCTGACTTTATGTTTTGGCCGCAGGTTTCTGTGTCTACCAAGGCGTGTACTACAACCAGGGACAGGAGTGGAACATCGGCTGCTCCAAGACCTGCCGCTGTGAGGACGTGTCCACCGGCTACTACTCCTGCCACGAGAGGTACTGACCACATACTGACCACTCAAACTGCCCTGACACCATACATGCTGTTAAAACTTCGAGATGAATTAACCTCTTCTTATTCTATTCGGACTGATTGTCGTATTTTGATAAAGAATTGGCAAAAACTGGTTGAATCAACAGCAATATATTTCCATGTGTGTTTTCAATGTCATTGTGTTCGGAGCTGTACATGGAACGATTTTTGGGTTTCCGGGTCCAGTGACTATAATTCATTTCATAAATGTTCTTCTGGATGTTTGTGTTACAAATGTCAAAAATCTCTCCAAAATATTTTAGTATACTGTATGTTTCACTCTATTACAATTTCAATTTCAAGAACTTTATGTATAGGCGGGGGTGGTAGGGTAGCCTTGTGGTTAAAGCGTTGGCTCGTCACGCCGAAGACCCGGGTTCGATTCCTCACATGAGTACAATGTCTGAAGCCCATTTCTGGGGTCCCCTAGCCATGATATTGCAGGAATATTGCCAAAATCGGCGTTAAACTAAAACTCACTCACTCACTCATTTTGTGAAAGCATGTTTTACCCTATGGTGATAAACCCTGATTCATTTACTCACTCGTTCCCTCCCTCACCCCTCACTCGCCCAGTCTCATCAACCTCTCACTCAATTCACTCACTCCCCCTCACTCACTCACTCGATCACTCACTCACTCACTCACTAGGTGCCCCAGCTACGACAACGTCCCCTCCACCTGCCACCTGATCGCCAGCCCCACCGACCCATGTTGTCTTGTGCCTGAATGCAACAACTACCCTCCCGTTGGCTACGTCACCAAGCCCGGCATCGTCGGCACCGGTGCCCCTGGGGTCAGCCCAGGAGTATCGTACCCCAGCATCACCGGTATTTACCTCCCCACCAACATTCCCGGGACCATCACGGGCATCAGCGGCAGCAACAGCAACTACAACCCCCAGTATGGTGTAGGCGTCTCCGGAATAAGAAGTAAGTCTTAAGTCTAATTATAAGCCTTGGTTGCTACCTCACGATGGATGTTACTGGCTTGTAACGAAACCTGAAATACAGCTGATCCTGGAGTAGATGTAGTTTTGATGTTGTTGCAGAAGTAGTAATATAAACAACAGTACAACAGTACTAGTTCTAGTGGGGGCGGTGGGGTAGCCCTAGTGGTTCAAGCGTTCGCTCGTCACGCTGAAGACCCGGGTCGATTCCCCACATGGGTAGAATGTGTGAAGCCCATTTCTGGTGTCCCCCGCCGTGATATTGCTGAAATATTGCTAAAAGTGGCGCAAAACCATACTCACTCATTCTAGTGGAGCGGCTTGTTGACTAAATCGTTCACGTAAAAGTTAAAAGCATGAAACTCTGTAGACAGGTTCTTTATACCAGTACACCTATTCATAGCCATTCGGAGTTTTCCAATATGGTCGCCACATTTGTGGTACTAATAGTGCTTGCTACTTGTCGTAAAGGTAGAATGAACAGCGATCGTAATAACATTAGCCAGTGTAGAAGACATCACAGCCACATTTGTCGTACTAATAGTGCTTGCTACTTCTTGTAAATGTAGAATGAACAGCGATCGTAATAACATTAGCCAGTGTAGAAGACATCACAGCCACATTTGTGGTACTAATAGTGCTTGCTACTTGTCGTAAATGTAGTATGAACAGCGATCGTAATAACATTAGCCAGTGTAGAAGACATCACAGCCACATTTGTGGTAGTAATAGTGCTTGCTACTTGTCGTAAATGTAGTATGAACAGCGATCGTAATAACATTAACCAGTGTAGAAGACATCACAGCCACATTTGTGGTACTAATAGTGCTTGCTACTTGTCGTAAATGTAGAATGAACAGCGATCGTAATAACATTAGCCAGTGTAGAAGACATCACATCCACATTTGTGGTACTAATAGTGCTTGCTTCTTGTCGTAAATGTAGTATGAACAGCGATCGTAATAACATTAGCCAGTGTAGAAGACATCCACAGCCACATTTGTGGTAGTAATAGTGCTTGCTACTTGTCGTAAAATGTAGTATGAACAGCGATCGTAATAACATTAGCCAGTGTAGAAGACATCACAGCCACATTTGTGGTAGTAATGAATGCTTGCTACTTGTCGTAAATGTAGTATGAACAGCGATCGTAATAACATTAGCCAGTGTAGAAGACATCACAGCCACATTTGTGGTAGTAATAGTGCTTGCTACTTGTCGTAAAATGTAGTATGAACAGCGATCGTAATAACATTAGCCAGTGTAGAGACATCACAGCCACATTTGTGGAACTAATAGTGCTTGCTACTTGTCGTAAATGTAGTATGAACAGCGATCGTAATAACATTAGCCAGTGTAGAAGACATCACAGCCACATTTGTGGTACTAATAGTGCTTGCTACTTGTCGTAAATGTAGTATGAACAGCGATCGTAATAACATTAGCCAGTGTAGAAGACATCACAGCCACATTTGTGGTACTAATAGTGCTTGCTACTTGTCGTAAATGTAGAATGATGAACAGCGATCGTAATAACATTAGCCAGTGTAAATGAAGACATCAATAGCATCCACATTTGTGGTACTAATAGTGCTTGCTACTTGTCGTAAATGTAGTATGAACAGCGATCGTAATAACATTAGCCAGTGTAGAGACATCCACAGCCACATTTGTGGTAGTAATAGTGCTTGCTACTTGTCGTAAATGTAGTATGAACAGCGATCGTAATAACATTAGCCAGTGTAGAAGACATCACAGCCACATTTGTGGTACTAATAGTGCTTGCTACTTGTCGTAAATGTAGTATGAACAGCGATCGTAATAACATTAGCCAGTGTAGAAGACATCACAGCAGCCACATTTGTGGTCGTAATAACATTAATGTAGTGCTTTGTGGTACTACTTGCTTGTCGTAAATGTAGTATGAACAGCGATCGTAATAACATTAGCCAGTGTAGAAGACATCACAGCCACATTTGTGGTACTAATAGTGCTTGCTACTTGTCGTAAATGTAGTATGAACAGCGATCGTAATAACATTAGCCAGTGTAGAGACATCACAGCCACATTTGTGGTACTAATAGTGCTTGCTACTTGTCGTAAATGTGAGTATGAACAGCGATCGTAATAACAGTAGCCGGTAGCCAGTGTAGAAGACATCAGTAGCCACATTTGTAGTAGTAATAGTAGCTTGCTACTTGTCGTAAATGTAGTGTAGTATGAACAGCGATCGTAATAGTATTAGCCAGTGTAGAGAGACATCACAGCCACATTTGTGGTAGTAATAGTGCTTGCAAATGTAGTATGAACGGCGTCGTAAAATGTTAGTATGAACATCGCAGCCACATTTGTAATAGTAATAGTGCTTGCCACTTGTGTAGTAGTAGAACATCAACAGCCAGTGTAGATCACAGCACATTTGTGGTAGTAATAGTGCTTGCTACTTGTCGTAAATGTAGTATGAACGGCGAGGTAATAACATTAGCCAGTAATAGACATCCAGCCAGTTGTGGTAGTAATAGTGCTTGCAGCTTGTGCGTAAATGTAGTGGTATCGTAATAACATTAGCCAGTGTAGAGACATCACAGCCAGTTTGTGGTAGTAATAGTGCTTGCTACTTGTATCGTAAAGTAGTATGAACAGCGATCGTAATAACATTAGCCAGTGTAGAAGACATCACAGCCACATTTGTGGTGGTGGTAATAGTGCTTGCTACTTGTCGTAAAATGTAGTATGAACAGCGATCGTAATAACGTGGTAGTGTAGAGTAGTAGTAGTAGTAGTAGTAGTAGTTGTTGCAGTTAGTAGCTGCAACAGCAGTAATGGTGGCAGTAGTAGTAGTAGTAGCAGTTAGTAGTAGTAATAGTAGTAGTAGTAGAATGAGTGGTAGTAGTAGTAGTAGTTGTAGTTGTGGTAGTAGAGTAGTAGCAGTAGTTGTTGTAGTAGTAGTAGTAGTAGTAGTAGTAGGAACAGTAGTAGTAGTAGTAGTAGTAGTAGTAGGCTATATGTGATGGTTGTACGTCTTCCCCCAGCTGCCTGCGTGTACAAGGGACACATCTACAACCAGGGTCAGACGTGGAACGACGGCTGTAACTACAAGTGTGAGTGTATTGACGCCGCCAGGGGGCAGTACAGATGCTCAGAAAGGTAATCAGCGTGATCAAGTGGAGATATACCTTGTGTGTATTTAATTCAGAGGGTTCAATCGCCAGTTATATACTTCCTAAATATAATTTCATTCGAAACAGAATTCGAAAACATAGGGTATCAAATGCTCAATAACGCCCAAAGTCATAAACCTATTATCTTTATAAATCCCAAGAATCCAAGCGTGTCCAGTCTAACCTTGTTAGTCCGGAGCAACCTGCTGCTGGACACGTATATGGTTGGTTGGTTGGTTTGTTGTTTTACGCCGCACTCAGCAATATTCCAGCTATATGGCGGCAGTGTGTAAATAACTGAGTCTGCACCAGACAATTCAGTGATCAACATCATGAGCATCGATCTACGCAAATGGGCTACGATGTCACGTGTCAACCAGCTCAGCGAGCCTGATCACCCGATCCCGTTAGTCGCCTCTTATGACAAGCTTGGGTTGAAGACCAATTCTTACCCGGATCTTCACGGGTCTGGACACGTCTATGAAAATTAATATAAATGAATCGTTACATCCACATTGCGCAGTCTGGGCATTCGTTATCTTGACATTTGGAAATAACAGGTTTTGAGATTAATGAGATTCGCTGTAATGTGTTGTGACGTTTCTGATCTGTGACCAATATTTGAACCACGCCTCTCTCCAGGTGTCCAAGGTACTACAACCTCCCTCCACAATGTAAGCTGAGCCCCGACCCCGCAGACAACTGCTGTGAAAAGGCCATCTGTGACTTCACACCCACTCTTCCACCAGGGATGTCAACAACAACACCGACACCAACATCTTCCACCCCCAAGGTTACAGCTGGAGTCGCCATCGGTAAGCTTGCGATGTCGTCAAGCGGGACTGCACTACGACAGGCTATTCCATAGCTTACGATAGCCAGATATTTTCATGGAAGGATTGGGTAGTCTAATTGATATAGCGTTCTGTCATTTTACCTACAAATAGGGTTCGTTTCCCATATTGATACAAAATATGAGCCCATGGCCTTGACATTGCTGGAGCACTCGTGGCGTAAAACGGTTATCACTCCTGATAACACAAGATGACCGCCGTGCCTTAAGTTATTGAAAGACGTTATATACTCCTCACAAAAGTTAAGCAACAAGTATTTTTCCACATATTTTCTTCATGGGTATATGAAGTTATTACTTGGCATATAAGCCATGCAGGAGAACCCTTTACGATTGATGAACTTAAAGCATTTCCCATATTGTTTTCTGATAACATTGTTAGCACCGCCTGAACGCAACCACCCTCAAAACTCACATGCAAAATGCATGGAAAACATGTGCTATACACGTCGCACATGCGTTCTGATTGCGTTAAAACTGCCAGCAACGACAAATTGTTGACAGTAACATTTGAGAAATGGCTAGGCGTCACTTGACACCAACTGAAGTTGCTCAAATTGTTGGAATGGTGCAGGGGGGTCAGACCCAGAGTGCTGTTGCCAACCATTTCAATGTTCATCGAAGCGTCATCTCCAGAGCGATCACTCGTCACCAACAGACCGGATTGATGACTGAGAGACCACGCTCAGGTCGTCCAAGGGTGACAACTCCCAGAGAGGACCGATACTTGGCCACCCTAGCCCGGCGGAACAGGTTCACCACAGCCAGATCTCCAGAATGACCTCCAGAGAGTTGCTGGGAACAGAATCTCCACACAGACAGTGAGGAACAGACTCCATGCTGAAGGTCTCAGGTCCCGAAGACCAGTGCAACGTATCCCACTGCCTGCACACCATCGTCAACAGAGACTGAATTGGGCTAACCAACGACGTAACTGGAGAGTCAATCGCTGGCGTAATGTTCTCTTCACAGATGAGTCAAGATTCTGTCTGGACTTCAATGATGGTAGGGCTCGTGTGTGGAGAAACCGTAACGAACGATACGCCAACTGTACGATTGCTGAACATGATCAGTTTGATGATCTGGGCAGGAATCCAAGTTGGACGACGAACTGATCTTGTGGTCATCAGACGAGGTACCATGACAGGTGTGAGGTACCGAGACGAAATTGTCACACCTGTGATCATTCCGTGGGCTCAGCAAGCAGGTCCTAACTTCATCTTCATGGATGACAATGCCCGTCCACATCGAGCAAGAGTTGTCACTGATGTTCTTCAGACCAACAACATCACCCATATGGACTGGCCTGCAAGGTCTCCTGACCTGAATCCTATTGAACATGCTTGGGACATCCTCGGAAGGCGTGTGTACGGCCTCCACGTTCGTCCTCAGACTCTGGATCAGCTTGAACAGGCATTGCGGAGAGAATGGCAGAACATTCCACAACAGACTCTAGACAGACTCATCTGGTCAATGCCTAGACGTCTTGAAGCGTATATTCAGGTCAATGGTGGCCATACACGTTATTAAACTTTGGATCAGTGCTCAAAACTGACAGTAAAAGTGTTTTCAGACATTTTCATACCCTGATGCAACACATTTTGCACGGCTTTTCAGTGACACTGTTTTTGATGATTTGCAAGTCAGTTATTGTTCAATGAATTTATTTCTTTGTTGGAAAAGTGTGGATATGCTTTATCTTTGTTATGTTTGATTCAGTTGTAATGATCATGAGTAAAGGCATATGTAATGACCAAAAGTAAACTTGTTGCTTAATGTTTGTGAGGAGTATATTTCAGATGAATTAGTAAACTCCACAAGATATTATTTGTTCAGAAACAGGCTGCACATGATTCAAAACAGTGCAAACTGATGGTTGTTTAGTTGGAAGACGTTCACGCCCCCTCTGTGGTGAAGTGGATAGGGTGCCCCGTCTAGAAGGTGTTTGATCCCCATCGTAATCAAGTATCGTTAAAACATGGCATTCGATACCATCACCGACGCTCATAATTAAGGGATAAAACAAAGACTGGGGTAGAAGTTCATGCACTGTGTCTCAGTGGTATCCATGTTAAAACTATGGTATTTCGGTCGGCTAGCACTCTCCATGGTATCTGGGTTGGCTAGCACTCTCGATGGTATTTCGGTCGGCTAGCACTCTCCATGGTATCTGGGTTGGCTAGCACTCTCGATGGTATTTCGGTCGGCTAGCACTCTCCATGGTATCTGGGTTGGCTAGCACTCTCGATGGTATTTCAGTCGGCTAGCACTCTCCATGGCATCTGGGTCGGCTAGCTCTCTCCATGGTATCTGGGTCGGCTAGCTCTATCCATGGTATTTGGGTCGGCTAGCACTCTCCATGGTATCTGGGTTGGCTAGCACTCTCCATGGTATTTCGGTCGGCTAGCACTCTCCATGGTATCTGGGTCGGCTAGCACTCTCCATGGTATCTGGGTCGGCTAGCACTCTCCATGGTATCCGGGTCGGCTTGCACTCTCCGTGGTATCTCGTTTGGCTAGCACTCGCAATGGTATCTCGTTCGGCTAGCACTATCCATGGTATCTGGGTCGGCTAGCACTCTCCATGGTATCCGGGTTGGCTAGCACTCTCCATGGTATCCGGGTCGGCTGGCACTCCCCATGGTATCTCGTTTGGCTAGCACTCTCGATGTTATCTGGGTCGGCTAGCGCTCTCCATGGTATCTTGGTCGGCTAGCACTCTCGACGGTATCCGGGTTGGCTAGCACTACAGAACCGGTATAGGTCCGGACTAGGACAACAAGCCACACGTCCATGGATATCACTTTAACAATGAAACAATCTTGAACGCAACGTCGAACATCATTTTACCTAGCTACATCTAAAATGCTTCAACAGAAACTTACTTCAAACAAGTAACTACGAAAACAAGAACAGACTTCATCCATGTTTTGTCCGTGAAAAAGTTTCAACCATATTCATTTACTTTTGTTCAGGGAAATGCGTGTACACGGACGGTTCTATCCACAACCAGGGCGACATGTGGAGCGACGGCTGTGACTTCGACTGCAAGTGCGACGATGCCAGCAAAAACATCTACACATGTAACCAGAAGTGAGTTCACATTTGTCAAATCAAATCGACATTTACAGCGATAGAGGATCAGAAGAACTTACCAGCCGAGCAATAGAAATTATACACCAAATTTGATAGTGACTGAAAAGTGACCAAACAGAAAATGGTGAAAAGGTGATGTATTAGATACGAGTTTCACACATTTGCCGTGTTTCGGCAACTGTTCCAGCGTAGTAACGTCTTGATTACATTTGTAATGTTTCGGTCATATATAGCGTCACTATCAGTGATTTCCCTTACAGATTTGTTATAGATATGTTTATTTCACCTGTGCATCTGTATTGGGAAAAATGTAACGATTTACGTTTATACGGTTTCTTTCGCACGTAATTATGATTTAACGGAATGCCTGCTTTTAGCGCTAGGCGATTCGAGTCAGGCTGAGATCGAAACCATGTACAGATACACCCTTGATAAACGAGGATGTGATATTCAACAAGTGAGACAACGCTACTGGCAGACTGTTATGGCTCGTTTCACTAACACCCGGTGTTATTAGTACATGCAATCATAAATCAAGCAAATATGCGTCTTGCCAGAGCTACTAGCACGACAGAGGAATATTACTTGTTCAGTGAACACCTGGTGTTATTGTAACATGCAATCATAAATCCAAGCAAACATTTGTTGCTGCTGTCTTGCCAGAGCTACCGGAAACATACAATCATTTAAAAACGTGTTAAATATTTTTAACTTCCACTTTTAAGAAATGCTTGGGACAGGTGACGTTTTGAATTACATTTCAATTACCCTCCCTACTCCACTTCCCCATCCGGGGCGGCGGGGTAGCCTAGTGGTAAAAGCGTTCGCTCGTCACGCCGAAGGCCCGGGTTTGCTTCCCCACATGGGTACAATGTGTGAAGCCCATTTCTGGTGTCCCTATCCGTGATGTTGCTTGAATATCGCTTAAAGCGGCGTAAAACCATACTCACTCACTCACTCACTCTTCCCCGCCCCCAGGTGTCAGGCGTACTCCAGTCTGCCCAAGTATTGCCAACTCCAGCCTGACCCCATCAACAAGTGCTGCGAGAGACCAGTGTGTACAGGCGGGATTACTGCCCTCTCGGGCAACAGCAAACCCACCGCCTCTCCAACCCTGGACCCAAAGATACAGAACATCATCCCCCTCGGCACCCACAGCGTCTTCACGGGGACGAGCCAAGCCAGTACTATTCCTGGGATGCAGCACATAGTGGGCGGGAGAAGTAAGTACTCCTTGAGTTACCTCCAGTCTAAGGCCCGTGAACATCCGGGAATTGGTCTTCAGTAATCCATGCTTGTCGTAAGAGGTGACGGGATCGGGTGGTCAGGCTCGCTGACTTGGTTGACACATGTCATCGTATCCAAATTACGTAGACCCATGCTCATGCAGTTGATCACTGGATTGTCTGGTCCAGACTCGATTATTTACAGACCGCCGCCATATAGCTGGAATATTGCTGAGTGCGGTGTTAAACAAGTTAAACAACAACAGCCCAACCAACCAACCATTTGATCGAATGTAATTATTATACTTTCTCACATTTGTCATGGACAGTGATGGAAGCTCCTTACGATTCGTTGAGAGGCAGGCGGTGAGGTATCTTTATGGTTCAAGCGACCACGGGTAGTAACTGGTATTTCATGGGTAAAATAAGCTTCTGTTTGAATGAGAGGTGCATGAGGGTTTATCTGACGCTTATTAAATATCGTAAGATCTTCGAGCCAGAAGATAATCGTATCGGAGTGAAATATGTATGTTCATGCGGTCCAAGTCGCCTACAGGATTTATCTGGAACTATATTTACCCATGAACCATTTACCCATATTAAACCTGTGTCGTCCTTTTCTCCTCCCTCCCAGGCGTCTGCGTCTATAATGGCACCACCTACGGTCAGGGTGAATCTTGGGACGACGGGTGTAAGTACGTCTGTACTTGCAAGAATGCAGCGGCTGGACTGTACCAGTGCACGTCTAAGTGAGTAGTAAATAGAAGTTACGGAAGCATTTCCATCCTTAAATGCTACTTAACGTTCCAACCCGTGGCGATCCGGGTTATAATTGATCTCCAATAGCCCATGCTTGCCGTAAGAGGCGACAAACGGAATCGGGTGGTCAGGGTCGCTGAATTGGTTGACACGTGTCATCGTATGCAGTTGCGTAGATGGATGCTCATGCTGTTGATCACTGGATTGCCTCGTCCAGACGGCGTAAAACTAAACTTAATCACTCATGGATATACGGAAAGGAGAAGAGTATGCTTAATTTTAAGGTACAGAACGAAGAGTCAAATACTGTCGACTTGCTTCCGGATTTCATGAACTTCTGTTTTGGTTTTACAACTATTTATTGGTGAAAACCGTTTAACACCACCACCACCACAACAACAACATGTTGCACCGTGACAGTTTTATATCAGAGGACAGTCAGAAGTGACGCAACTCGTAGTCATTTTACCATTGAGCACGTGTGTGATACTGTCAAGCTAGTTATCCTCATCAGATTCGAATCTGTGATCAAAGTATCCTGTCATGTCCAAGGGACGTAACTCTGTTCCGCGATATTCTACCCTGCTGTCGAGTCAGCCACCCTGTAGCTTTGTGTATTGTGTCAGTAAATTAGCAAAATATTTCAACACAATAGTTTCATTATGATAAATTAAATATCGATGACACAATTTCCACATCGATGATCATTATTAATTCTTCCTATCGACGATATTTCCTATTATCGAACTTTTTAGCCAGCTCTAAAAATATGTAGTAATCTCCCTTTTTGCTCCCAGGTGTCCCAACTTCCCTCCCCTTCCGACCTACTGTAAGATGCAGAGTATTCCTGGTCAGTGCTGTCCGAGTCTCACCTGTAATGTGCCCGGCAAGGACATGTACATCCCCGTACCCCAGCTGGTCCCCACCCCCGGGCCCACCCCTGATTCCCTCGGCAACACCCCTACACCGCAAACAGGGACCCAGCAACTTCTGGTGGGGCCTAATGGTAACACCGTGTTCGGTGGGTCCAACCAGCCCGGTGCTGGAGCGACTGTACCCCCGGGACAGACTATCTCTGGACTGAGAGGTGAGTGCCATGGTTAGGTGGTATTTGAGGCAGGCGATGGGATACATAGATAACCAGATTTATGTATAGATACATTACCAGATACATAACCAGGGTCACGTTTCACAAAACTATCGTAAAGCTACCACTGTCGTAAGTCTGGAGGTACGACAGTCGTAAGTCTGTGTTACAGTATAGTAGGTACGACAGTCGTAAGTCTGTGTTACAGTATAGGAGGTACGACAGTCGTAAGTCTGTGTTACAGTATAGGAGGTACGACAGTCGTAAGTCTGTGTTACAGTATAGGAGGTACGACAGTCGTAAGTCTGTGTTACAGTATAGGAGGTACGACAGTCGTAAGTCTGTGTTACAGTATAGGAGGTACGACAGTCGTAAGTCTGTGTTACAGTATAGGAGGTACGACAGTCGTAAGTCTGTGTTACAGTATAGGAGGGTACGACAGTCGTAAGTCTGTGTTACAGTATAGGAGGTACGACAGTCGTAAGTCTGTGTTACAGTATAGGAGGTACGACAGTCGTAAGTCTGTGTTACAGTATAGGAGGTACGACAGTCGTAAGTCTGTGTTACAGTATAGGAGGTACGACAGTCGTAAGTCTGTGTTACAGTATAGGAGGTACGACAGTCGTAAGTCTGTGTTACAGTATAGGAGGTACGACAGTCGTAAGTCTGTGTTACAGTCTCGTAAGTTGTGTTACAGTATAGGAGGTACGACAGTCGTAAGTCTGTGTTACAGTATAGGAGGTACGACAGTCGTAAGTCTGTGTTACAGTATAGGAGGTACGACAGTCGTAAGTCTGTGTTACAGTATAGGAGGTACGACTGTCGTAAGTCTGTGTTACAGTATAGGAGGTACGACAGTCGTAAGTCTGTGTTACAGTATAGGAGGTACGACAGTCGTAAGTCTGTGTTACAGTATAGGAGGTACGACAGTCGTAAGTCTGTGTTACAGTATAGGAGGTACGACAGTCGTAAGTCTGTGTTACAGTATAGGAGGTACGACAGTCGTAAGTCTGTGTTACAGTATAGGAGGTACGACAGTCGTAAGTCTGTGTTACAGTATAGGAGGTACGACAGTCGTAAGTCTGTGTTACAGTATAGGAGGTACGACAGTCGTAAGTCTGTGTTACAGTATAGGAGGTACGACAGTCGTAAGTCTGTGTTACAGTATAGGAGGTACGACAGTCGTAAGTCTGTGTTACAGTATAGGAGGTACGACTGTCGTAAGTCTGTGTTACAGTATAGGAGGTACGACAGTCGTAAGTCTGTGTTACAGTACAGGAGGTACGACAGTCGTAGCGCTACGATAGCTTTGTGCTACTGGAGACTGGTGTTGAACTTGTATACAGACGGTTACCATGGTGGTATTTTCGTCAGATTCTCTATCCTTGAACCAAGAAATACATTTCAGCGATCACTGAACACAAATATACGTACTGTCAATAATGCACGAACATAGAAATACGTTGTGTCGTCGATATAATGTGCTAAATAACCAAAAATAAGAAACCAAATGTCCCGAACCAACAGATAAATAATGTCTTGATCACTGAACCAAGGGGTGATTAATTTCCCCTACATCGAATCTAGATTTACATGCAAGTGAAGCCCTTGATCATCGAACACAGAAAAGGGTTATGTCTTTACTGACCGAACCGAGAGAAGTTTAACGTCATTGCTCATATTACTTAGAGATATTTAATGTCTTACCGGAACCTAGAGTAACATTACTAGTTCCTGGATCAACATGGACCCTTAGATAAAAGACCATAATTTGAATAATAGAAAAATCAGATTCGTTGTCTCCACGGCTGTGATATTGAATGGACGACATCAATTGTGATGACTCCAACTGAAACGACTTTCGTAGAAATGGCGCAGAGCGTGTCGAAGTGTAGAAGATTTTACGGGTGCTTCTCTACCCGTTACTTTGTTTCCCTCGTGCATTTGCTAGGTTTAAAGATTTTTAAAATATTAAAAATAATTTTGAGGTGACCCCCGACATTTTAGATGATCCCCGACCTTTAATCCTCGCAAAGACACGAGGGCCTGTGCCCTGAATCAGTGATGAGTACGCACCTGTTGTTGCAGGCGTCTGTGTGTTCAAGAACCAGATGTACCACCAGGGCGAGAAGTGGAAGGATGGTTGCTCCTTCAACTGTGAGTGCCTTGACGCCAGGTCCGGATACTATTCCTGCAAACCGATGTAAGTACCGCTGCTTGTTTCCACCAATCATTCCTGTTTAGTCTCAGTAACGAGGGCGGTGGGGTAGCCTAGTGGTTAAAACGTTCGCTCGTCACGCCAAAGGCCCGGGTTCGATTCCCCACATGGGTAGAATGTGTGAAGCCCATTTCTGGTGTCCCCTGCCGTGATGTTGCTGGAATATTGCTAAAAGCAGCGTAAAACCGTACTCTCTCACTCTCAGCAACGGCGACGCTAACCTGATGGTGTCAAGTCGAATCACTACCTTTTGAGACTTGAGAAGGTCCGGTAAAAATTGATCTTCAGCAGCCCAAGCCGGTTCTACCCGTGTGAAGATCCTGGTTAGAACTGATCTACATCAATCCATGTTTGCCTCCCCTGTGATAAAATTTATCTTCAGCAACCCAAAGTTGTTCTACTCCTTTGAAAATCCTGGTTGGAACTGATCTACATCAACCCATATATGTGAAGACCCAGGTTAGATTTCTTTTCTGCAACCTATGATTGTCGTAAGAGGCGACAAACAGGATCCTGGGGTCAGGTTCGCTGACTTTGTTGACACATGTCATCCTACCAATTGCGTAGATCGATGTTTATGATGACAGTCACTGGAGTGTCTGGTCCAGACTCTTATATATACATACCGCCTTCATATAGATGGAATATTTGGCTGAGAGCGGCGTTAAAGAACAAACAAACAAACAAACAAACAAACAAAGCACATATTTGACTCAATGACTGACCTGGGGCGGTGGGGTAGCCTAGTGGTTAAAGCGTTCGTTCGTCACGCCGAAGACTCGGGTTCGATTCCCCACATAGGTGCAATGTGTGAAGCCCAGTTCTGGTGTCACCGCCGTGATATTGCTGGAATATTGCTAAAAGCGGCGTAAAACCATACTCACTCACTCACTCACTCACTCACTCAATGATTGACCAACCCTACAGGTGTCCCAGTTACGACAATCTACCCAGTGACTGCTACCTGGTCAAGCCTAACACAGGGTGCTGCTCATCCCCCATGTGCAAAAAGCCGGACGGCACCGTCATCAACCCCATCACCAACCCTAACGTGTACCCCGTCTTCGGCGCCTACACTGGCGGCTTCAGCGGCTTCAGACCAGGCTACAACGTGGGATACAGCAGCACCATCGGCGGGTCTACAGGTACTATATCTGACTGTGTTGGACAGAGACACACGTGTAGACTATCAGCGGGTACTGACACCGACATCCAAGTGGACTCAACTCCCTGTGCAAAGTTGTGTCCCTTAAGCATTACTGAAACCAATTATTGAGTGTTGCGAAAGTGTCAAGCCTTCGTCATTTTTGGCTTTTCTCAAATATCAAGCCGAAATGGTTAGTTACCCAAATGGTTAGAGCGTTTGCTCGTCACACCAAAACCCTGGGTATTATGGGTGAAGCCCATTTCTGTTTTTTCCCCGCCGTGTTATTGCTGGTATTATGCTAAAAAACCTCCGTAAGTCCATACTCACTCACTTACACAAGTTGATATGTCTTTATAAACCATAAGTGCTGTTCGATATTACGTTAAACGCAAGGGAGTTGAATACAATTTCCCTGACCCATTTGACTTTTTCATGTGGATGAAATATTTAAAAAAGTAAGCCGTACTAGGTTGCCCTGAATCGTTCGAATCCCAGTTAGGGGCGGTGGGGTAGCCTAGTGGTTAAAGCGTTCGCACGTCACCGAAAACCTGGATTCAATTCATTACCTGGTTACAATGTTTGAAGCCCACTTTCTGGTGACCCCCGCCGTGATGTGGTTGGAATATTGCTTAAAGCGGCGTAAAACCATACTTACTCACTCACTCACTTATCCACTCATTTGCAGCCGGGTGTGTCTACAAGGGCGTTGTGTACCAGCAAGGTCAGAAGTGGGACGACGGCTGCGACTACCGCTGTGAATGTACAGATGCTACGACGAGGCAGTACCGCTGTAATCCAATGTAAGTACATGCCGCCGTATCCCAGTTGTGCAGATCGATGTTTAAGGTGTTGATCACTGGTTTGTTTGGTCCAGACTCGATTACTAACAGACCGCCACCATATACCTGCATGGAATATTGCTGAGTGCGGCGTTAAAAGAACAAACAAACAAATGTGAGAGTACACGAGCTCATGCTGTGGCGTTACAGCCGACCTGGCACTCCAGGATTTTTACGAATGAGTTCAGGTTCGCTGACTTGGTTGATGCACGGTTGCATCATCTCGCAAAAGCGCAGATATGTGTTTATGATGTCAATCACAGGATTATCTTGTCCAGACTCAATTGTTTACAGACCACCGGCCCATAGCTGGGTTAATTCTGACAATGAAACACACCTGCAATTAATCAACTGTTACCTGACAGGTGCTCAAGATACACCTCTCTTCCCACCTCTTGCCACCTGGTGCCGACCCAGGGGTGCTGCAAGGCCGTCAGCTGTGACACCAAGGTCACAGCCTCCCCGTCCCCTGCAGCTAATCCCGGCTGTAAGGACGTCAAGCCCAACTGTGACGTGTATGGTGACTACGCTTGCAAAGGGAGAATACGAATCGTGGGGGAGAGCTAACTGTGCAGCGTTCTGTGGACTTTGTCGTGAGTTTAATAAAATGTGTAATTCATTTTTGAGAACTATAATAGAAGTGCAATTTTCTTTGTCTAATCCTCTCTGAACCTGTGATTTAAAGGGTTTCGTTTTGTTTCACCATGCCGTTATGTAGTTCGGTAAATGCGAAATACAGTAAGGATCCATTTTGGCCAACATAAATGTGCATATTTAAGTGTAAGGAAAAACAAATTTGCATATGTTTACGTGATTATTATGACTTGGGGTTTGACAATTTTGTTGGTCATGTCAGTAAACATGATAATATATAATACTAACTAAAGGCGTTTTGCCAAAGTCCAAGAGAAACACTCACGGTAGCAACAGCCCGGTAAAAAAGGTGGTGTTGGTACCTAAACATGAAATAAATAGCACATGCTTATTCCAAATATTGTATTAATACGGGGATCTTAGTTGGGTTTTTAACCTTAGGTTTGCAGTGTTACGGCGACAGTTTGTAGTATAGTAGCATTTGTATTGTTTTGGACAAATCCAATTTTCAAATGTCTACTTTCTTTCATCCGTGAGGCTATAATCAAATCCGTGCTGAGGAAGCTAAATTCCCTGAATGTCTGCTTCATGGCTGCAGGAGACCCGTGAACATCCGGGTTAGAATTGATCTTCAGTAACCTATGCTTGTCTTAAGAGGCGACTAACGGGATGGAGTGGTCAGGCTCGCTGACTTGGTTGACATACGTCATCGTATCCAAATTGCGTTGATCGATGCTCATGATGTTGATCACTGGATTGTCTCGTCCACACTTGAAAATGTATAGGCCGCCGCTAAATAGCTGGAATATTGCTGAGTGTGGCGTTAGAAAACTAACAAACCAAACCAAATCATGTATGCAGGAAATTCCCTTTCATTCAGGGACTTGATGACATTGTTCTGTTCCAACATAAACATGTGAAGTCCTCCGGGATGTTGCTAGAATATTGCAAAACCCGTACCGACTCACTCCCTCTGCCAACATGTTTCCCGTTATTCAGTCATTCTGTTGGGTATTTCATTACTTAAACCTGTTGCCACACTTACATGTGTGGTCAGGGAAATACAGACTCTCCATTCGCCACACTTACATGTGTGGTCAGGGAAATACAGACCCTCCATTCGCCACACTTCCATGTGTGGTCAGGGAAATACAGACCCTCCATTCTCCAACTCTGGCACCTTTGTTAGCCCACATCGTTGGGACAAAAACCTGATTATCTTTCTTCCGTGTTCAGCCAAACCCACCCAGGCTACATCCTGTGTTGATGTACTAGACAACTGTGTGCAGTATGGATCTGCGTCCTGTAGCGGTGCCTACGAGCCTTGGGCGGTGAAGAACTGCGCCAAGACGTGCAACAAGTGTCAAAGTAAGGTTACTTTCTAATACTGATATTTCAACTGCAGCTTCGCATGATTGTTTGTTTGTTTGTTGGATTGAATGGTTGATGCACTGGTTGATGGATGGATGGATTGTTGGATGGATGGATGGATGGATGGTGCACTCAGCATCATTCAAGCTATATGGCGGCGGTCTAAATAATCGAGGCGGAACAGTCAAACATAATCGGAGTCTGTTTGAACGCAATTGGTTTCGGGTGGTTACTATTAGCCCCGGTCTGTAAAACCAGACATTCCAGTAATCAACAGCATGAGCATCTATCTACGCAATTGGGATACGATGACATGTGTCAACCAAGTCAGCGAGCTTGACCACCTGATCGCGTTAGTCGCCTCTTACGACAAGCACGGGTTGCTGAAGATCAATTCTAGCCCGGATCTTCACGGGTCACTTCACCTTCATAAATAATTTGTTCACTAGCATCGGGCATTAGCAGGTTTAGTTTGCTAGTTAACGTATCCCTTCATCAGATCTTGACCGGGGCTCGTGATAATCTATATGTCAGCTTGTTTTTATCGGCACGGGCAGCCTAATGATTAAGGTGGTCGCTCGCCACGCAGAACGCTCGGGTTTTGATTCTCCACAAATAGTCGTCCGCCAAGGATATGGAAGGACTAAATCTCGAAGCCATGTTGAAATACCAGAGCTTCCAACCCCAAAATTATAAAAGCTTGAGATGCCGGGGTGCAAGGGCCGCAACCTCCGGCCGGTTCCTGAGGCCCTCTGAAGTCAATGCCTGATTTTTTATTTCTATTTTTCATATGAACCCAGTTTGGCGTGAGGTTTATCAGTTTTGTCGTGAGAGCATGACATGGGTAAAAAAAGCGTGAGTCTCTCTGTGTGAGAGTTGGCAGGTATGAAATACATGTACAATTTCTCACCTAAAGTTGGATTGTACTGGCCATACAAACGTTTTGTTCATTCCCCAAGCGGGTCAAACACAGGTCACGACGACGCCGACGCCGATTGTGGTCGGAGCCTGCACCGACAAACTCACCAACTGTGCGTCCTACGGCACAGCGTCCTGCAAAGACCCTTACATGGACTGGGCAAAGGTTAACTGCAAACGTACCTGCGGTTACTGCCGTGAGTATTAAACACTTAAAGGTGTGCGCCAGATGAATGATTAAATACCTCGAAATAGGGATAAGTGCACAAACCATAAATACGACACATGGTCCTGAAACAGGCAGGTGGAACAACTCGTGGAACAGCGCTGGCACGCACTTCAGGTGCAACTCAGCACAGCCAGGTTTTGTCAGGAAACAGCGGGCGCTGTTCCACCACCGTTTGTCACCCCTCGGTGTGAAGCGTGAAAATAGAACAATATTACAAGAAGGTAACCTCCCAAAACCCCTTCAGTCCATAACCCCTACATCTTATAAAATAAAGTGCATGGTCTAGTGCACTGCTAATATCCTGCCTGTTGCCTATTTCATACAATGAACCAGCCCAAACACTTGGAAATTAACAGAATGATTTTAATGAGCAAAACCATTATCAAGAGTTTGAGAGAATAGTTTTGATGGATTATGCCAAAATTATTTTAACAAAAGTTCAATAATATTGAACGTGAGGTTAAATAAACTAAATTAAATATCATAATATCATAACATATTTAGATATACGTTTCCATCCAAGAACATTGTTTCAGTGTCTCTTATTTTACAAAGGTTCAACAATATTGAACTTGAGGTTTAAGAGATCCAAGATCAAGGGAATGGGTTGTACTTCCATGTCTGGCATGCAGGCTGTAGACTTGGTTCCAGACAAATCCACTGGAGGATGGTTATGCTCTGTGAAATTCCTCAAAATGTTTCCCACTGTTGTGACTCGTCTACAGGTTGACTTGACACACTTTCAGTGTACAAAGTCTGTCTCTCGACACTCTTTACGTAAAGATAACCCTCCAATAGGAGGGTGTTACCTCTCTGTGACATGACAAACTCGACATTGCGAAGACCAGCCATATTGATGTCATGTTAATTTGTTTCTAATATATCTATATACCACCCCAAATCATCTCAAATTATTATCTCAGTTTACTATCTCCAACACTATGACATCTGATATTATTACCATTTGCAAAATCTGTCTACTCACTTTGTACATCAGGAATCTAAAAAAGCTATGCACTTATCCCTATTTCCAGTTATTTTATCTTTCATTGTAGTAGTAGAAGTAGTTGTTGTAGTAGTAGCAGCAGCAGTAGCAGCAGCAGTAGCAGCAGCAGCAGCAGTAGTAGTAGTAGCTGCAGCAGCAGTAGTAGTAGTAGCCGCAAGCAGCAGCAGTAGCAGTTAGTAGTAGCAGCAGCAGTAGTAGCAGCAGCAGTAGCAGTAGTAGTAGTAGTAGCAGTAGCAGTAGCAGTAGTAGTAGTAGTAGCAGCAGCAGTAGTAGTAGTAGGTAGCAGCAGTTGTAGTAGTAGTAGTAGTAGCAGCAAGTAGTAGCAGTAGTAGTAGCAGCAGTAGTAATAGTAGCAGTAGTAGTAGTAGCAGCAGCAGTAGTAGTAGTGGAAGCAGTAGTTGTAGTAATAGTAGTAGTAGCAGCAGCAGTAATAGTAGTAGTAGCAGCAGCTGTAAAAAATTCAAATAGACCAATATTTTTAGTTCGTATTTTGAAGAAGTTCCTGTTAAAATACACTGTCTCTAGCAAATCTTTCGGGCCAATCCCTAACGTTACTGCACTTCAGGACCCACCAGCACAAAGCGGTCCCAGCTCTAAAACTATTTTATTTCTTTCACTTCAAGGTAAACTGAAAGAAGCTGTATTGCAAGGTTCTTTGACAAGATACAACCTAAGTTATGCATCTATCTGTGTGTTTCAGCCAACGAGCAGATTGTCACCGGGCAGTCCCCCAACTCGACAGTCGTGGGGGGAGTGCAGACAATCTGGGGAAGCGGCTCAACGCAAGGTATGACACTTATTAACAGTACACTTGCAATTCAAATTCGTTCTTCGTATATACTAAAGCTGGCCAAGGCGTGAAGAATTTCACCTCTTCTGGTGATGTTTTTGTATTACACGGTGTAGGTTGTTGTATATACATGCTTATTATCCATATGGTGATACATAACCAGTGTCATATATATCATATGTGCACATGTGCACATATCACTTTTGCCTAGCAACCACTGTTTCTGTATTTCGTCGTCTGTGACGTCATTAAACAATTGAACTTGACATCAGTGAAGTTACAAATGTACATGAATAAAATGGATTATAAAATTGAGGATACTAAACGACCTTCCGTGTAATACCATTTTTATTAAACGAGTTAATGAATTGGTATCAAACGAGCGAAAGCGAGTTTGCGAGTTTGATGCTAAATCTATCACAAATTTAATAGAAATGGTATTTCACGGAAGTGAGTTTAGTATTCTGTTTATTACTCTCCAACATAAATTGATAGAAACTGCCTACAGTGTGATGACTCTCATGCCAATGTTCCTCGAGTCAAGCAAGGTCTAATACCATTACGACAGAGGCATTAGCATTGTGACGTCATAACTGTAACCATTATGACGTCATATGTCGAGCGGTATTACACTAGTGTAAAATTGTCGTAAAAATATTACACTGCAGTATCTTCCACGGGCGGGTTATAAAGAAATTTATTACACTCGAGCAAGTGTGTCAAACGACTTATACTGACTGACTGAGTTTTGATTTTACCCCGCTTTTAGCAATATTCCAGCTACTTCACGGCGGGGGACACCAGAAATGGGCTCAAACGACTTATACGAAAAAATTATGTATTCGACTGTCAGTCTGTGGCTGATATGACTGGCAAAAGGAAATCTGTCATGTAATAACCTCTTAATATTTCACCATATGGAGTTATGTATATGCAATTATGTTTATATATACTGAACAGCAAAAGAAACGCAAGTCTGGCTTTTTGTCAAGTTTTGAATAGAAGACAACCAAAAGTATGTCTTATCATTTATTATATAGAAATCACTGTCAATTTAACAGCTGAAAGTTACTGTTGACATTGAATTGCAATACGTTCAAATTGATCACAGTCCGTCAAATCGAGATACCCCTGAACCCGAAAAGTGAGAGTCTCTTTAGTAGCGCGTAGCGCCACCTTGAGCTTGCACACAGACTGTGCAATTTCGCATCATTGAGTTCACTAGAGTCTGAAAGAATGCCTGTGGCAATTGGTTCCGCCCAAACACCAATCTCTATTCCAATTGTGCAAATGTGAGTGGCTGTCTACCTGCAGCAATCCTCCGTCCAATTTCGTCACAGAATGTTCAATGAGAGCCATATCTGGGAAAAGAGACGGCCATGGAAGAACGTTAATGTTGGCCTGAGCCAGATGATCCATCGATACCCTTGCTGTGTGAGAGCTGTAAACGTCGCTGGCGTTGACGTGTGAAGATTGGCCCCATATATGGCCTTCGGCAGTGGATTCCAGCAACCCGAAGACGACGCCTAATCGTATCGCTGGACACTGCTCCCCTTGACCCATGAACTAAGGCTGCTGTTACTGTTGCTGCTTAAGTTTGGTTCCTTAGATGAGTGACCCGGATGAACCGTTCTTGCGCATGAGTTGTCACTCGTGCCGTCTGGTGTGGCGACGGTCAGCAGCAACCCCGGTTTACTCATGACGTTGAGCAAGTCGCGTAATGGTGGTAAGATGACAGCCCAATTGTCTTGCTATGTACAGCGGTTGCAGAGCTACATCCGTGCAACTTTCCAATGGCCATTCCCTCTGCTCAGTCGTTAGTCTAGGCATCGTTTGTGTGGCGTGTACACCTCCTAGCATCAATACTGAACTGGTTTTTACACAAACTTTATAAAGGATACCTCAGAGTGAAAATGCATGCTTTCCATCCAGAACCGTCCATGCACGTGCTAAAATTATGGTTTTGCTGCACTGTTGGAGTGTTTGTGCGAATGTTTCGTTTGGACGTCAAACTGCATGACGTCATCCCATGGGATCGTTACGTCAATTTACCATGAACGTTCCATAAACATGAACGCTTACCTTCATGAGATTTCATTTTGTTTCGAAACTTGCGTTTCTTTACTATTGGGGTGAGGTTTATATGTTCTCCTGATTGAGGTGATGTTTATGTATGTCACAGTGTGGGGCGATATGTATATATTCCACTATTTGGGGTGACGTTCTTTTTTGTCGAAAATATGGGGTGATGTTTATATATGCCACTATTTAGGGTGATGTTTACTTGTGTCACAATGTTGGGTGATGTTTATGTATTTACCAGAACTACAAATAACTTTTTGGATCACTGAGTTATGTACTCGCTTGTGTTCATCTCAGTTGGGTATCCTAATTTTCCTTTGAGTAAACAAATAAATTGTACCCACCTCACACAAACTCAATTGGGTATTTTGCCATTTTCCATTGATTGTAAAAATATAATAAAGTTTAAATGTTATTTATATTGGATCTGTAATATGAGAAACGACAAGAAAGACTGCAAGTTGCCTAGTCTGTGTTGAAATAGAACCTCTCAATATACCTCAGTTATTTTAGGGGCGGTGGGGTAGCCTAATGGTTAAAGCGTTGGCTCGTCACGGCGAATACCCGGGTTCGAATCCCCACATGGGCACAATGTGTGAAGCCCATTTCTGGTGTCCCCCGCCGTCATGTTGCTGGAATATTGCTAAAAGCGGCGTAAAACCAAACTCAGTCAGTCAGTTATTTTATGTATCCACCGGTACGCAAGCTATGATTCAAAATTTTCGTATGTACGCATGTAAGATCACATTTAGTGAGTATTTACAAAAATTCATGCGTACTTGTACGCAATAGACTTAATACGAATTGAGTTTTCACATAAATATTTGCGTAATTTACGCAGATACGCAGCTTATCTGTACCTCTGAATTTACTATTTGGGGTGATGTTTGTATATTCCACTCTTTGGGGTGATGTTTATTTATGTCACAATGTCGGGTGATCTTTTTTTATTTACTATCAGAGGTGATGTTTAACTATCCTATTGGTGAAAGGGTTCACTTGTCACGCCGAAGACCCGGTTAAGATTTCCAACATGGACACAATGTGTGACGTCTGGTGTCCCCCGCCGTGATAATGCTGGAATATTGCTAAAAGAGGCAAAACACTCAACTCACACATTCTCATATATTCCGCTATTCAGAGGATGTGTATATATTACATTTAGGATGGGTCATCCTGATGAAGGGCGTGGCAGGAGTCCCTGGGGACCTGTACCAGCTGTGGTCTGGGTCGGGCACGTCCAACCAGTACAACACCAAAGCCATGGACCTGACCAACAGTTTCAAAGGTCACTACAAGCCGAACATCGCCAACCAATGGGATCAATGCAAGTTTGACCAGGTGAGTCCCTCATTTGATAGTCGCTTTTATGTTCTGTACATACCATGGGTTGTCGAATGTCGACATTCGACTCGAGAGTTACCAAGAACCGCTGATCGTAGATTCAATATTAGCATGAATCGCTGGAATAATGAGGCCACTTATATAGCACTTATTTTCACGCTGCACATGTCTGCTCTAAGCACATACAGCATGATGTTCATTAATACCCCAATAACCCAAGCTGTTTGTGAGGCGCTGGAAGGTTAATAGTCACATGACTTATCCCACCGGGGACCCATTTTCTGCTGGGCGAACAGAGGCAATTTTAAACAAACTCATTTCCCTAAGGTGAGACCACATGTGTCACATGTTCTTCGTTGTGGGGCAGGACTCAAGTCCTAGAAACTCCCAGGGGTCAAGCTGCCAAACAAGACATCAGATATATACATGTCACACTTCACATGCACTCACGATCACTCACGCACTCACTCATATATTCACTCACTCACGCATAATCCCGTGAGGATCCGGGTCAGAACCCAGCTTGTCGTAAAAGGATCGGGTGGGTAATGCTCGCTGACTTGGTCGACACATGTCATCGTATCCCAATTCCGTAGATCGATACTCATTATGTTGATCACTGGATTGTTTGGTCCAAACTGGATTATTTACAGACCGACGCCATACAGCTAGAATATTGCTGAATGTGGCGTTAAACAACAAAGCAACCACTCACGCATAGTTCAATCTCTCGTATCCGACATTATGCCAGTTACATTGTTGCCTTACTTGTCTTCAGGTTAAGCTGTCCATCTACAAGAATGGTGTAGAGAAAGCCAACATCATCTTCAACGCCCAAGGTGCTACAAAGGACAACTGGATGGACCCCAGCAGGATCATCTCCTCCACCTACAGCGACATCCAAAACGCCGTCCACGGCGTCTTCAGCCTCAAGGGGTAGGGGATCCTTTGTTTTGAACCCCTTTCCTTAAGCAGCGGTGGGGTAGCCTAGTGTATATAGCGTTTGCTCGTCACGCGAAGACCCGTGTTCGATTCCCCACAATGGGTACAATGTGTGAAGCCCATTTCTGGTGTCCCCGCCGTGATATTGCTGGAATATTGCTGAAAGCTGCGTAAAACCAAACTCAGTCAGTACACTTTCTCAGCAAAGTATCAATTTCTGAGAGAGACTCAACCCAAACAAGTACAAACATAGAAAAGGGTTATCCCAAATAAACCATTTGCGTGATTTGACCACTTTCTCAAATGCATTGTGTATTATATTGGATGAACGTAGTGTTTAAATACCCATGACGTATTGCGGTATTATCAGCAGGTGATTGAGGAGCGTAGTCATGTACCCATGACGTATTAACGTTTTATGCACGGGTGATGGATGAACGTAGTGTAAACGTACCCATGACGTATTGACGTATTATGCCCGGCTCATGGATAAATGAACGTAGAGTATAGGTACCCATGACGTATGGACGTATTACGCACGGGTGATGGATGAGATGAACGTAGTGTATACGTACCTATGACGTATTGACGTATTATGCACGGGTGATGGATGAACCTAGTGTATACGTACCCATGACATATTGACGTATTATTCCCGGGTGATGGATAAGATGAACGTAGTATATACGTACCCATGACGTATTTCCGTAGTATGCACGAGTTACGGATGAGATGAACGTAGTGTATACGTACCCATGATGTATTTACGTAGTATGCACGGGTGTTGGATGAACGTAGTGTATACGTATGTATTGACGTATTATTCACGAAGGGTGGATGAACGTAGTGTACATGTGCCCTTGACGTATCATGCACGGGTGATGGATAAGATGAGCGAAGTGTATACGTACAAATGACGTTTTGACGTATCATGCACGGGTGATGGATAAGATGAGCGTAGTGTATACGTACAAATGACGTATTGACGTATTATTCCAGGGTGATGGTGGAACGTAGTGTACGTGTAGCCAAGACATATAGACGACAATTCCCTTCCTCTTAAATAACAAAATTCCTACGTTAACAGCTTCTGATGCTCATTTTGATTATTCTTTGTTCCAGTGATGCCAACAGCGGCCGTGAATTCTACGCCAGCAGCGAGTCTAATGGTTGCGATGCTTACGGCTGGATGATGATTTCCACCAAGGGGGACTGCTTCTATGAGAAACTGGCAGCCAAACCAGCGTTCTACTACTCTCCAACTGAAACAAGATCTCACTGGGGATTCAGTAAGTATACCTGGTCCCCCAACCCCCAACACAGAGGCGCTGGGGTAGCCCAGTGGTTGAAGCGTTCACTAGTCACGCCGAAGACCCCGTTCGACTTCCAACATGGATGCAATATGTGAAGCTCATTTCTGGTGTCCACCGCCGTGATATTGCTGGAATATTTCTAAAAGCGACGTATAACTAAAATCACTCATTCTACTGTAAAATTAATAGTTCACTTTGGTTTCTTTGAATGTTTAAACTATATAACGACATTGCAAGAAAATAACCAGTTTTCAGACAGATTCCTTTGATATTAAAGGCAAAATTGATGTGAAAGTCTTTATGAATAGCAACTGAAAATTAGTATTGACACCAGGTGTTTGCGAAACGAGTTAGCCTATCCTGCATTAAGGGAGCACTCGCCGTTCACCCATTTTATATAAAATATTATCTATTGCCTGCCGACCCGTGAAGATCCGGGTTAGAATTAATCTTCATGCTTGTCGTAAGAGGCGACTAACGGGGTCGGGTGGTTAGGCTCGCTGACTTGTTTGAAACATGTCATCGTATCCCAATTGCATAGATCGATGCTTATGCTGTTGATCACTGGATTGTCTGGTCCAGACTCGATTATTTACAGACCGCCGCCATATAGCTGGAATATTGCTGAGTGCGGCGTAAAACTAAACTCACTCACTCACTCACCCACTCTATTGCCTGTCCCCACACAGCAGTAAACCTGCCATGCGACGGCGGTATGTAAACAAACAAGACAATCTGGTGATCCAGGGATAAAAAAATAAAGCATTAAATCTCAAGGCCCAGAATGCAGAGGCCCCAACATACAACAATACCGGCACATGAACACGTGTCATGCTACATCATTTCATCGTAATGTAGTATCTTCTAGAATCTTGATTGTACTTTTCGTAACAGCCAACCCCGGCGAAGGTGACGTCATGACCATCACCGGACACGGAGGACTGTGTGAGTTGAACTTCAGTGCCTAGTATCAATTTCCTTGTTTATGGACAAAAAACGCCTCTCAGCTGGGAGGTGGGAAAAAACATCACACAAGGTCATCTCGTGTTTTTGCTTTCTTTCCCGAAATAACTCTTAATATACAGCAAAATCAGTTAAGAACGTTCACATTTAAAGTGCCTTCAATACAAAAAATATCAAAAGAATGTTCATGGTCCCCAACTTATTTTGTTTAGTATATGTTAATATGGATGCATAGTTATATAAATTTAAAACCAGTTTCTTGTATTTTAATATGTTTTATATACAAAAGATTTCTTTTAAACAGAAAAAGATACTGCATTTACAATATTATCATTTTTCATCTTTATACAAATATACAACGGTATGATCTATATCCCCCTGTTATTATTTACAGGTGTCGGCTCGCAAACGGGAAGTTCAAACAGTAAGTGATGTTATCTGTCACCAATCTAAAAAGCGTTCGCTCTTCACGCCGAACACCCGGGTATGTGAAGCCCATTTCTGGTGTCCCCCGCCGTGATGTTGCTGGAATATTGCTAAAAGCGGCGTAAAACCAAACTCAGTCAGTCAGTCAGTTCATGGGTACAGTGTGTGAAGCCCATTTCTGGTGTGCTCCGCCGTGACATTGCAGGAATATTGCTAAAACGGCGTAAAACTAAACTAACACACTCACACTTTTGCCATGTAGACCGAGATATAATACCCTGGATTACTGGGGATGGATTCAGTTTTGAGAAATAAAATGTATACTTGTGTAATGTAGTTTAGATGTTTCCCTATCGATGTGTGCTCCGGTCGGGGTCCGGGCAAGAACAGGGTGCTATTGTACAAAACAAGCTACGGGAGTTACGGTCACCTCAGCACTTTTTTTAGCACCTAAGTCTCAAACAACTGACGTTTGTCTTAAGAGGCGGTAAGAGGCGACTAACGGGATCGGGTGGTCAGTTTCGCTGACTTGGTTGACACATGTCATCGGTTCCCAATTGCGCAGATCGATGCTCATGCTGTTGATCACTGGATTGTCTGGTCCAGACTCGATTATTTACAGACCGCCGCCATATAGCTGGAATATTGCTGAGTGCGGCGTAAAACTAAACTCACTCACTCACTTAAGAGGCGAAAGTATGAAGCAGCTGGTAAGGCTCGGTGAATTTTGAGAACGAGTTTCATCGTTCCCCAACGTCTTGGATTGTTGCTCAAAATATCAATCACTGGATTGTGTGGTCCAGAATCGATTATCGACAGACCGACGTCAGTTAGCAGGGATATTGTTGAGTGCAGCACCATTTAAGTACTAAAACAACAAACAAACACTACTTAGTTTTGCTTGTTTGTTGTTTAACGGGAGCACTCAGCAATATTCCAGCTGTGAATAATCGAGTCGGGACCAGACAAACCAGTGATCAATATCATGAGCATCGATTTACGCAAATGGGATACGATGATGTGTCATCTAAGTCAGCGACCCTGACCACCCGATCCCGTTAGTCGCCTCTTTCGACAAGCATGGGTTACTGAAGATCAATTCTAACCCGAGCTCACTATCTCGTTGTTCCCATGATCCACGCTTTTCGTGTTAAATCTCTACAAAGTGAGTTGTATTGTGTTGTCATAGTGATGAAACGCGCATGAAAGATAGCATGCACGTGTGCATTGTGTTGCAGTTGACCAGTGTTTGTACAAGGGCAAAAGCTACAAGACTGGAGACAGCTGGCAGGACGGTTGTACCTTCAACTGCACATGCATAGACGGCACCAAAAGCTTCTACAGATGCACCGACTTGTAAGTGTACACGACTAACGGTAGACACACGTCTGTAGACAGACACACAGGCAGGTACAGATGATAGAAGCCCCCAAGACACCATTCTTCATGGTACAGCATGAGTGAGTAAGTGAGTGAGTGATCGAGTGAGTGAGTGATCAAGTGAGTGAGTGATCGATCGAGTGAGTGAGTGATCGATCGAGTGAGTGATCGAGTGTCACTGTGAAGCTATGATATAGTGGAGCGCCTGTCCCACTTCATGTTTGTTTAGATCACATCATGGGTTGTTTGGGCTCGACTTCCCCCATGTGTGAGCCCCCATTTCAGATGTCCCCAGCATGATATCTGAAGAACACTGCTAAAAGGCATAAAACCATAGTACTCTTTCACACACTAACACTATTGTATCCCTAACTCCCAGACTCCCCCTAGGACTCCACTTCTGTATGGACTGTGGTGTAGTTTCTTTGTTGTCAAACAGACAGACAGACAGAATTTACTTCAATAACAGGCCTCCGGCCCAAAACACATTACAAATGCGTATACATATGTATACGAGACAGATACACATGGTAATCTTAATGCCTGCATATAAGACAATGCCTAGCAAAAACAAATTAGAACTGAAGGGATAAATAATCTTGTCTAGTGATGTTTAATTGCAAATTTGATGTCTTTACTGACAAAATCGTCTTCTCTTGTTCGTTCACGCGAAGCGATACGATGTGTTTTCTTAAGCCCTGAAAAACGTTTGAGGAAAGTGTTACCCCTAGATAAGCCGACCTCCCCTTCCACATCAATTGTAACAATAGGCTGGGGGGGGTGACAACCATTATTGGCATGAGTATAGTATAAAAATAGACATACATCATTGATGATATTAACATTTTTCCTCCGTAATAAAGATATAGAATTAATAATTGATGGACATTTACCAAAATAATTTGATATGCAATTATTTCTAATATGAAAGTTTGCATCACAGATACAGAATTCATGCCATTTATCTTCAATAACAAAAGTACCAATTGATGTACAAAACAGGCCTAGGCAATGCCTTTCATTGTATGCAGCATTAATGTATCTACCAGTTTCAACTGCTAGTTTAAAAGTACAACACCGAAATTGGGCATATATAATTTTTAGATATTGAGGGATATATTGGCTGCTATAAAAAGGTTATTGTCAAGATTGGGAATATATTATCATGTAATCTCTGTTGAAATGGTTTAATACATAATAATCTGTTGTCACATATTCCATAAGATATGTTTACTTAGGGGATAACAGTTATCGGCGATGAACCCTAGAAGAAGTATCAATTTAATATCAACAGACATGCCGTCCTCATGGTTTGTTAGAATGTCAGTTTATACCTGAATGAGTGAGTGAGTATGGTTTTACGCCGCATTTAGCAATATTCCAGCAATATCACGGCGGGGACACCAGAAATGGGCTTCGCATAATGTACCCATGTGGAGAATCGAACCCGGGTCTTCGGCGTGACAAGCAAACGCTTTAACCACTGGGTTACCCCACCGCCCAGTTATACCTGAAGTCATGACGATGCATACTATAGAAATGATCCCCCAAAGTATGATCAACGGAACATTTATCAAATTATCAATAAGAGATAATGGTAAAAAGATCAATTATCAAATCATCAGTTAATAAAAACAGAACAATTATCAATTCTCCAGCAAAATAGATATTCAACAGAACAATTATCAATTCATCAATTAAGAAGTGTTCAACAGAACAATTGTGAATCCATCAACAGGTGTTCAACAGAACAATTATTAATCAAGATATGTTCAACGGAACAATTGTCAGTTCCTCAATTAAAGATGTCAGACAAAACAATGAATGAATGAATGAATGAATGAATGAATGAATGACGTGCCTACTTGTTGTTGCAGGTGTCCGTCCTTCTCCAACCTCCCGCTAAACTGTAAGCTGGAGAAGCAACCAGGCCAATGCTGTAGTACGCCCATATGTCACGAGCCTAAAGGTGGGTAACCATGGTTACGTACCAGCACCAGTACATCACGGGTTTTTTTTGCCCACAGCGTTCCTCCATTAACCGTGAATACATGCAGCCGCTACGTCAGCTGACAGTGACTCGTGTCTGTTTTAGGTGAATAAGGGTGTGCCTTACCCATGGAATCTGATAAGCCCAACTCCGTGCACAAGGTAGAATATCGCAGTTTGTTTCCCTAAGTACGCTGCGCTGCCGCTTTAGTGAAGGGTCAGCGCAGCGCACCCAAGGAACCCGTCTAGAAATATCTCCGTTTCCGCGATGTAATCTTCGGTCTGAGCTCATACCGTGTTGCAACTAGAGACAACCAGATTGTACCTTGATTTGTTAGTTTAAAATGGCGTCAAACGCATAGTGATTCACAGCGATGGACATTCAGTCTACAGTCCCATGAAGTACTGGCGACGACAAGTGGGGTTTATAGTCGGAATAATGTGCATGGCGAACGCCAGTACCATATGATGGTCTTTAAAAGCTGACAGGAATGACGACCAGGTGAACACAATGTGTGACCTGTCGGAACCAGTGTACATTGACCCTATTGTGATTGGCCCCAGCTACACGTAACTATTTCACGTTGTCATAACGTTATGCTTTCGTCCGTACAAAGTTATTCTGTGGACTCCCATTTACGTTGTCACAACGTTGTGACGTGACGTTGCACAGTGACGTGATATTAACGTTGTCAGTAAGAATAGAAATTACGTTACTGTGTCTTCTATATATATATGGAATGGTAATCATGTAATATAATAGGTAAATACGGTCTACGGTCCTGTTTTCTGCAGAAATTACGAATAATTCGATGCCACTCTTGTTCTTAGGATTTTCGGGAAAGAGACAGTTTACCTAGCACCAACTTTAACGTTTCAGAAACGTAATAGTCGATACGCAACGTTTTGATACCGTATATATATGTATATGCTGTAACGTTGTGAACTAACGTTATAAAATGATGTAATACTAACGTTGTGACAGCGTTGTGTCATGACGTTACCAATCTACAACCTTCCTACTACGTTGTGTCATGACGTTACCAATCTACAACCTTCCCACAACGTTGTGTCATGACGTTACCAATCTACAACCTTCCCACAACATTGTGTCATGACGTTACCAATCTACAACCTTCCCACAACATTGTGTCATGACGTTACCAATCTACAACCTTCCCACAACGTTGTGTCATGACGTTACCAATCTACAACCTTCCCACAACATTGTGTCATGACGTTACCAATCTACAACTTTCCCACAACATTGTGTCATGACGTTACCAATCTACAACCTTCCCACAACGTTGTGTCATGACGTTACCAATCTACAACCTTCCCACAACGTTGTGTCATGACGTTACCAATCTACAACCTTCCCACAACGTTGTGTCATGACGTTACCAATCTACAACCTTCCCACAACGTTGTGAAAACGTGTTGTGGACGGTTGTGTTATCAACCACGATGCTATCTACTCCAGATTCCACTGTTGTTTGGTCACTGAATACTCTAGTGCTGTATAAATCGCTGTTTGTCTTGTGCTGTGATGCCTCAAGTATTGGAAATGTCCTCCATGTGTCTATACAAAACAATTCCTACATGCTGTAACCCTTGGGCATTGATTAGATAGCCTTTAATCGACTCACAATGATCAGATTGGTTCTACGTCCCCTCTGTTTACAGGCGTGTGTCTTTACAAAGGCCGGACATACACAGAGGGTCAGACTTGGGACGATGGCTGTGACTACACGTGTACCTGTGTAGATGGGTCAGGGTCATTCTACCAGTGCAAGACAAAGTAAGACTGGGCCCCGCAATGCGATGCACTCTAACCACATACTAAATTTTTTATATAATTTTAATTATTTTTGCCAAATACTAACGCCTGAGCAGACTGAAGACAGGGAGGAACCCACGGTCCCTATACACGAAATGTAAATGCTCAAAGACACATACTGATTATTTGGCTTCACAAATTTGCAGTCCTTGCAATTAAATTCCTTTCGATCTGGTGCCACGTTTCTGTCCGATACATATTATGGGAAACTATCAGACTAACAGGTAATATCACCCTTGGACATATGTCTCAGTTTCACACACGGCACTGACTACAGTATCTACGTAGATTAGGGTAGGCATAGGTAAATAGGCATCCAGGTACAGTGTATGAAAGTCCATTTAACAAAAATGCAGTGCTTCTAATGAAAACTTACCCTGCCTGACGTTTAATGGGGACGTATGGGGATGGTAACACTGGTTAGCTTCGAGTATCCTGTGTCTGGGTGGGTATCCATGGTAACACTGCTGCAACACAAACAGATACGTGCTCTCACCATCCCATGCACGTAGTCACAAACAGACACCCTCTCTTACTTACCACACACAGCCATACGCACTTACTCACGCACACGGGGGCGTTGGTGTAGCCTAGAGGTTAAAGTGTTCGCTCGACATGCTGAAGATCCGGGTTCGATTCCCCACATGGGTACAATGTGTGAAGCCCATTTCTGATATCCCCCGCCGTGATATTGCTGGGATATTGCTAAAAGTGGCGTAAAACCATACTCACTCACTCAGTTACTCGATGCATCGTCTAAAGTGATGCCATTTTATCCATATGGACAGAATCCTTATTGACATGGCTAATGACTGCACTCGGCTTGTGTCGAACTACGAAACTAAATAAATCTATGCGTATTTTCTATGATTTCGACGACTTCGAGTTAACGATGTGTTAATAATGCAATGCACCCGTGAAGGTCCGGGTTAGAATATTGATCTTCAGTAACTCATGCTTGTCGTAAACGGCGACTGACGGGATCGGGTGGTCAGGCTCGCTGACTTGGTTGACACATGTCATCGGTTCCCAATTGCGCATACCGCCGCCATATAGCTGGAATATTGCCGAGTGCGGTGTAAACTTAAACTCACTCACTCAGTCACTACTAATGCAATGGTTTCGTCCTAGGTGTCTACAGTGGAATCTGCCGGACAAATGCCACCTGGACAGTCCCCCTGCGGGGAAATGTTGCCCCGTACCCAAGTGCCCCTCCGGTTTCGTCATCAACTACCCCGTGGGGTACACTGAACAGTAAACACACTGTCACCAGTGGCGCTTCCCACGCCGCTAATGTATTTATTTATATAATAAAACGTGTTATACATGGCACTGTCTGATGAGTATGTTAAGGACTGAAAATCACCTCGGCTCATCAACTGGCGGGGCTGGTGGGGTAGCCTAATGGTTAAAGCGTTCGCTCCTCATGCTGAAGACCCGGTTCGATTCCCAACATGGGTACAATGTGTGAAGCCCATTTAAGTTGTCCCCCGCCGTGATGTTGCTGGAATGTTGCTAAAAGCGGCGTAATATAAAACCATACTCACTCACTCGTCATTTTTTGACATTTGAATAGTACTGGTTCTTGTAAGAGGCGACTAACGGGGCTGATACGACGTAAATTGTAATAGAAATTGACGTAAATTGTAATAATGTTAGTTGCAGTAAAATGTCATGCATATTTACGTAAATTGTAAATACGCGTGTGTTCGTTTTCCGTTGCATTTCATACATCATATGCTTAAGCTTGTAAGGGCGATAACTCAAGAAAGAAATGATGGCTTTTGTTCAAATTTGGTACCAAGGTGTCGTGGAGAGATTCACCGACACCAGTTGAATTTAGTGACCTTGAGATAACTTGCAAGGTCACAGCAAAAATCTGAGGGTTTTGCCAATATAAAAATGGTTAGCGCGATTTCTCAAGAAAGAATTGACAAATTTTGCATAAAAGAAGTACCCAGGTGCGTTGGCAGGATGTGCGGACACCAGATGAACTGGGCGACCTTCACATTGATAAATACTTATTGAAAATACACTAGGCACATAAAGAAACTGTGCATACAAAATTTTAAATCTAAATTTATCAAACCTGTGTAGACACTTAAGGATTTAAACTCAGAGATTAGTGACATGTATCCAACATGCATGCACGTGCCACGTTCCGTGACGTCAGTAGGTTCGTCCTTGAGACGTGCAATACGTTATTGCACGTGCATTCCGGGAAAGAGAAACAGAACAAATGAATGCCACACAACACTGTCACTTTGGAAAGCTCAACCCCTGCCCTTGCGATCGTTCAAAAAAGTAAACGGCTATTGAGACGCATAGCATGCCAAGGCTCACGTCTGCACAACGGCCATGAGGCCATGGTCCGTGGGGGAATGTCTCAACGACAAGTGGCTGCACATTTCCACTGCCACCGGAACACCATTTCTGCACTGTTGAGACGCTACCAGAACACAAATGACGTCATCGATCGGCCACGTTCTGTAAGTCCACGTGTAACAACGCCAAGACAGGACATATGGATAAGGGTGACCCATCTTCGCCACAGGTTTCAGACTGCAGTGATGACTGCCCGAACCATCCCAGGACTTCGCCGTATCCACCCCAACACAGTTCGACAACGTTTACGTCATCTCGGGATCAGGGTGCCGTTCCACTAACCGATCTTAGCCCTACGCCAATCGTAAACCCCTAAAATCCCAATCTTAGCGTGACGTTACGATCGGCATACCGTTCCACTAACCAATCTTACCTAAGTCAATCGTAAAGTTAAGATTCAAAGTCTAAGTTGCTCATGACCAACTTAGGATAGCTAAAATCAATCGTAGAGAGACCAAAATGGTGGCTTTCCTATTCTATGTGAAAAATAAGAGCGAGCATTTCACCGTGAGCGTCCCCTAAAATCCCCCATGAAATGAATTTGTATATTTCTGTGATGTAAACAAACATTGCACTGAAGCCTTACAAATGTCAGGCCAGTCTGACCACTGTCGTCATGGGAACACAACCGAGCGAGTATCAATCAATCAATCTTTATTTCAGTACTTAAAAGGCCACAGGCCTGTAGTACATTTAGAGTTTACATGAGTAGATAGAAATCATTTATAAATTCTTTTCTGTAACAATACTTTTTCTTAATCTCATAGCGAAATAGATGTACATTGCCAGATTCTGTAATATTGATGTGGTAGTATCTGTTAATAGTGAAATTAATGTTCTTACACTTGGATGCTTATAATAGTATGGCTTTAGGTATTTTGTTCGTAGAGTCGTATAAACAGGACAGATTAGAAGAAAATGTAGTTCATCCTCAACAGTACTCATATTACATAACTGACATATTCTGATTTCTCTTTGTATACCTGCATACCTGCCAGTTTCAATAAATAATTCATGGGAAGAGCAACGAAAACGAGAGAGAGCTATACGGAACTTCTTTACGCCGATTTTGCTAAATAGTCTTCAAAACGTATGTCCGATTTCCATTGGTTATAGTATAAACATTTTGTGGATAGAAGTAGTGATTCCGACCAAGACTGGAAATAGATATCTTTCATTCTTTGTGTAAATGATATGATAAAATTGGTATGCAACTGAACATTGTGATCACACCACACATAACCATAACCAGTTTTGTACAACAACTCCCTAATATCACTCACCCAATTCCTTTTCCCATTTTCGTCATACAATTTCATCATATCATAACATTTTTTCGGAAACCTATGGCATGGCATATGCAGTAATCTTACCCAATACTTTATGGCTTTAATGGAAGAGTATATAAACAAGGGGAATCTACCTAATTCTCCGTAAACCATCCTATTACATGTGTTCGGTTTTACTCCAAGAAACTTTTTGCATGCATATAAATGAACTCTTTCAATACTGTCATATTGTTGTAATCCCCATATTTCAGAGCCATATAGAAGTATTGGACTTATCTTCATATCGAATATTTTAAAGAATGTGTTAAAGGACATTTCACCCAACGATCTCATATTTTTACAAACACCGATTAGGATTTTCAAGGCTTGTGCTGACGCTTGTTTTGTGTGTTTGGACCAGGAAAGGCTATTACAAAAATATACACCAAGATACTTATAAACACTGGTAGTTTTGAGTAGTTGCCCTTTATAATACCATTTTTCTAATTTAGAGAGTTTTCCACCTTTCTTAAAGACGATAATTTTGGTTTTGTCTCTGTTTACACACAATTTATATTGGTCAGAAAATGTGTCTAATTCATCTATTTGTTTCTGTAAACCGCTAACAGTACTAGAGAATAGTACAATATCATCGGCAAAAAGTAACAGAAATAGTTGTATTGTATCTGGGTGTAGTTGAATCCCATTCGTACATGTGTCACATATTTGTATTGCTAATTCATTAATGAAAAACGTAAAAAGGAAAGGGCTTAAAATACAGCCTTGTCTAACACCTAGTTCACTAATGAAAGGTTCAGATAAGTCATGCTGATTCCTTACACACACTTTAACATTTTCGTATATACTCTTCAACATTTTATTCATTTTACTACTAAGACCGTGCGATTGTAGAAGTCTCCATAGTTTATCCCGCTGCACAGAATCGAAAGCCTTTGCAAAATCAACGAATAGTGCGTAGAACTTTCCACCTTTTGAGCTGAGGTATCTTTGTATTAGGCTATACAGTATAAAGATATTATCTGTTGTTGTATATCCCTCCCTAAAGCCCGCTTGACCCTCGTATATCTGATCCATGACGTCAGTCCATTTAACTAATCTTTTGTTGATAATGTAAGTAAATAACTTGCCAAATATACTAAGTACAGTTATTCCACGGTAGTTATTGCTATCTTTAGGGTCACCCTGTTTATAGACTGGAACAAGAATGCCAACTGACCAAGATTCAGGAAAGTTCCCAGTGTCGAGGATAATATTGAAAATAAGCTCAAGATATGGAAGTAAAAGATCAGATGAATGTTTGAAAAATTCCGGGAGGATGTTGTCTAATCCTGGTGACTTATTACACTTTAGATGTTGTATACTGTTAAGTATTTCATCTCTACTTATTGGGGCATCCAATATGTCGGGGGCTACACCTGTTATATGAGTAGACTCAGTATCGTTCACATAGTCTTGTCTATTTGGATCTGGGTTGTTATCAGAGGTAGAGAATAATGACTGAAAGTAATTGAACCATTCGTCGATTTCAATGTTGTTGTTTTGGCTTTTCTTAGGATTTAGTGTTTTAAGTTCATACCAGAATGTTTTGGCATCATTTATATTATTTTCTAGTTTTTTTCTTTTCTGTTCCATAAATGCCTTTCTCTTTTCCTTGCAGGTTGTATTATATCTGTTTCTAGCTTTGTGATATCTCTCCAGGGATTGCAAGGTTTTATCTTTTCGGAAGGAGTTAAGAAATTTACACCGTTCTTTTTTTAAATGATTACATTCTTCATCATACCAGATATTCGTATTATGTTTTTCTGAAAAGGGGCGTATCCGTCTTTTCATATCAAAAGCAGCTAGACACAATGCTTCTACGACATAATCTACACATTGACTTATATCAGTGAATGCTACATCAACAGATTTATTAAATAAGTCTTGTATATCATCCGATAGTAGATTATTTCTGAATTGCGACAACATGTTGCTATTCCAAACAAATTTGTATGCTTCATGATCAGATTTATATTTACCACTCATAGTCTTTGGCTGTACTGGTGGGTGATGCGCACGTAAATCTAAGGTTAACGGGAGGTGAGAGGACTCTGCTTTAGTAGGTATAGCAAAATCTAGCACTTTGTCAAATAAATGTGCAGAAGCTAAGACATAGTCTATGACGCTTGTGCCATTTGTACCTATAAATGTAAAATCCCCTACTTTAAAATCTTTACCACATCTGCCATTCACAATATGTATATTTAAAATGCTACATAAATCTAAGAGGCATCTACCGAAATGGTTGACGACTTTGTCACAGGAGAACCGTTCCAGGTTAAAATGATCCAATATGAAATCCCACATGGAATGATCTTTACTTTCCGTATGATATATTATGTCATCATCAACAAAGTCGGGAAGCGAAGCTGTCCGAGCATTAAAATCACCCCCACAAAGCAAGTATATATCTGGTAGATCAGACATTTTATCCAACAGTTTCTCCTGGAAAAGTGAAATACCATTTTTACAATGTCCACTAAATTTCTCATACCAAGATGATCCCTCTGGTTGTATATACACACAGCTATATAAAAGATCTCTATCGATGTCAAACAGTGACTTCTCAAACAATATAAAAACTGCATTTTCTGTGATCTCAGTACATTTGATATA